CTCACCTTCAAAAGCATCTAACCATTACTCAACATGCTCTTCGTCTTTACACACCAAGTTGTTTCACAATTCCCTCCAGTTATCCAAGCCTTCTTCGCACAGCGTCGTATTGACCGTCGTCATGTTGTCCTTTATGATCTACGTTGGGGCCCAAGACCATTCATCCTCCAATTCCATTGGAGTGGTAATCATGCTCATTCAATCATGGAGATTACCCAGCAATGGGTCCGTAGCACGTGAGCTACAACATCCTTCTTTAGAACTCACACACTAATGTTCCATAACAGTGAACATACTGTATTGGAACCCCGCCCTGTTCGAGTTGTTGAGGAAGAGATTGTGGTCTGGTTCATGACTGTTCTGGCAGACTGGAAAACTCTGGCTATTGAAGCTGGGCTGGGAGATGAATTGGAAGAGTGGGAGGTTGCTCAGATGTTACTTGGTGATATGTAATACCTATCTGTTTCACAAGTCAAAACACTTGTAAATGCCACAACATGCTTAGTCAGCGTGGTCATCTCGGGCACCTTCACTAACTGGTTCATGGCTGGAGAAATATTGGAAAAAAAAGAATCCACCTCTAAAACTTTACGTATAGAATTGAACCAAAACCTATACGTAAAAAGTTTGTGTATAGAAAGTACGTCCAGTCGTCGACACACAAGTTGTATCTGTTGCAGCACTAATACACTCCACTACTTCAAACACCTGTATTCCACTCTTATAAGAAGCTATTTTGGAGCCCCAGTCTAAGCCATTACCAATACCTTTCCATCAGGTATGCAGTAGTTACAAGTGCATCAGTACCTTCAACAGCATGTCCAAGTTCTCATTGTGCAGGAGGGGGCTCCTCAGAACTTATCCAAGTGTGCACTCCGAGTTTTGGCTCCACCGAGGTGTGGCTGTGCCTAAGTTCCCACGCTACCCGCCAATGAAGAAAAAAATGAAAATGAAGAGGCGGGTCCCAGGATCATAAATCTTCAAGAATTTCCTTATAAGGTCAAAAAATGCGCCCTCTATGAGTCTTTCAAGGCAGAATGTCCATACATGGCAGAAACTGCAGGAATTACTTGAAATAGCAATAAAGCGCTGGGCCACCCTAATAAGGCATAAAAACAAGCGCCCTACCATAATGAGCAATAAGCGTCTGACTGCCTAAAAGGGCAATAAATGACTCTGAAAAGCGCCCCAGAGGAAAACTCGGAGCGGCGCACTAAAAACGGAAATTAGTTCCCACGCTTCACGGAAAATATCGAAAATTGAAAATGAAGAGCGGAGAGAGGCGAGGTGAAGCACGTGACTGCGACGTTGTGCGCCGAAGTATTCACGCTGCTATAAGCAAAACAAAATAACAAGTAACAAACTAGTATTGCAACTTGCGGGTCAACCAGTGCTCCAATTTCAATGATACTGGTGGGTGACCCTAGGTTTTTTTGTACTGCGAGTCTAATGGTGACAAGTGCGTGACCAGAATCGGAGTATATTCTCCACTAATGTAAAGATGTCTCTCAATGTACATAGTGTTGAGCTTGCTATACACAGTGATGTATAGCACAGCAATGGGAAAGGAGCTTTCCATGGCCCACTGTGTAGAGCAGCGTGTTGAGCTCCCTGTGTACAGTGTTCAGCTATCTGTATACAGTGTTGAGCTCCCTGTGTACAGTGCTGAGCACTTGAGTTGATGTGCAAAGCTATGTCAGAAGGCTATAAAAGTGCGCTTTTTTGGACCCCCGTGGGAAAAACTTGGTCAAGAATCGAACAAGCCAAAAATTTTACGTATGGAATTTTCAAAATTCTGTACGTAAAATCTCAGAGACGTTTACGTATAGAATCACTTTCAATTCTATACGTAAAATGGACATCTGGGCTGACAGTGGACAGTATTGAGCTCACTGTCTATGACGACGTCGAGCTCACTGTCTACGACGATGACGACGAGCTCACTGTCTATGACGACGTCAAGCTCACTGTCTATGACGACGTCAAGCTCACTGTCTATGACGACGTCAAGCTCACTGTGTACAACAGCAATGACAAGCTCACTGTCTATGACGACGTCGAGCTCACTGTCTACGACGATGACGACGAGCTCACTGTCTATGACGATGTCGAGCTCACTGTCTATGATGATGACGATGAGCTCACTGTCTATGACGATGACAATGAGCTCACTGTCTACGACGACGTCAAGCTCACTGTGTACAACAGCAATGACAAGCTCACTGTCTATGACGACGTCGAGCTCACTGTCTACAACAGCGATGACAAGCTCACTGTGTCTGACAACGTTGAGCTCACAGTCTACGACGATGACAACAAGCTCACTGTCTATGACAATATCGAGCTCACTGTTTACAATGATGACAATGAGCTCACTGTCTATGATGACGTCGAGCTCACTGTCTACAACAGCGATGACAAGCTCACTGTGTCTGACAACGTCGAGCTCACTGTCTACAACGATGACAACAAACTCACTGTCTATGACAACATCGAGCTCACTGTCTACAACAGCAACAACAAGCTCACTGTGTCTGACAATGTTGAGTTCACTGTGGGAGATGATGACCAGCTCATTGCATACAGTGTTGAGCTCACTGTGGAGGACAATGACTAGCTCACTGTCCAAGACAATGACCAGCTCATTGTATACAGTGCTGAGCTCACTGTGTAGGACAGCATAGAGCTTGTTGTGGACAGCATTGAGGTCACTGTCTGAGACAACATTGAGGACACTGTATACAGTGTTGAGCTCACTGTGTATGGCAATGAGCAGCAACATTGAGCACAGTGTGGAGGTCACTGTGGGCAACAGTAGTGGTGAGCTCACTGTGTAGAGTGATGAGAGGGTGTTGTGCTCACTGTGTAGAGTATCCTACTCACTGTGTAGAGTGTTCTACTCACTACCTAGGCCAGTATGGGTGCAAAGGAACTAGACCGGTAATAGAGGTGTAATATAGATAGTCGAAGTCGAGCTCGACTTTAAAGCCGAAGTCAAAGTCGAACTGAAAGCCGAAGTCAAAGCCGAAGCCAAAGTCAAAGTCGAACTGAAAGCCGAAGTCAAAGTCGAAGTCGAATTGAAAGCCGAAGTCAAAGCCGAAGTTGAAGTCGAGCTCGACTTTAAAGCCGAAGTCAAAGTCGAAGTCGAGCTCGACTTTAAAGCCGAAGTCAAAGTCGAACTGAAAGCCGAAGTCAAAGCCGAAGTCGAAGTCGAAGTCAAATTGAAAGCCAAAGTCAAAGTTGAACTGAAAGCCGAAGTCAAAGTTGAGGCCAAAGATAACCTGTACTTGCTGTGTTCTGACTATAATAAACATACATATGGAACCATATGTTACAGCTGCCTGGTCATCCTGTACATAGATGGACCTTATGGCCAGAGTGTGAAGTGTGAGCATATTGACTTTATGATGGGTCTTGTATTCCATATACAAAATACTCCTGATTGCTTACACTTGCCAAACAGTGATTCGACATAAGCAAGGAAAACCTGGGATTCTACCTTGCAGCCGCAATCAACAGTAGCTCAGCCTTGTTTATCTGACTATGTTTCCAACTTTGATTGTCTTGTTTATTGGTATATTGACAAGTACCTTTGATTTACCTTGGTATACACTCTGATTCATGTCACGTACTTGTCACCATTGGATTCACAGTACAAAATAACCTGGGTTCACCCACCAGTACCTTTGAAATCGGGTCACTGGTTGACTGGTAAATCACATTTCAATGTATGTGACTTGTTGTTTTATTTTGTTTATAGCACCGTGAGTATTTCACGGCATAACGTCGCAATTACATCATCAGACTCGCCTTTCTTTGCTCTTCATTTTCAATTTTCGATGTTTTTTGTGTAGCGTGGGAACTATTTCCGTGTTCAGCCTCCTGCTCCGAGGGCGCTACTTACAGGAATTTATTGCCCTTTTAGGCAGTGTGGCACTTATTGCTTGTTATAGTGGGCACTTCTTCTGCAGCCTTATTCGGGGCCATGGCGCTTTATTGCCTTTTTAAGTAATTTCAAGAGCTCCTACCATGTATGGAAATTCTGTCTTGTAATGCTTGCAGAGGGCGGAGTTTTTCACCTTATAGGGAAATTCTTCAAGATTCATGATGCTAAGACCCGCCTCTTCATTTTCATTTTTTCGTCATTGGAGCGTAGCGTGGGAATTGGAGTATCAAGTTGATTGCCTCGACTTCTGCTTCGACTTCGACTCCGGCCGGCCCGGCCGGCCCGGAGCGTTCCCGCGAATAAAAGTGGCCTGATTTTTTTTTTTTCCCCTCGTACCTTCTTCATTGAAACCACCATGTACCCCGCTTTTGTCCTACTCCCCCAGAGAGCAGCCACTATGGATGGCCACCATACTGGTCTCCTGGGGATAGATAGTGTTCCTAGATTGTTTGCAGTGACGACTGTGGGCAATTGATACTATCTGCCTCCCGGTCCCCAAGTTCTATGCTGAAGCGGCAGAGCTGCGTTTGAGGCTGGTACTTATTTGACCCTGGACAATTGTGGGCGTGTATGGTGTTGAAGATGAGGGGGTACCACTAATGTTTAAAAAGCTTTCTCCAGGAATGAGGGTGAGTACACTTTTTATGAAGCAACTGTTTTTGTGTAACTCATGGTCCTCACTGGACGCTCTTGGTATTATTTTAGTTAAGCTAGGTATTTTTGTCATCTTGTAAGAGTTAAGTGTGTTCAAAAGCTTGAATTATGTTGGGACAAAGTCGTCATGAGCTCTATGACTTTGTCCCAACATAATTCAAGCTTTTGACCACTTATAAAATTTAATTGTAAACAAAATTCCTTATATAAGGGGATAAATAATTTCAAATGTAATAGAGTATGGCGGGGTGGATTGTTGAGTGACACAGGACTGGTTGTACTCAATTAGAATGGAAATTGCTGCTGGGTCACAAAGATAAAAAAAATAGTACGTAGCAGTTGCCTATATTACTCTAATTAACTATCTACAAGATAATTGGTTGGAGGAAAGCAAGCATCAATGTCAAGGAGAAAGCAAAAGTTGAAGTCAGAACTGAGCTTAGTCAAACTGAAAGTCGAAGTCGAAGTCGAAGTCGAACTGAAAGCCGAAGCCGAAGTCAAAGTCGAGCTTGACTTTAAAGCCGAAGTCGAAGTCGAACTGAAAGCCGAAGTCGAAGTCGAAGTCGAACTGAAAGCCGAAGCCGAAGTCGAAGTCAAAGCCGAAGCCGAAGTCAAAGTCAAAGTCGAAGTCGAACTGAAAGCCGAAGCCGAAGTCGAAGTCGAACTGAAAGCCGAAGCCGAAGTCAAAGTCAAAGCTGAAGTCGAGCTCGACTTTAAAGCCGAAGTCAAAGCCGAAGTCGAAGTCGAAGTCGAACTGAAAGCCGAAGTCGAGCTCGACTTTAAAGCCGAAGTCGAAGTCGAAGTCGAACTGAAAGCCGAAGCCGAAGTCGAAGTCGAACTGAAAGCCGAAGCCGAAGTCAAAGTCAAAGCTGAAGTCGAGCTCGACTTTAAAGCCGAAGTCAAAGCCGAAGTCGAAGTCGAAGTCGAACTGAAAGCCGAAGTCGAGCTCGACTTTAAAGCCGAAGTCGAAGTCGAAGTCGAACTGAAAGCCGAAGCCGAAGTCGAAGTCAAAGTCAAAGCCGAAGCCGAAGTCAAAGTCAAAGTCGAAGTCGAACTGAAAGCCGAAGCCGAAGTCGAAGTCAAAGCCGAAGCCGAAGTCAAAGTCAAAGTCGAAGTCGAACTGAAAGCCGAAGCCGAAGTCGAAGTCGAACTGAAAGCCGAAGCCGAAGTCAAAGTCAAAGCTGAAGTCGAGCTCGACTTTAAAGCCGAAGTCAAAGCCGAAGTCGAAGTCGAAGTCGAACTGAAAGCCGAAGTCGAGCTCGACTTTAAAGCCGAAGTCGAAGTCGAAGTCGAAGTCGAACTGAAAGCCGAAGTCGAAGTCGAAGTCGAATTGAAAGCCGAAGTCAAAGTCGAACTCAAAGCCGAAGTGAAAGTTGAAGTAAAAGTCAAGGTCAACTGTGAGATTTACTTAGACGCCCACTCCTGCGTGTACCAATTCACCTCTAGAGGGTGCAAATTATAATTATATTGGCTAGAAATAGTGTAGGATTACTGCTATGAGATAGCTCTACCTGTGTATATAACTTTTATAGCAACTAATTTTCACCAAATTAGTGTCAACGCTGCTCAGAAGAGAGTAATCAATGTAGGCCATATATCCAATGCGTACAACACAATCAACCAGAGTACAAGCACTCGCATCAATTTCCGATTTTGTAATAAGCAGTTGTTTAACATGTCACAGGCCTTGAGAATGGTTCTGGATTGGATATGAAGTTGAGTCAGAATGCATATCAAAATCAACAATGAGGGCTTTCAAGGCAACATGCAGTCGGAAAGGGAGGTCATTGAGAATTTAGAATAGACTGGACCACCGGAAAGGGAGGTAAATGGGAATTTTGAACATGACCTGCCTTTCCAGTGATATTGTTGTTCAAAATCTCAAAAGCCTTCCAAAAGAGACCTGAATTAAGAAAATATGAAGGATTGGATATGAAATGGAGTGGGAATGCATATCAATATTGAGCACAAGTGGGGTAAAGAGAATACACAGCCAGAAAGGGAGGTCATTGAGAATTTAGAATAGACTGGACCACCGGAAAGGGAGGTAAATGGGAATTTTGAACATGACCTGCCTTTCCAGTGATATTGTGGTTCAAATCCTCAAAAGCTTGCCAAAATTGAGTTGAATTAACAAAATAAGGAGGATTGGATATGAAATTGAGTTACAATGCATATCAAAATGGAGAATGAGGGCTTTCAAGGCAATATACAGTCGGAAAGGGAGGTCAATGAGAATTTAGAACAGAGGATACAGCCGGAAAGGGAGGTAAAAGGGAATTTTGAACATGACCTGCCTTTCCAGTGATATTGTGGTTCAAATCCTCAAAAGCCTGCCAAAATTGACATAAATTAACAAAATAAGGAGGATTGGATATGAAATTGAGTTACAATGCATATCAAAATGGAGAATGAGGGCTTTCAAGGCAATATACAGCCGGAAAGGGAGGTAAATGAGAATTTAGAACATGACCTGCCTTTCCACCAGAACTGCCTTTCCATAGATCCAAAGGTGTGAAAAGAGGTTTTTGCTATGGATGGGAGCTCAAAATGATATCAATATTGACCAAACCAGTGAAAACGAGACATAAACAGAGGTTTTGGAGTGATTTAGGAAGACTGGGTTTCCGGCTGGTTTGCCTTTCCATGAGAAAAAGGGCATGAAAGGCCCAAAACGCTAAGGGAAAGGGCATGCCCTTTCCGGGTGTAATATAGTTATAGGCGTACGCCAAAAATCTGGAGAATATCGGTATCGTGAGTCGCAGTTTCTTCGGTCAACTGACTCCATGAAGAGTGTCTAAATCTTCTACATGTAGCCTGCTTGCTTTCAATGATCAACAACTGGTATGCATACTCTAAGTATACCGCGCGCCTCATTTTTCCCGCATGTTTTGACCTTGCGCCAAATTATTACTACAAAAAGGCGGTGAGTTCATGACAACTTCAGGGAGAGAGCAATACTTCGACGACTAGTCGGAACCCCCGGGCTTTGAGCACATCCACACAGCCAAATTTAAGCAACACGAACCAATCGAGATTTCACTCAAATACATGCGCAAGGAAGCTCGAAAGATATGACCAAACACTGCAGTGTCTTGTTGATCTCTCTTTTGAGAATGCATATTGTTATGACACTATTCACACTATTCACCCCACCAACCCACAAAGGAGCAGATATACCAGATTAGAAAGCGTCTCAGGCTCACGGGAGATGACTACAAACTACATATCGTCTTCACTGAGGTCAGCGACAACAACTTTCTGTACCGTTTTTAAATATACTAATGCTTGTTTCTCCCGCGGATATATTTCACCGTCCTGCACTTCCGCCGCCTTCTCTAAACTCTTTTTTGCGATGATATACCACGAATCTCTCAAAGAACCTGCGCATTATCATTCCCGGCATGCTCCGGTCACGTATGGGCAAATAACGCGTTAATATCGCGACACATTTTTCCAGTAAAAGTCCTAGCAGGAATAAACCAACCAACCTCTTACTCTTCCGTTTCCTCTTCTGAGATAAATAATCTATAGGCACGAATACATTAAATCGACCGAGTTTCTCGCTAATTCTCTCACCATTCTGGTTGCCTGTCCGACCATCATCCTATCCTATCCTAATTAAATTCAGGTTGCAGGATAATGGCCGATGATGGCCTATGCATATCGAAACGACTGTTATCATCTTACATTACACATCACGTCTGCATTCTGTTCTGATCTACCTCCTGTTGCCGAGCCCTGATCATGAAGCTCCTATAACCTCTTGTAGCCCTTGCAATACCAACCAGGTTACGACTTGAGCTCTGAAACTGAAACTCCTTGTTGCGTCCGGCTCAACAAGATCTCAGCGCTCAGCGTCCTTGTTACTTATCGATAGCTTTCATGTAAACCCAGCCAAGCTTCATTTTAACCCTATTCCCCCACTCATGTTTGCAACATGGGGAACACTACCAGTAGGGACGGTGCAATGACAATTTTCTGTGAAAATTGCCGTTGATAGGATACGGAGTCACCGTTGTACAACTCATCGCAAAAGACCTCAAATCGCGCTGAAGCTTGCAGCTGTTACTATGTAGCACGAATGATTGGCTTTGGTTGGTAAACGCAATGAATGCATTTGAAAGTAAAAGAAGTCCGAACAAGAATGTTGAGGTATTTCTTTTACTTCTCGAGGACTTCCATGTTTTTATACCAGAGAGCAACCGACACTTTTCCGCTTTGAGCACGATTTTCAGACAGCATATTGTTCCTCGAAAAAGCTGGCATTGGCCGCATATTCTCCTGCGCCCGAGAATTATGTATCTTACTCACATCTTACCTGGTGTTGGCGGAGTCCCTTGTTGGAAAATGGAACACCTCAACAGACTTTGCTTGTAAGGAACTTGATATTAATACGTTGCAAAAGTACATGGAATCTTTTATCAACACTCTTCATTCATAAAAGGAAGATGTTCAGAATGTCTAGGCTCGTGATATGAACAGTTATAGTTCTTCTCTTGCTATCCATCGCTGCACGAGCGCTAACGCCTCTTTTGGTTTATTATACGGAACCTAAAAAAAATTGCCGAATTACGTTCAATGTTAAGTGGTCGAACAGGCGATGAAATTGCACACACCATATGTCCAGCCCCTTGAACCGTCGCAAACGTGAACAAGCCTCCCCTCGCACTCCTGGTAATACCGGCCTTCTTACCAGCAAGTGTCCACTCCCTCAATTCCTGTGAAGCAAACTCTTCTTGACCGCTCCATTCCAATTCCCTAGACCATTGCTCATTACCGACCCAGTTACATATCCAGTCATACGAGCCCACTTTGTAGATCGATATATTCATGAGAACGCTAACAGAAAACAAACGAATAAGCCTACCGTAGATTAACACCCTTACCTCACGCTCCAACAGTGCCGCCACATAATCCCGACTGGAATGAAGGATATCTTGCGTCCCATCGAACGCAGCGCCAACATTAGGATTGCAGGCGCTGAAGTTGACTGGAATCTCTGGGTGTGTGTCGACACCTAATTGAGCACGGATGGGAGGTTGGGACAGGAAGTTGCTAATGGAACTGGTACAGTAAATATTCACAGGTCAGCTAACGGAATACTCTATTCCAACTTTCAGTAAGACTTACACAGTGACTGGGTAACAAAGTGTTTCCTCAATGCTTCCGTTACATGGAACACTGATATCGTACGGATTCATACCTAGACACCAAAAGCCGAAGCAGTCAAGCCAAGTGCTGCCCCAGAATACACCGCTGAATTACCCACCGGTAGCCTCAAAGGGAGAGTACAGCATAGTATTACAAAAGTTCGAAGCTGCACCACAATTGATAGTGTCATACTGGTCGACACAGGACTCACGCAACCATTTTTGGCATCGAGGTATCTGCACGGATGGGAAGTTTCAGCACACAAAAAAACAGAAATTCACAAGGGTTCCCAGCATGGGTGGTCGGAAGTTGTATATCGCATTGGGAAAAGATGCCACTTACAACTTTCTTCATGGTCACACAAGTGCCGATATCAAGAATAGGATCAACTGACGCCGCGGTGCAAGTCATGTCATAGTACGAAGTAACCATTGTGTAGAAGTCTGTCATCCCGTTTCCTACATAGAATAAAATCAGCTTCAAAGGACCTACAGGAAGGCATGGACGTACCAATCATCACTGAGGTGAGATTGATGGGAGTGATTCCAGCTTCAATGAGAGCAGAGTTCTGGTCATACACAGCGGAGGCGAACAGGGGAAGGTAACGACCCTATAATTTATAGGTACAAGCAGTGATTAGTAGGGAACAGTACAGAGCTGAGGTATATACTTACTCCATAAGACTCGCCGGCCATGTGGAAGCCTCGCCCCTTAAATCTAGAAAAGTTCTCGAAAAAAATAGCAACGAATGCAGCAACGTCTTTCGCGGCTTCCTCTGTAGTACTCTGTTGATAATTGGTCATGCGTCGACAAAAGTTGGGAATCGAGATTAAAGACGCACGACAGACTCTCCATATTCGGCGTAGGAAAACCCGACACCGATAGGTTGGTCGATGAAGAATACGTTGGCATTCGTGTTCCATGATTCGGGATGGAATTTTGGACCATCGTCGTCCAAAACTCTGCACGGACCTGGATATCTTCGTTTCAGTCACTTGTAATGAAATCCAATGCAAACATACGACGTACCAAGTTCCATAAAAAGTCCAAGTGAGGACGAACACCCCGGACCTGAGCGATCTTTCAGTTCTTGTCATTGTCGGTGTTAGTACAAATTTGTACCTCCGTTTGTCCAGAAGATTACATCGTCTTTATCTGGGTCACTCCTGCTTTCAAAGAAGTAGAAAAATAGATGTCTGGCTTCGATGTCAATGTATCCAGTGTAGGCACTGTGAAACATACGAGGAATAAGAGCCAATTGAAGTAAGAATAATGCATGAACGTTTCTTACTTCACAGTAGAATCGCAGAAGTCGCTCTTCTTGATTCTGACACTGTGTTTCGGGAAAAATGGATGACCTAGGACGGAGAATCCCGAGTCTTTCACATAAGATAAGGATTCCAGAGGTGTGAAGAACTGCGAGGTCCAGGTCTTGCTTGTAGAAGCGTTCACGTTGAGAGATGGTGTCAAAGGTACTTGTGAAGCCAAAGCCTCAGAAATAAGAGCTAAGAGAGCAAGCGTTCTGGTGAACATGGAGATGAAACGGATGAGAAAGGCTTCTGTCCCTTGATAAGGTCATGCTGGCTGGTAAAGAGAATGTCCACGGTATATATTGGGATACTTAAAGTTACCGGCAAAATGAGGTCAGGGCGAAATCTCTTTTAACTTCAACCATAACGGGGTTCCGTCATTTCTCGTCGGAGCGCTTTTCAGGCCTCCCTTCGACAACTGGGCACTGGCCAATAGTTGAGGTTTCAACTCGTATCAGGTCGTATCGATCGTATCCCTGAAAATGCAAGCGGCTCCTGAAACTCAAATCGAGATAATTGTTAGAAACTCAGAGGAAATTTCGTGCGTCCAGCTATGTATCCTCAGAAAATGACTTAGACTCACATCGAACCACTCAGTATTGTACGCGGATATAATGCATTCCAAAATATATATTCTCATAAACCAAGAGATTATGTACCGGTACTACAACACCGTCAAATTTTACCTACATATTGGTTAACTTTTCTGTTCCTCATTCAACAAACTCATCAATCCACCTCTCCTTCATCCAGGTCAAGGCAGATCCCGCAGGAGCTGGTCCGGCGCCCGGACCTCTCCTCCCTGAAAACACTCTCTCAAGTCTAACAAGGCTCGGGAGGTTGACGTCGAAGTTGTGTTGCTTGCAAAGGAAAAAGGTGTTGTTTTTTGGTGCCCAAGGCTGACACCCGTAAGTTAACGTTTCAAAACATACTCCTTTCCTCCGTGGTATTGCACACCATTCGCTTTCCTTGTCCATCCCCGTGTCGTACGCTAATGTCTGGTATTGTATAGTTGGGTGCACAAACCAAAAATGAGGCTTCCGTGACATGTAATGGTAGGAGAAGGTATGTTTCAGGCGATGATTCCTTGTGTTCAACGCAAAACTTCAAACTTGTATCCCCTGTAGAAATCCCTTTCATAGAGCCTCCTCTCTGACCCTGAGCGCAAACTCATCCCGGCATTAAAAGCTAACGACAAAGGCATGACCAAACAAAGCCGTTTTGTTGTCGCTAAGACCGAAGAAGGCAGGTAAAGGGAAGCTATTTGATAGCCATATTGGTGCGAAGCCTGTTGATAGGTGAATGTCTTCATGGTTTAATTATTCGTCCCCTGCCCTGTTGTTCCTCCGCCTGTCTCGTCCTCTTCGTCTTTTGAATGTGGATTAACCGTCGTTGTCCTCGTCCTTTTCTTCTAGCCTCGAAATCGCGTTGGACCTCATTCAATCCTACTTCCCGGTCTCATCTAGTACGCCCGTAAAGACTAGCAACGGCGAAGGCAACTCTACCAAACACGCAGGTGTTAATACTTCTATCGGCTCCGTATCGAGTATCGATGGAGGCCGACGTGGAATCTGCTGCTCCTGCAAGTAATGGTAGCGAAGCGAAGACAAATATGCGGTTATGGAGGCTGCTGCACCCATTGTGGAGACCTAAGACATACCATGCCTCCGGGATATGGCTCAAAAAAAGAACCAAAATTTACACGAAGTACAAGGGGACGCTTCTTTCTCCTCTACATATATCGTCTCTTAATTACTGCCATGTATCTCTTTCTTCCGTGATCATCTTAGTCGTCGTTGTCATCGTTGTCGTATCCCTTATACATATCTATCGTCCTCTACACCAACTTTCCTCAACCCCCGCTGCTGCTCCTCTTCCCCGGTCGTTCATGTGTCTATCTACACAACCTCCTCTAGCCACTCACTTCATCAAATACCTCGGTATTTGTTATCGTAGCTGTTGACTTTCTTTGCTGTCTACATAAATGCCAAGAAAGACGGTGCAATCAATATGAGAGATCTACAAGTACATTGAACTGTAGTGTGATTCGGACAATTGAGACTGATCCAGCATTAATCCGATACTTTCTACATCCGCATACGCCGGATATGCTCCATTCAACGCAGGAAATCGAAAAGTTTAGAATCCTAAAAAGTAACAAAGCCAATGCAGTTATGTTCATCATCTGAGTCCTTTATCTGAAAAGCCTCTTGTCGTTCCTTCTTTGCTCGAAATAGCCACTCCTGTACAAATGTAATCGTCCAATCATATCGATTGCATATCTAGGATCGAATGAGCTGCTGAGCGGTCCCCTAACGTAGGATCTGACTCTGACAATTCGATAATCGGTAGCAACGCGTTGGAAGAGCATTTCAAATCCATGTTGTAGGGTGTTACAGGCCTGCCAAATGTTATCTCGATCATCTATGACTCGTACTTGTGTTCGCCCTCACTAGAGTAATGATGCCTGCTGCCAGGGCATGGAAGGGAGATTGATGTGCCACAAACCACAAAGGTGCGACATCCACGGTTCTTCTGGGTTTAAGTGTGGAGCTCTCTCATCGAGGAGCGGTTGATGATTTCTTGGTTGTTGTGGATGGATTGGAGCGCGTATTATCGAGGGGAAAAACTCTTCGCGGATATTTGGTTCTGGAACAGGGACCTCCCGCTCAACGTGCTCACGAAAGCTCTAGATCAATTCCGAATGCAATTGGTGGATTGTAAGTACATAGCCCTGAAAGATAACTACATACTTCCAGGCTCAGGCTCCACCTGAATGAAGTTCACGCGCCATGTTGTTGTAACGTATCTTGCTGTATCTTGTGCCTTCTTACCAGGAGAGTCCGAAAAGAACCGATCCTTGAGGCTGCCATAAATCAAAGTTCAACGTATATTGTATTTTTTGAGGAATGGTCCGACCCCGCTGCATTGGAACGTACATCGATATCAAGACACAATGGGGAGACAAAGGCCGTACCATGCGGAAGCACAATTGGGTGGATAGCCTCATGGTCTTACATAATTGCATTCTAGCCCCAATCCGAGTACCCTTTCTTTCTACTTCTCTACCCACACGATCTCTATATAAACGTTTCTCTACTCCTACAATTTCACCTTACACCCAAGACAATTCGTATCTGTCATGTCTCACTTCAGCGCTGGTATCAAGAAGAACACCACTCGGTCTGACCAACGAGCAGACCAGCGGCTCCTGGCGAAAATGTCTCCAGTTGACCGCCCGTATCCTCTAAACGCTGTCTGCCCCAGACCAATACCCAACTCCTACTGGGCAACTCCTTTGCTTTTGGCTTGCGAGTACCCTTGGACACCTAAAAATCCATACAGACCCAAACTGGACGCTCTCCTCAAGGCGGGTGTGCGCACTTTTATTGATCTCACTGAATGTGGAGAGCTTTCCCCTTACTCGAATATCCTCTGTGGGCGTGCGGCTCTTCTTGGCATCGACCCTGCAACGATTGAGTACCACAACTTTCCTATCCGTGACCGATCGTTACCACAAAGTGCCGAGTACATGAATTCTGTCCTGGACGTCTTGCGTGACAATGAGGTCCGAGCAAGAATTAGCGCGGTTCACTGTCGAGGTGGTATCGGTCGTACGGGTATGGTCATCGGTTGTTGGCTCGTTCAATCAGGAATTGCGAAGGACGGCGACGAGGCGCTTCAGATCATCGCAAAGGAGTGGTGTACTGTCGAGAAATGCAAACGCTTCCCACATAGCCCAGAGACAGGCCCTCAGTTCCAATTCGTCCAACAGTGGATGCGAAGGGACCGATGTGGCGATCATGGTGTGTACGCGTCCATCTCGTATTCTTTTCGCTTATCTCCTTTGACAGAAATTAAAGAGGCTTCACTACAAAAAGCGCAGACTGTCGTGTGATTCTCTCTCACTATGGCACCGCACTCACCACCACATTGTTCTTTACTTTGGGTGAGTGACCTTCATTCTTGCATTCTGACCTCGAACACACTGAATGTTTATCTCCCAGGGTTTATATATGCTGGATTTACCTGCTTTTGACGACTATTTCATTCAAGCACATTGGACACTACGCTGCTAATTCAAATCTTTGACCCACGTATACCTGCTTAGACTAGTAGATGCGTTTACATGACCATCATGACTCTTGTCAACTATCCTATCATTCTTTGCCCTACCCATGTAGTTATTGTGGTACATAGGCAACTGGTATAGACCATATCGACAGTATAGTACAGCGCTAGTCGTTTTTCCTCTAATACCACTGTATTTTTGAGTTTCTCGTGCAAATTATGAGGTCACATGATTGAAACGCAACTCTTTCTTCATCTACTTCATCAACGAAGACCTCCGCCTCTAAAGCTTTTGGAATGACTTATACCGTGTTTGGATATGGGTCGCTCATCTTCAAGGTAGCGACCGCGTAAATAAATGCTGATATATCTTATCAAGGAGATTCTCAATCCTAGCCTCCGCCTCATGTTATCTCTGAAGGTGCTCACTAGAACGAGTGATCGATTAGTTTGTTTGCTTTTCAACGCAATTTATCCCAGCCCATGGATTTCTGAAGGGATACGTCCGTCGATTCGCTCAGAAATCTCATGATCATCGCGGAACGCCCGAAGTGAGCTCGCATTGACCCCTCATGTTTATGACTTATCTATCGATGGATTGATTCTAATTCGTTCTTTGGACACAGAAACCTGGACGTGTGGTGACACTGATCCACAAAGAAGAATGGGACGTGTTCTCGGGATCAGTACGTCGAATAGTACATTGTGACAGAGCCCCAAAACGCGTATTGACATTCGACATTATTCACAGGAAGCGTTTCCAGATGAAGACATTGTGTGGGGTAAGCTTCCCACTCCTGATTGCGGAGCTCCGTCATATGTCGATCGATAACGCCTCAAGAACACAGGGATTGCATATACTATAGATCCAGAATATGAAAAGGAAGTCCGGGAATATCTAGGTGGGTTCATTCTGCCTATCAGGCTCATGGTCGTCGGTGGATGGTCGTCGGTGTATGAACAACGTTGTACCAGATTATCGGGAAAAAGTAAACTACCTTTTATCCGGGCTCTACTTGACTCTTCTGACAAACTCCGTAGGATGGTTACACACTGGAAACAGTCAATGTTTGGGGGGTTGACTCGAATGGACAAGAGACAATAGTTTTACACGGGGTATGTGGTACTCAAACTTAAGATCTGTGACTATTAACGATTTTCTCTCTGATTAGGTGCACGTACGCTGCGTTGAAATAGTGCGACTGCCCCAAGAGCTGACAGGTACTGGCGCTCTAGTGCTACGTCGGTCGTAACGACAACCCTTCCTTCAGTAAGTTCTTTGACTCCGAATCTGTGTAGTACTTATCAAGTTAAAACTTTGTTACAGTTGGTTCTGAACCGTTAGACACTCTCGCGCAGAAGATATGGGAATCAGTCGGTCCTTCTGGACCTAATAAAGTAAATTCATCTTTGACTATAATTGCTGCCTAAACTGAATGATGCATCGCATCGATATCAGGAATACCTATACAAACTTGTGGAGGCAGTTCGCAAGCTGGCACCAGAATCCCATGATTCTCATTTGTACGCGCTGGAGGTACGTTGCCATTCATCAGTCGCTTGGTCTAAGGCTTATATCAAGGTTTATAGACAAGGATTAGAGCGTTAGAACAGTCGATTGGATTGGGGTCTTGATCTCGTCCTGATGAACTCGTGTGTATATAAACGTGTAATCGTGAGTAGTACTCGAAATGAATAGCTGATTTTGTCGCTCACAAGCTCGCCAGTATACTTTTAGCAATTCAATTCTTGTTCTCAGTTCACCAATTTTTGGTTGGCATCATACCAGCACCCCACTAAGTACGGTGTCACTAGGTGCCTCCAGGTGCCTCCTCTAGCCAAGGAGCGGACTGGAGTTAGGCTGAACTGCACAGCTCCTTTAGGCAGGAGAGCGCGGTAAATTTCTCGCCTTCGGATCAAATGTTGAGTTTTTTCTTTTTGAAATTCTAGGCCATCAAGTTGCAACTTGCGACGTTCAACCAAACGAGCCCTCTCGAGTATCTGTATGCCTCGGATGGGGGCCAAAACAGGCGCATGGTTCATGTATCTGATCTTTCCCGACCGGAGTAAGGAAGGGAACGGGCCTGTTGGGGCGTGTAAGTATGGGATGATATTATTCAGGAATAAGGAGAATAAATATGGTTTCAGTACCATCAATGTTCATCAATGTCGCTTCGCGATACGCATCAGCTGCCTCAGGGCATAGGGCTGTACCACGAGCGTATAAAAAGGGCAGCGACCGCATTCTAAATCCTTGCTCTGGATTAGCCCCGCATCCGACAGTACTGTAGCACTTGTTGATCAAGTTCACCTTCAAACACAGAATTATCGGAAATGCCATCGTTCAACACCTTCCAATTCGTGTTCTTCCTCTGCTTCGGCCACTTCTCGGGTGTATTCACGGCTCCGGTACCCAGATGGAATGGTATGTGCCGTGTAGTACGAAGTTCTTATTCGAAGGTTGAAAACTCTGTCTAGGCAATCATCACTGGTCATCGTCTGGGAGCTCCGGTGAGTTCGAAAGTTTTTTCCCGTTGAGACAGTTTATCTTATCTACTATTTTAAGTAACCACAAGCGCGTCTCCTGCGGCAAGCACGACTACTAGCTGGGATATCAGTGTGTATATATCTTCCCCCAGTAATATGCAAAGATCTAATACCCTCTCAAAGACGGTGCTCCCGTTACCATAGTTTCCGTCTCTCAAGGCCCCGCACTGACTCTTGGGACTGGTTCGACTACGGTAGTTGGCAGTTCCACCTACACCGTTGCCCCTGCACCTACTGCGACCACTACAACGAGCTGGGACTTTAGTGAGTAACTGTTTTATCCAACGAAAAGGGCGTTATCTCATCTCGTTCGAAGATGGTGCACCAGTAACGGTTGTTTCAGTTTTCAGTGGGCCTGTACTTACTCTCGGCGCTACTGGCTCTACTACTACTGTGAATGGCGCTACTTATACGGTTGCACCATCGTCTATCTCAGTGAGCATGTCCACCAGCTGGGGTGCCTGTGAGTTTACGTTTCTTGCTCTTTGATGAATTACGAGCCTTACCATGTTCTCAGCGGGAGCAGTAACAATGATGTCGGCCTCCGGAGGACCAGAGCTTACACTCGCCGCTTCTGGACAGACGACCACCATCGGCAGTTCCACTTACACCATTGTTCCTACATCTGTGGTGTCATCCTCGGTATCCGTTTCTACGAGCACGAGCTGGGGACCTTGTAAGCTACACTCTGTCTATGTGTAAAAGTTATAAGTCTCAAATCCTTTACAGCCGGTGCCGTCACAATGATCTCAGCTTCAGGAGGACCAGATCTGACTCTCGCCTCCACCGGAGCTACTACCACTATAGGGCCTTCCGTTTACACAGTCATTTCACCTTCGGCGCCTTCTGTCAGTACTTCGACAAGCTGGGGACCATGTAAGTCACTCTTGCTTCTGCTTTGAATTATTCAACGAACCGAACCGTATTTGAAAGCTGGAGCTGTTACCTATATCTCAGCCTCAGGATCGACACCACTTGCGCTTGCAACCAGCGGCTTCACAACAGTGATCGGCAGCTCAAGTTACACAGTAGCAACAACAACTGCAACGAGCTCCCATTCCCCTTCGTATGTATTTTCATAATGTTAAAGCGCGACTCATTAACGACTCACATGCATATCATTCACCTTCAGGAATGCCGCTGGCTCTCTGCGGTCTTTCGGTTTTTCATCAGTGTTAGTCACGGGGATAATCGCTACGGTTATGAGCACTCTTCTCGGAGGATTTGTTTGCCTTGCATGATCTTTCCACATTGTGAATGTGTATATACCACTTATGGCATAATAAGTATTCCTACCTTATCAGCTCTTATCAGGTATATTCATGTGTGAAAAGGAATTGAGAATGAAATAGATCAGCGCCTGAGGCTTCTTCTCACCATGACATCCGTGCTCTCGATTTCTTCGTCTGTGAAGCAATCTACGGGCAAGGTTGAATGCACCATGCGCAAATTGAGGCTCACTTCTTCTATAAGCTATCTTATGCCCGTATTAGGCTTTGGGGTGTACCAGAATTACGACGCGAGAACTTGTATAGATAGGCGCTGGGTGAATACGGACTGAATCCATAGCGGACATTGTTTGAGGCGAATCTGAGCTAGAATTCTTTGAACCTCTTCTAGGTGCAACATCTTCATCGATAACCCCTGCGACCTCACGCACCCTTTTCCAATCTACTTTCCCCGGCCAAACCCTCCTCCTTCAGTGCCTGCCGCAAGAAGTTCGGTCGATCGGGGGGATTTTGGCGACAGAACACCCAGGCAATACGGGTCAATGTACTGGGACCGCCGGGAGGTGATAGTTCAAAATCTGGAGAGGCTAGCGCAGGCGGCGAGAATGTGTATCCAACTGTAGCGGTTAGGATCAGAATCGCGGTGGTATGAGAGAGTCGTTGTTGCTCCACGTGATCGTTATTTCTCATGTCTCGAACGCTCTACTTTGTCGCCGCCTCACGGAACCAGGAATCACTGGTATTCTCGCAGTCGGAAATCGATGTCGATCCAGAGCTGTCTATTACTAAGCTTCAGAAGGCTCTAGTCAACCAATACTACCCCGACTCTACCGCTTTCACTGCTGTAATTTACCAAGTCAGTCTGCACGTGTTTTGGTTCTGGGTCGTTCTGCTAAAACCATTTCAGCAAAAGCACCCAGTTGAACTGGATCCAGATGTAGCTGAAACCTTGTTCCCCACTTTCCCCGCCTTACTTGAAAACGCAAAAGCAATCCGGCTCCGCAAGTACGTGAAGGATCTTGCCGACGAAGATTTTGTGGTCATCTTCACACCTAAAGACCCGGTAGTGCCTCCCACAAAACCTGAATTAGTCAGCGAGGCCTTGGATATAGTCAGCGAGCTAAAGAACGGTGTGTGCTGTCGATACTCGATACTAACCCCTAAGGCTGAAATCTTTTCCATAGATTTTACCAAGTATGTTCGAAACGTTGTGGATGGGAAACCGCCATCTGTGCTTGCCCAATCCAAAGAGTACAATGACAACCAAGGCGCCCCAGCTACTGCTGTACTCGATGGGAGATACGCGCAAGATGGCCCCTCAACTGTCGCCCCTCCAATAGAGCTCTATCACCCCGTCTTTGGTGCCTTCATGCAGCGCTGCAGAACATCAGATATCGAAATTCCGGAGGGTATTCTCCGCGATACTGCCTCGTTGTTGCGATCCGTATCGAGGATTGCAGTCAAGGAGGCACCTCGAGACGCCCAGACTCGTAAGATTTTGGCTGATATTCTCGGTGTTGGGCTCGAGCGTATCACTAATTCGGACAAGACATCCCCAGACTTTATGTCTGTTACACCTACGCCTCTGAACGTCAACGGGGCTTGCATTATCAGCGAGATCAAAAGCGAACTAGGCAGTGGCGGCTCTGATCCATCGAGGCAGTCTGCACTTTCGTATGCCAGATTTTACTGCCGTCCTGAAGTAAGTCTCTCATCCAGTAATTAGAAGGGCTCAAAAACTGATGTATTCTTCCAAAAGCGCGCCCAAGTCCGTGAAGTATCGTGCTGCCCAACGTTCCTCATCGGTCTCGCTGGCCCCTGGATTGTTATCATGGGCGCAGTCCTTACATCCCGCACGATCGTTCAGCGCCTTTCGGCGTATGAATGGCTCGGCTGCTCTCGTATGTTTGATGATGAGCAGGTTCACCGGATTGCGCACGTCCTCTACGCTCTTCGACTTTCACTAGTCGAGTTGAATGAATATTACGCTCGTCTTTCTTCACCTGTTGTCGAACCTGGACATATACCCCCGCGTTTCTGTCCCTCGATTTCCTCTTTTTCCATCCGTGAAACCAAGATACCTTTTATCTATGCCTATCCATTGCAACACAATCCCGCTTCCGTCACTTTCAAGGCCACTCGGACCGATACAAAGGAGTCAGTTGTGATCAAGTTTGTGCGACAGTATGGCCACGACGTACATCAATTGATGGCAGCACATGGACTTGCCCCCAAGCTGCTATCATTCTCTCCGCTCGGTGAACTGTACGGTAACCTTAATCTTGTTGCTATGGAGTTCATCGAGGGCAAGACGCTGCACGATGCATACGACATCTCACAACCGCTACCAGATTCGGTCAAAAACAGCGTCCGCAAAGGACTCGATCTTCTGAACAAAGAAGGATTTGTCTTTGGGGATCTTCGCAGACCCAATGTCATGCTCGCTGACGGGGATGAACCGGCCGAGAAGCGTATACGATTTGTTGACTTTGATTGGGCAGAAAAGGATGGAGAGATGAGGTATCCCTTCCATATCTCCAGTGTTGTCAGTGATCCCTCTGGCGCTTCCGAGTACGATTGTATCACACATCAGCACCAGGAGAACATGTTTACCCACTTATAGGTTTATTTTTATTTTTATTTTTATTTTTTTTGTTTATTTTTTTTTGGTGGAGCGTGTATGTGATTTGTGACGGACGACAAGGTCGTCTTCCCTCCTCCGCTGATAGCGTGGCTCAAACGACCTTTTCAAATGGACCGTATTGTCGCTGCCCTGGATGACTTTCCATAAGCCTTCCAATAAATTTGAGTAAATAATCCTCGAGTCAGTCTGATGCGACAGACAAACAACTGAAAGATTCTTCCAGTTATCTATGCGCGACTTTCAGCCCTCTCCACCCTCTATCTCCTTCATTATACGGCCATTCTTCCCATCGCTTTTCACAATACTCTCCCGATGGCTCGCGTAACACTAGCGCGCTGTGGCTCATAGGGGTTATATACAAAAACGGCGGTAGGGGTTGCGCAGGGGTCGACCTCTCTCCCTACATAATATGTGCTTCCTGGGTCTATAAGGGTCCGAAGCACTCAAGGAAGGAAGGGAAGAAGAACAAAACCAGCCATCAAATCACAGAATGCGACAAAGCAACAAAGCATGCTCGGCAAATTGAAACAGTAAACGGTTCAGTCTTTGCCTCATGGTAGGGATTCCTTTGTTGCATTCTATCACCTTCGCGCAATCTCTCTCGCAATCAAAGCTCAACTATCCGGACCTCGTCACATTCATCGAAATTAATCACTAGATTTCGAAGCTGCGCCTCTGTGCTCCCTCGCCGCCATCTTTCAACATGTTGGTACTCTGTCCGGAACAGCTTCGAAGAATCACTATGCCGTACGAAAATCAAACGGTCCTCCAAGGTTTTTTGGATAGATATGTGGTGATGTGGACTCTCAGCGCCCAGGGGGAACTTAAGAAGAAATTTTCGATTGCTCTTGAAGACGGTTTCCTGGCCAAAACCGTCCGGTTTGATACTACAACAGGTAATACATATGCTTTTGCCATGCAAGGAGGTAAAATGTATGTCGTCGTCTACGCCTACTCTACTCTGCTGCCTAATCCCCTCTATCTAGCGCTTGCCTCGATAACCATACAGGCAATACGGCCTGAATTAAACACGCAGGACTAAGATCTATGTCAGTATGCCAGCTTGTAATCTCTTCGTGCGTACTCAGCTGTTTACAGGAAATCAGTTTCTCTTGACCAAACCTGTGAACGCTTTATCGCTTGCACCGACGAAGGGTTCGAGCTCTTTGACCATGACCGCCTTTTATTCATTAAGAAGTTCTCGTCTGATCCAATTCCTCTTGCTTTGCCGAAGAATATCTGTTTTAGTGAGAACAACACTAATTGGAGGCACTGATAGGGGATGTGCACTGGTGTATGACGTGGAAACTGGAAAAGTAGACCAAAGTCTCAAGTATCATCTAGGAGGCCTTGTTCAAGCTGTCGCCGTGAGTGTCTTCGTCACATCGATTTCGCCTTTGCTGTTGACATACACAATTCATGCCGGGCCAGACGGCTTCGACCAGCGATCATTTTTTGGTAGCTATAACTGGTTCAAATGGGAGACAGGCTTCCGACGTGGTTCTCTGGCAGAAAAAGCGCCCTTCCCCATCGATACTTCGTTCAACTCTTTCCAAAAAATCAGACCCCGACGTTTTATACATTCCGCTGAACAAGAATACTTTCGACGATTTGCATCTGTTTTTGGCTACGCTCTGGTCTACGTTCTTCTCTTCTCTGGCGCTGTGTTGATGCTGCACAACATCTATGAGCTAAGGTCGCATCGTTTGATGTTCATGCCGTTCCATTGATTGAACCTTCTAGTACTACTGTCAGCATAGTCGCGACCTATGGTAAAAAGTGACTTTCCTTCGGCCGACTTCTACGATCACTGTTCATGAAGTAATGTCGGGTGGATCTGCTATGGCCGCGACGGCGATAGAAGAGCCGCTTTCTACGGCTACAGTAGTGCCTGAAGTTACACCGGACCTTGCCGAAATCCTTCGAGTGATGCTTGCAATAGCTCTCCTGTTTGTATTTAAGGCAACTATGTCTCCCTCTTCTCTTTTCCAGGGTGAAAGATAACTTGAGAGGGCCCTTATAGAAGAAAATGTCGTCACGGTGGACCGTAGTGAAGGGAAATCGCAGGTTAAGCCATTGACAGAACCTACCGCCCCTACCGCCACTACGGTATCTACCGTGTACGGGGTTTTTATTTCACTTCTTCTGCGCCCACGAACAGCTTCAAGACAACTGCAGCTTCCCCCTCAACATCTGCTCTGCAAACAACTGTGGCTACCCCTTCTGCTTTCCGGGAGGAGGGACGGCTCGACAGGGAGGAAAGCATTTTCTCGGCTGACCATAGCAGGGAAGAGAGGTCACAGGCTAAGCCATCTAAATCCGTTGCGGCTACAGCGTCTACTGTATACGTGGTTTCTACAGTGTTCACTCCTAACCCATCGACGGAGCCTGTCGCGGTTCCGCTATCTACTGTACTGTTGATTTCCACAGTTTTTGCTTCTTCTGCACCCACGAACAGCCCTATCTTCCATTATCTTGGCCCGGGCGAAAGCTGCTTCTGGAGTGCGACCTTTGCAGTTGGTCTACCTCCAGCTGGACAATATCAAATCTACCCCGTTACAACTTGGGACGACAGTATTAGCACTGCGAGTGGTTTGAGTAATCAAGATCGCACTTCTCTTCTGAACACTGGTGTCAACTTGAGAATTAATGACCTCAGGTCTTCAAATTCTTGTCGCATGAACATAAATATACCAGGTTGTGATCAAGTATTGCCATTCAGTTATGTAGTGAACTTACATTGCACACCATGCGCTCATTTGCATCTCAACCAATTTCAAGGAATTTCCTGGAGGAGAAATTGTTGTTATAATATACCTCGTGGGCATTAGCAGCCAGCACTAGTACTTGAGATTAAAAGGTAGTATGATTCCTTTGCCCGATATTCTCGGGCCATGTCAGCCTTTTGCAGCAAAGTTAACAGTATCTAATTTATACTTTGCGTGTTCAGGAGGAGGAAAAGCCGGGCGTTGGATTGAGCAATGTATGACCCTGAAATGGACGAGGTTTTTTTTCACAAAACAGAAGCGTTGACCTTGTGCAAGCCGTTGAGAGCCATTAGATTTCGAGCCGGAGGTTGTTCACACTTCAAACTTCATCATGTTTTAATCTACTACAATCTATGTATGTACTAACTTGTACTACTTATCCAGAGCGAACTCCAGGAAACATCCTCCTTCGGGGAGAGTTTCGGAGTAAGAAATATCTAAATATGGTCCCGACGGGTGGTCCGGGGAGACATGCTCACAAGAATACATTCTTTCTGATAAGTTACAGAAAATTTTCTTTTACCACCCTTTTCTCCACCTCTTGTCTTCCTTCTCACTGCTGGTCAGGGAGAAACCGCGTTCTCTTACCCAGTCTCTTGTTTTTGTTCATCATGCCAAGTTTTCAACATCTCACCCTCTTCCTTGCAATGTCTTCTCCGATATCAATACCCGGCGGACTTTCTGTTCCCCTTGTTCCGAGAAGAGACAAGATAATCGAGTCACCTTTAATGCTCGCATCCTCGTCTCCACTCTTACTCCCTACTATTCCAAGTCATCGTGTGCATGAACGTGCACCGCGCCCCATGCCTCCAGTACTTCCATTAATGGAGAGACTCGTACAAGTAAGTACTTGAAGGTTCCTTCGAATGACATATCACTTATCCATTGTTAGGATGGAACAATGAAAAGGGTCGAAGATCCCAGTGTCCTCGAAGAAGATGATAAAAAAGTTTTTAGTGAGATTTATTCCATTTCAATCTTTCGAAAGCTTGTTCAATCGTTTTCATTCATGTAAGATAAGAAGCTAGAATCGGACATTGTTACCATTGGTCAGAAGATTGAAGGAGGATCAAACAATTTTGGAATATGGACTGTCATTGACTATAAAGGCCATCCTAGGGATGATCTCATCATGAAAGTCCTACCAGAACGAGGTCCAAGGAGCTACGGTGAAGCTAAGGCCCTCCGGATGATGCACCTTCTTGTTGACTCTGGTGAGACTAGGGTTCCGGCTTTTTCAACCAAGGGGGATAAGGATCTCAACTCTGACCTGGAGGGAATGTCGTCACAGTCCGATTTCTACCCTGTTGTCATCATGAAGAAGAAAAAGGGAGTATTACTTAAGGAGACCCAAATTTACAAGACTGCTACACCCAAAGAGCAGCTCGCATTGGACGAACAGGTTGTGGATTGGAGTTGCAAGATAGCAGCAAAAGATGCAGTTACTAGTAAGGTTTACCACAAGTCAGTTTACGGGTTACTAGTACTGTAAAACTTCTGATCAAATCCTTCTAGTGACAACAACCTGAATAATGCGCTTGTGACTATTATCGATGGCACCATTGCAGAATTGGAGCTTGTTGACTATGGGCCCCCCGACACGTATATAGTAATAAGAGAAATCGAGGAGGAGAAATTGGTAAGTACATTTACTCTTTCCCTATCCCTTACTATGTATGCAGTAAATTCGCCGGTTCCAATACATTTTCATGAAGTTGACGTGTTTTTTCTTGTTTGCTAGTATAAAATGTGCAAGTCTATGATGAACAAACACTTGAAACGAGTCCCTGGGTCTTTAGGCAGACCATGACGGATGTGGGTGGGTGTGGGTGTGGGTGTGGATCAACAACGTCATGACACTCGAGAGGTGTTGCATAGATATCAGTGGATGGAAACCTAGAGTCCATTGGAGCAGCCAAATTCATAGATCTCGTATTCAATAGATATGTAGGCACATTAGTCTCCTTTCTCCTCCTTCCGCTTTCACCTTTTCCTCAAGTATATGCTCATTTTCGACCCAATCGTTGAATTCCTCTTCCCCCGGGTACCGCTAATAGCATCCAGCTAGGAGAGAGAATACTTAGACAGGCATGGAATAGATCAGAGTGAATTTGTATCTGCACAGTTGTTGCCAGACGGAGTTGTGAGAGGACGCGAGATGTGAAGACTTGCCACACTAAGCGCTCGCGTGACAATTAGCGCGTAGAGTAAATCGGCCCGGTCTTTTTCGCTTCTTCTCCACGTACACCTTGATTAAGAACGACCTCAATATTAATGACAACGATAGAGAAACTCGAAGAATACCTCGATGCGTTGGAAGAATATGTCTTTGCCTCTTTCGCCGCTACAGCTCCTACCCCTGGGATTCGCGAGAGCATTAATCAATTATGGCTCGATATCGCACGATATGGGCCAACAATACCAGCTTCTATCAACGACGCTACAATGAGCGTACGAAAGCGAATTCCTGGACTAGGTGACTTCGAAATTCCACCACCGCCTCCTCCGCCGCCACCAATGAGCTGGGAAGAAAAGTCTAGGGATTGGGTGGAGAATCATCCGTGGATTGTTGGTGGTATTATTGTTGTAGGCTTGGGTGTTGGGACGGGGCTGCTGGCTGGCTATCGCTACCATAGAGCTGGAAGGAGATCCCGAAGTCGACCAGAGCACAGTCATAGCCGTCGTCAAGTCGTCGTCGTCCTCGGAGGTGACTCACCCTATGGACTCCCGCTCATCCTTAATCTCGAAGCCAAAGGATATATCGTGATTACAAGTGTATCCTCAATGGAATATGTCGAAGACCTAGAACGAAAATCCCATGGATTTGTACGTGCACTGGTTCTCGATACGGCTCACATCGATACTGTCCCGGTTTTCCTTCGCTCATTGGGTTCAACTTTGTCCCGTCACTTCCCAATCAACGCCGCTGGTGATCCTTATGCTTCACCTTCTTCTCATCCTTATATCCATTCTATCATTTCGCTACTCACTCTACCACCTACTTCTCTGCGCCCCTCTGCTCCATTCGAGCACATATCTCTTGTCGACACATACCTTCCTTACATAACCCAAACTCAGCTCACGCCCCTCCAAATCATCCAATCCCTCCTTCCTCTTCTTCGTAACCCACACGTCCCTCATTCCGAGCCGAAATCAATCATCATATGTCTACCAGCTGCCGAAACTCGGGTTGGGTCGGCGTTTAGTGGTGTTCAAAGTATGAGTGCAGTAGGAACACTTCGAGCTGCCGAGGTGTTGAGGAAGGAAATCAGGGTAGCGGCGAGTACGGGAAAATCCGGAGAGATGATGCGTGGTGTCAGAGTGGTCGTGGTGGACGTTGACATCGAGGAATCCATGGGGAGTGATACATCTTCATCTTCCTCATCGGGTTCAGGCTCGATACCGCCAGATGCGTACAAAGCGATGGAACACTGGACGGCGTCTGAGAAGCTTACGTATGGTCCCGGATTCATATCTTCCATGACCGAATCATCATCGTCGTCGTCAACGAGAACTCCACCTCATATTGGTACCTTTGTATCTACCATCCTTGGTGTTGTTAGCAATGCCCGATATGGATTCGGTTCGTATTCATACAGCGCATTCGGTATGCAACTTGGGGCCGGGAGGTTCTTGAGCTGGATGAGAGGGGATAGGTTGTTCGTTGGATCTAGTGGTATGTTCCTTGCTTTGTCTCTTCGTGGTCCAATTTCTGAATTTTCTTACCCAGTTTATTCCTCCACGTTTCGCCTACCGTTACGTATCCTCACCATGATTCCCTCCGTTCTCCATTCACTTCTGAACTCCTTATCTCAACCATTCGCGAGACGAAGGTCTCACTTTCTTCTACCAGCACCACCACCACAGCCAGTGTCATCGGTACCATCAGCAGATCCTGTGGTTGCTTCTCAACTTGATCATCTCGGTGCTAATCAACTTTCTAATCCCGAATTATCCTCTGTCTCTACCTCCACCGCCTCTGCCTCTGCCTCTGCCTCTGCCTCTACATCTTCTTTCGATTCTTCAGCAAGTTTTGCTTCCGAAGCAGACGCGGACATCGAGAGTAACGTCGGAGAAACTATGGGCGATAGTATGGTTGAACACAGTTGGATTGCCTTGCCCGTTCAGGGTGAGGGAAAATAAGGAATAAGAATGCTTAGCGAAGACGTGTCTTTGATTACATGGTTTTGTATTCTGTAATTCTGTAAGAGTTTATATCCATCTCTCTCTTTGTTGTCATCGTAGTTTTTCTCTACTTCTTGTTGCTTTTCCTATCTTCATACTCGTTTGGTTTGACTATTACCTTATGTATGTCTAGCTTCTGTTGATCCCATTGCAGTGACTGATGCAGATTTAGTTTGCAAAGAGCTGATTCCGATTTACAAGCAGTTCTTAACCCTACATATAAGGTGACATTAAGGTCGATGGAAATCAATCACTATATGAATGCTTGTTTCAGTAGACATCAAGCAAAGATAGTAGAAGTAGATAGAAACAGCAAGCGGAAAGCTCAGGGACGATGCGACATGGTGAAGAAATTTGTTGTGGGCAGGTAGTAGGGTTGGAGTCGGAGTCACCGTTGAATGAAGGGGAAGTATTCAAGTAAAAGGGCTGCATCCGGATCCCTTTTGCCCTATAAGGCGTAGATGTGACCCTGTTCCGCCGTCGGATCGGACAACGACAACTTTAAAAGGAAATTTTGCACGGGCGCTCGAGGTTATGGATGTTCAATGACCATTGCAAGCAAGGTGATTCTCTGTTGACTCACAAGGTAAACCGTGGAAATTTTCCCTTTCTTTCCCTTTCTTGAAACTTGTTATTCTTCTTGAACTGCTCTGCAATATTAATCGCATCCCAGCGCTGGCCGCTGAGATTATTCTTTTTGCTCTCCTACATCCTTGCACTTTGTTCCTTCCTTTCTACCCACATTCATTTCCAGACACCCACCACATCTTACCATGAGCTTTTGTCGTCGCTCTGGAACAGTCTTGCACTTCAAAGCTTATCTTGTTTTAATCCTTGGTCTTGTTTCTATGGTATATGCTGCGGCTTTACCGGTTACTCACTCAGTACGTTACACAATTATCATTGCCAGTGGATACCATTAAATTTCTTTTAAAGGGAGTTCAGCTAGTCCACAGAGCTGTACGGAAAGCTGAAGTCAAATTCCGGCGTGGAGATCACCACGAACTTCCTTCTGGCATCGGAGAACCCTCCAGCAATCCTGGGCAGATCGAGTCCACTATCACAGATGCAATACACAAACGTTTTGGTTCCTCGGTGCCAGTCACTTTCGTTAAACATGGAGAAACTCCGGATTGGGCCAACGGAAAGATGGCTTTCGATATTAGTTGGAGCGATAATAGCTATACTAGCTTACATCAAACTGGAGGCTACGTTCAGAAGGTACAAGAAGCCGGTACTTATCATTTAGTGGTCAACTTGGACCCGACATCAAGAGTTCGACCCGGAACAATCACGGCGCCAAATATGGAAAAAGATGAATTTCCAACCGTGAGTATCAAGCTTGAATCCATATCTTAATTTACCATTATTCCTCTGGAATTTTTAGCTCGATCCAAAAACTGGAAAGGTTATCATTAAGAAAATCCCATAATTTGGCACCTCGTAGATGTTCTCTTCATTAGAGAATGGCTTCGAACTTCAGTGTAAGGGAAATTGCGGACGGTAAAGTCTATCTTTTCTTCTTTCTGGGATACCGGAACTCCTCACTGAAAAAAGTCCCTACAAGAGCCTTTCAAGAGCAAACACAAACAACTTGATGAGTTCAACAGATAGAGTGTAGATAGTGGGGTGTACCTGACGGCTTGTATGTGTCAAGTATGTATATCACTTCAACGTTTTCCCGTAGATTCATCATCTCTCTCAACACTGTTTGGGTGAGATGTGTTTCGATAAAATATGTAAGCGGGCCATAGATGGGCTCGGAGGAGGCTGAAACTTAGATCTCTCAAAGATCTTCCCGCCCAGAATCCTGCAAGGTATACATAAGTCGGTCATCTATAGTTTTTGAATGAAGGAATATCAATGTTAGGTTTTTATGGATGTATCGATGGCCCCATTTATTTTTCACATGGATCTTGTAAAGTTGTCGAATTTCCAGGAGTCCAAACACAAATGAGTTCTCTAATGGAATTATAGCGGTATGTACTGGACAGAGACTAAGTGCCCAAGGTGATTACATGATTTGGCTCAAAGTTCGAGTTCAAAGCTCTCTAGATCTTTCCTTTGCACATCCCAAATTCCAGACCCACCTTCACTGTTCATGCGCTTCTTCCCCCAGAGGTTTTATGGCCAAAAAAACACAATATCCTGAAATTGAGAAGAAGAAGAAAGTCAAGAGGATGTTCATCTGATGCAACTTTTCTGCTGGTGCCAGGTATACCGAAAAACCATGTATTTTGGATACACGGTTTTCTGGACTATTTCCTTTTGTTGCTGGTCCATTAGTCAATACGTAAGATCCGGTCTCAGCAGCAGGACAGAATGCCAACTTGTGATGCGAGATGATGGTTGACAGTCACTTACAAGGTCACAGCCTGAGGTTTTACAGATGAGGAGCCTCAGGACACAACAGGCGCAGGAGGTATTCTGAGGTATTTAGCTAGGCAGATTGCAGATGTGTGATGTAAGATGATAACAATTGTTTCGATGTGCATAAACCATATTATTATTATCTTGATACCTGCATAAATCGGGACCAGCAAGACCAATTAGTTTGACTTCCTGCCAGCACAAGCATACAGTAATTACTATTCATGCATCAGAACTAGATTCAGGTTTGGAATTAGAGTAGCAAGCTGTACGAGGAATTCCATTTGGTAGACATCAGGTACAGTACGTGGATATGAACAATTGGCCAAATCCAAATCGAGCTGAAAGACTGCGGGTTAAACAAGTGAACCGCGTGAGTGATGGATTATTTTTAACATACCATCTTCAATGCCATTCCACCTTCAAATCATATGGAGATTCAGGTTGCTTCGCTGGATCAAAAGCATAGGCTGCCGGGTTGAGAGGTTTCTTGGCTGAGGGGGAAGGCTGTAACATGGGATAGAAATGTTGCATATACCGCCAAGTGGAGTCGAGAGATTGCTCTTTCATGACAACAGAATTGACTTCATCATCTTTCTGTCTGGGTAAAAAAGTCAATTTTCCATTTTCGCAGCTAGAAACAGCTTCCGGATGCCTTCCGTCGTAGTATCGAACATGGAATCCAAAGTCATGTGTATTATTGTCAAATCTCGGAGGTCGTCCCTTGGAGAGAAACATAACCACGACTTCTTCTGCATGTAGAGCCTGTACTGCTTTACTGGCTCTGATTTCCGCTTCGATCAAATTGCGAATATCGCCCAGCAGTGGATTACTATGCACTAGAGAAGGTATATGCCCTTTCCACTGATAAGGTGTTTTAACGTATTTGACTACGGCTGTTAACTTGAAAATTGGGAAGCGTTCACCGTGGACAACGAGTGGTGAAGGCTTTGAATTCAGCTGCTATACACTCAGGTTAGAGAGCAGACATCCACCATTGATTTGAACTCACTAAGCCAGGCTCGACAGGTAGGGTAGCAACATACGAGATTGATAGAAATCTCAGTAGGATGAAGATGAAACAAGCTCTGGAATTCAAGTGCATGAAGAGATGATGGTGATTCGGGGGTGCGTGACGTCCAAAAGAAAAGAGAGTATTGGACAATCAAAACAAGAGTCTATTGATTATTGGCAAGATGATGGTTGGATGCGGGATGTAGGAATTGATTGTGTCGAAGGAGGAATTGAATTCCGAAGTTCCCAGTGACAGGATGGATGCAAACAACGAAGGTAGGGGTCAGCTACTGTTCCTCCAACTACTGGAGGTGTGTATCTCGAATATATCCCAGCGACCAGCACTGGTATATAGTATCTTGGGGAGAGGAGTGGAGATCAACTGATGTCAATTGACGCGATTTTGTGGTCTTTTATAGTGCAAAAGAATGATGGTGGCATTGCCGACAGGATGCTAGGATCTCCACAAATATACCAGGACATGAGATCGCTGCTAAACTACCGCCAGCTGGGTCAATCTCCTCTGATGTATTTTGTAAGTTGACGCGACTGTCACTCGTGATTGTGTCACAAATTGTTACAATGTACGATGTCACCTTGATTACTTCAACTTTGATCTACTTAAATGTCGCTTTCCAAGACAGTGTAACCACGATTTACATGAGGCCAGCATTAGGCCTAATTACAATTACATTACTCGAGGCTACTGAAGTATAATAGCTGCGCACCTAGTACCAGCTCCTCCAATATTCGGTAGATGTGAAGAATGCACACGGATTTAGCTTGGATGCGAATCAGAGGACTTCTTTGAACGCAGAAGTGACCCGGATACAGATGATGTGATCTTCTAAACCAACGGGGTGCGAAGTCACATTGACAAGGGCTCAACTGAAAGATTGCTTGCTCAGCATCAGGGTGTATCTTCAAAGACAGGGTCATGATGTTCCTCTGTTTGCATCTATGACCGGAATTCTTCCGCGTTGAAGCTGTTTTTACATCACCGCAGTGATGATTGGTACGTCCTAAATCCTCCTACAGCTCGAGCTGATATTGTTTCATTTAGTAAGGGGGATGATAGATTTCTTCACGATATACCTTACATTGTATTCTACATGACTTGTGTGACTGCGGCCTATCATTGACATTGGCAGCTATGTGGCTTGTAAGTGATTCTTCCCTCTTCCACGGCGGTACTGACCTGTTTACTTCGGCTTTTGGTTTCCATCAGTGTTCCATGTAACGGAAGAATTGAGGAGATAGTTTGCTACTCAGTCACTGTGTAAATCTTACCAAGATATTCGTTGCACCAGTTCCATCAGCGACTCCCTTTCTTAACCTGGAAAGGTAGTCCGGCCTCCTCTTTGTCTGATTGTTCTTCTCCACGACCTACCTTTCCCTTGCCTCTATCCTTCCGTTTGCTAGCGGGTGTGTGTGATTTTCCTCACCTTCATCGTCGGAATCCCAGTCGAGCAAATCCAACTCCTATCCGTGCTCAATTAGACGCCGGCACTAACCCAGAGGTTCCAGTCAACTTCAACACCTGCGATCCTGTTGTTCCTGTTGTTGGCGCTGCGTTCGATCGAACACAGTATATCCTTCATTCCAGCCAAGATTACATGGAGCCATTCTTAGAGCGTGAAGTGACAGCACTAGTATCCGGTATGTCCATTCATTTTGCTTCAAGTTGCCTCAATCTATACAGTCGGATCATACGACTGGATATGTAATTGGGTCGGTGACGAGCCATAGTCTAAGGAGTTGGAACGGAGCGGTCAAGAAGGGTTCGCTTCATAGGAAACGAGGGAGTAAACGCTTGCTGGTAGGAAGGCCGACATCACCAGGAGTGCAAGAGGAGGTTTGTTTGCATTTACTATGTTCAAGTGGCTGGGAATATGGTGTGTACTCCTTCATCGCCTGGATCTGTCACTGAATACTGAGCATGATTCGGCGAACCTTTTCCAGGTCCCGTATGATAGACCAAAAGAGCCTGTCCTGGGGAGGAATTTTGATCCAAGGTTGTCTACGTTGTGAACTGATCCATATTTCATCGAAAATGCACATTGAACCCCAGAACGTTCTGCTAAGAAGAGCTCCAAGTATGTACTATCTATGTTTGTACAAAACGTAAAGGGCTGATGTTGATCTGAACGTTCTTGTAATTGTAGAAAGAACAGGCATTAGATTGCCAAACAAAAACGCGATCCACCTGCTCTGACTGTTGACACGTTGACACGTTGACATCTTATCTGCGTCGTCGTTGTATTCTATTTGGCCTTCCGGAATCCGAAGTGGTTGTTGTGGCTCCCAATTTTTCTTTCATTGGTTTTGACATGCGACAAAATTGGTTATTTCCATTTCGAGAAGACCTTCTGACCTCGAACACTCAAACGATGCTGAAAGAACCACAATTTATCAATCATCCTCAATCTTTACTTCGACGCCGACAAAATCGCCTGAGAACTCGTTCACTAGCAAACTCTGTCCCCTTGCACAACGTTAGTCCGCGTTCAATGGTTCTATACGACCGCTGCCCATATTCTCTGAACCACCCATCCAACCAGCTACTTTTTTACGGAACTTTGAGATCCTGATGACGGAACTCACAGTACCGAGAGACGATTCGACGAATCGCATCCAGTTCTACCTAGAGAGAGCCTCCCGAGCATGAAACTGGCTCAATGATGATTTAACAACGGTCGCAAACACTGGATCTTGGGATGCTGAAGTTCTACGTTAAAGTCCAGTTGCAGAAGAAGGTACACAATCTACCAAGTTCTTTATAGAATAGTTGAAGTCAGAACAGATAACCCACGACATCATGATCCCCCAGAGCACGAATCAACCTACCATTGGTGGTGGGCACTCCGCCGTATGCAACTAGCAAAAGGAGCCGAGCTAGAGACTTCTAGAGTCTTAAACCCGGGCTGTACAGTGGAGGAGCTGCCATATGCGTTAAAAAGACCGTCAATGAAGACCAGAACAATCAGGAAAAGTTCACGATGACACTCAAAGCAAAGTGGACACGAAAGCAGCAAGAGATGAAATTGGCAGGCAGTCCAAGTTTTGCATGTGAGTAATATACATAATCACCGGGCGCAGACGGTACAATGCCTCTGGATCTAACTGTTGAGAGAAATCAGGCCGCTGTAATACACCATCTCGAATTAGATTCAAAGCGGATAATTGTCGGTCATTGAATGTCTAGTACTCTGGTATAAAAAGACAAACAGTCCTCGAGACTGGGTAGAAATTCCTCAATGTATTCCCTCGTTCTACTTTTACTTCTGAACGCATTTGTTGCATTTTCCGCACAAGGTCGATGGATTAATAGCTGGACCTCAATGCCCCAGTTGACAGAATCGACCAACCTTCCCAATCCGCCTTTCGTAAGCTGAATGCATACACATAAAAATCTGATGTTTCACTCACCACCCATTGCTATTAGAATGGATCTGCTGCGGTTTTCGTGAACTCAACTCTTCGACAGACACTACACATGTCCGTTGGCGGCACCCAAATCCGAGTACGATTCTCGAATGTATTCGGTGTAAACAATCTGGATATCACTGCTGCTACAATAGCACTTCCACTGGACGGAGCTCCCGGGGCAAGTGCCATTGATACGAAAACTCTGAAGTCGCTTACCTTCAGTGGGAACACAAGTTTTTCGATTCCGAATGGTGCCCTCGTCGTCTCCGATCCGGTCGATTTTCCTATACAATCTTTATCAACATTGGCGGTGACGATATACCTCCAAGATGGACAAAATGGATTCTCCGTTACCTCGCATCCGGGGAGCCGTACAACGACATGGATGTCATTTGGAAACCTAGTAACCGCGTCAAACATTACATCTGTATCTGCAACCAGCGTTGAACACTGGTAAGGATGAAAATGTTATGTTTTATGTTGGAAATCCCTCCTGGTTTCCTGACCAAATTAATTAGGTACTTCATCAGCGCAGTGGAAGTCTGGTCCAATTCGCCATCGTCCTCAGCTTTTGCTATCATCGGGGACAGTATTACGGATGGTCGTGGCAGTGATGACAACAAGAATAACCGGTAAGTCTCACCTGACTCTGTATTCTTCGAGACTGACCACATCAGCTGGCCTGATCTCGTTCTCGCTCGTATGCAACAAAACGAAGGTACCTCTGGAATTTCTGTCAGCAACCAAGCGGCTGGTGGGAATCGGGTCCTTGCAGACGGACTAGGTCCAAACGCTCTTGGAAGAATAGACCGCGACGTTTTGGCTCAATCTGGCGTCAAGTACGCTATGATATTTGAAGGGGTCAATGACATCGGAGTCGCTGATCCTTCAGAAGAGAGTCAAACTCTTATAGGTGATCTGCTTATATCTGCTTACAAGCAGATCGTGACTCGAATCCACACTTTCGGTATTCCGGTCTTTGCAGCCACGATTACACCATTTGGATCTCCGCCGAATACTACCATCCAGCCTTATTCCAATCCCGTTAGGGAGGCCACTCGCCAGCGTGTCAACGCATACATCCGTACACCGGGCTCTTTTGACCATTTCATAGACTTTGACAAAGTCGTTGCGGATCCCAATAATCCTTCTCAGCTGAATCCGGCATTCAATTCAGGGGATTTTCTTCATCCGAATGTTAGTGGCTATGAGGCAATGGCCAACAGTTTCCCGCTGGATATCTTCGAAGAGTTTGCTGACGGGGTTAGTATGTACTAGCTTTTTACCTACCGTAACAATGCATGCTAAAGTGAAAAGCTACCATGACTCAACAGCATTACTTTTTGCTCTTGAAAGTTTTGGTCCAAAGTTTTGTGCGTAGTTATTAGCAAATTTGAGAATATGTTTGCGTAAAATTTAAGCCATGATACAATACAATACCAATGCAAAGACATAGTACAAATGTAGTAGAATAGCAATGATAGAAGAACGAGTGACCGACCGCAAATGCTATGATACAATGGCATATGAACGAGTAACTGACACAGATGTTACACAAGTTCAGGAGGACTTGAATATAATATATTACATATGTGACTGAGACAATATATAGATAAATAGACCGTTGTGTATGAATGAAATATTTTTTTAGGTTCCCTCGATTAAAGACCAGGGGAATCAAGCAGATAAGAACCGGACAAGGCGGGAGATAGAAGCACCTCGCATTCTCTCAGCAACTTTTTCCGGAAATTAAATGGGCCTGAACTTTGGAGACCAGTCTGTTTTCTACTTTCAATAAAGCGTTGAAGTGCCGCACGAGATACGCCACTCCTTCTTCTCCTCCAGTCCGAGGGCGATTGACGGGGCGAACGTAATGAAGACGTGCTACTGCTGCGAGAAGTTGGAGTTGAGCAAAGAAGGGTGAGAAATCCGGATATGACTAGTCGGAAGGTCTTCAGGCGGGGACATATTTCGTGCCCTCGTTCAGAGTCGCTGATAGAAACAGATGCAGCTAAAGAGGAAGAGTGGGAGCAGCAAGAGACATCAACGTCCTTCACAGACTCGTCAACAGAGTTGGGTGTCGATATCTGCCAAGTCAGCAGTTCTAGGTGAGAATCCTGCACTGTATGCCCAAATTCAACTACCCCTACGCCCTCAACATCGATATGACCCAAATCGACGATCTCCAACATGCGCACACTCGGTGGGAGAAGTATGAGGCACTCTGTGAGTGCTTCGGGGGTCATCGATACTTCAAGTTTGAGATCACGTAGTTTATCCACACGCATGGTGCGTTTCCTTCCGGACTCAGAAACTTCGTTGAAGGAAGTATTAAGCCAAGAAAGGAACGGTATCTCAGTGAGTGAAGGAATACCCGCGTAGGCGACTGAAAGTGCCCTCAGAGCAGGACATGATATGTATTCGAAGAATCGATACATGTCCTGGTCGGGATAAGAGATCAACGCATCATTGGGAGGGACCTCGAAGTAGATGATTAGGTTTAGGAGAAAAGGTAGATTAGCAAACGACGTGCAAGAGCGATGGGTGTGAAGTGTTACTGTCGCTTCAAATGATTGCAGCTGCGGGTTTTGAGATAATATGGAAAGGGCATCACATGGACCAAGATCGTGACCGTTGAATGATCCGAATCCTGAACGACGACGAGAGGAAGAAGAGGGGCCTAGTATGAGATGTGTGATATTTGAAGACCAGTTGGGTGTTCTTATCAAGTGTCCAGCAGCGCTAGAGGTCAAGCCGTCAATATGAAGTTCTTGCAAGACGGGCATGCTCTTGTGAGAATGGGACATAAGATCAGCGAGTACTTCCTCACTCATCAAACTTCTGTGCTGGGCTGCAAGTCGTACGTAGATCGACTTCAGAGCCGGAAGCTGGATCGTGCCCATTATGGACAGGGAGCGTAGCAAATGATGCATGGTCTGGAAAGAGAGAATCCCCAACCGGGTAATCCGATGGCTGTGACACATCAAGGACTGGATGAGCTTGAGTGTATTGGGATGCACCTCCTCCCGGCAACCCGAGTCAGAGTGCTTCAGCCCGCGATAGGGCATCAATGAAACTGTAATTGGAATGGTCGATCCAGAGCGTCTCAGCCATAGATCGATCCCGTCCAGCTGGCGTTTCAAGCTCATAGAGTTCATAGAAGCTGGTGGAGGGATACGAAAGTGAGGTGAGCTCCATAACCGAGGAGTATTCAGGACAATCAGTCTCCATTCTCGACATACTGCCACAAGTAAAAGTGGGGCTTGGTCGGTGAGGCGAGGTGGCGGGACATCGTGGATTGTGAGCAGACAGTAAAGGAAAATGTCCGTGAGGATTTCCACGGGTAAACGATGATTTTGTAGGGCCGGAGAGACTTGAGAGCTTTCAGCTACTCGATGACCTGAACGAACTGATCGCACTAATCGTGCCGAGCGAGGTCGAGGGGTACGATTCTCCTCAAAACCAGAATCGTGAGTAGTTTGAGGTATGTACAACGACAATATAGGCCGCCGTTGCCGCTCTTCTCGATTTGAATTGGGCGGCTCGTTTAGGAGATAGCGAGGGCGAGCAGATTCTTCCACCACTCTCCCCATATGTGTACCTGTCGTGAAAAAGTGGCTGCCAGGCGAAGTCGATGATGAAGCGGAAGGTGGTATATGTAGCATCGGAGGGATGGATTGGATAATCAGATTCATCTGAAAGAATAAGCGCTTCGAGGTGGTGTATGTCGATAATGACGGAATAGATGTTGTTTGTTGGGTGGAAAGAAGACATAGCAGCTGTATTATATGGGAAGGTGAGCAGTGAGCACCGCCATTCTATCACTGCGTATATTCAGTACTGACATCACTTGTATACAAGGCCAGTGGCTATGAATCCGGAAGGCTTTACGATCCCTGCTTGTAGTAATGTGTCATCGCGCCGAGATGAACACAATCAACTGGTACTTGACAGAGTATACCCGATCCAGATAAATTTTAACCCAAGCCCGAAGAGTAAGATGAACGTGGAATAGTGAAAGGGAAGCCATAGTCCTCTTCCGGGGCCGTGTGTTCCTACCGCTGTCCAGCCATTCCAAAAGATGGAGGTCGTATTCGGGGATCATACTGATCAGGCTTTGGTACTTTGTATACACAGCTTGAGCAATCATTGAGAGTTTGAAAAAATCATCTACTGTTACCGGAGTACTCAAAGCACTGCCCGTCGTTTGACCGTTGACCTTTTACGATGTAGGGTAATCCAAGTGTGAAAATGCCACACAATTTTCACAGCACCTCGAGCTGCTATGGATATCAGATTCTGGTTTTGATTGCAAGCTGAGATACCTGACCGGAACCGCAGTGCTTCTGTAGGCTTCTGTAGACCTATAACTTACACATTAACAAAGCAAACAGCTTCGATTCTGCTAAATGCTGCGCGTCGCACTGTGAATTATGCCTGGGACTACTATTGACCGTAAAAAGTTGTCGCGATGAGGGTTGTCGATGACCGCGGAAATGGAAATCCCGCCCACAGAGCGGTGTTACATAATTCATGAAACTCAGTTGTCCCTATCCACCATCGTCTGGTTTCAAGTCTTTCTATCGCGCCTATCGCTTGTTCAGTAAACCCAGCTTTAACAGAGCCGATAAAACATTCATCTACACGGCCTCATTCGCTTTAAATTCGAGTTTCTCAATGTCTACTTGGCCCAATAGCGAAATTCAAAAAGCTACACCAGAACGGACAGCGGAAATTCGAGAATCTCTAACAGAAATTCGAGGTCGTGTTTCTAGAGCAGTAGAAGCTCTAGGATCGGTATCCAATATCCCAAAGCTCGTCGCTGTTTCGAAATATAAACCATCTGCTGATATCTTGGTTTGTTATGAACTCGGCCAGAGAGATTTCGGCGAAAATTATGTGCAGGAACTGGTTGATAAGGCGAAAGAGGTCAGATTGACCACAGCTATTTCATGCCTTCTATATCTCAATCTTAACCTTTCTAGCTACCGATCGAAATTCAATGGCATTTCATTGGCACATTACAGTCGAATAAAGCGAAGTTGTTAGCTTGTGCGTCGCCTTTTCACCTGCGACCAATGATCATGTCGATGTATCTTCTCGGGCTCTATAGCGATACCAAATCTACACACCGTACAGACCATCTCGTCTGAGAAAACTGTTAACGCATTACACAAAGCACTCCCTTCCGATCGTATCGCTCCGCTCAATGTGCTCGTACAAATCAATACATCCGGCGAAGATGCCAAATCTGGCATACAACCCCTCGCCTCTTCCTCATCTTCCTCCCTCGGTCAACTCTCAGATCTACAAAGATTAGCAAAACATATCGTAATGTCGTGTCCCAAACTCCGTCTACAGGGCCTGATGACAATTGGCGCCCTGGACCTCTCCCTCTCTGCGAACGAGACCGAGAAAAATGCCGACTTTGAAAGACTAACCGAGACAAGGGACATTTTGGAGCGTTGGCTCCAGGCAGAACTGGTACCGGAGGAAGCAGACAAAAATCAAGTTCGGCGTTGGGGTGACGAATCCACTGGTAAATTGCTCTTGAGCATGGGTATGTCAAGTGATTTCGAAGCTGCATTGAAAGCTGGGAGCGATATCGTTCGCGTTGGGACGGGAATCTTTGGTAGTAGGAAGACTAGAGATAAATTGAAAGAGCCTGGGGCACCGGTGTCGTAGCGTTCGTGGCACTCAATGTAATGGTTAGTGTAAAAAATTGTTGTCTTCTTCTTGTCCGACGAGCCATTAAGAAGTTTGAAGAATATACTGCTGCAAGTACAATCAACTGACTACTTCTGTGCGGTACGCTTTTATTCCTACGCCAAATCCATCCTTCAGATTCACATAATACATATCTGTCCACGGAGGGCTTTTATCGAATAAGACCCCGCCTTGTATAGCACTTCCCCGACATAAATCTTCCTTGGTCTCGCATCCCTTTTCAAAACCTGGAATGTCCTTGACCCCCGGCCCCCAAAATCGAAAATCTCCCCACAATGGAGCATTCTCCGGCTTGATCACGATCTCGAGCGGGACAAGAGGTAGATCGGGCAGATCTTTCATTGGAGTCGCTTTTTTCCCCTCTTTAGCTTTGTCTTTTTCCATCTTGATCAGCTTCGTATTCCTGATCCATTCCTCGAAAATGCTTTTGACTTTGGCCTCACGCTTATTATCAAAGAACGGGTGTAGATTAAGACCATGGTCAATTATCTCGACATAGACCGTGGCTGGCTGATCAAAAACGAGGGTCAGTAAAGTTGGTCGCCATAGGTTGAGTTGCCAATTGGATAAATGGATGTTCATGTGTGGTAGTCACTCACAGCTGGAGACGAAGCTGGTTCTCCCCTGGCGGATTTGGAGCGTTGTTCGAGATTGGTTTTCTCAGACGGCAATGTGGGTGCAGCGTGTGCGACCGACGAAAGGGCAAAAAGAAGATACGCAAGATTGATGTGCATAACGATTGTTACGACCGTCTTACAAAGAAGATCAGATACAGGTAACGCTCAGAGCAGTGCTCTTTACTCACTACTATTGGATACTTGAAGATGAATGAAGGAACGGACTTGAAAGACAGCCTAAGACGGCTCAGAGAAGAATGCGAAAGATGATGTGTAAACGTCTCCAGTGGTAGGTTGCCGAAATCTTTTCGCCAGCGAGAAGAGAAGGTGGTAGCCAGCAGCTGGGGAAAAGCAGCCGCTATATACGAGTTTATGCGGTGAACCATGCGTATACCATCATGATAAATCAAATGGCTCAAAATGAGGGATTTACATGCCTGTATCAAGGGCTGCTCAGGCTGTGTTGCATAACCGGAAGCAAACACGAAGGCTCCGCATTATCGAGTGCTCGAGAGTCGAAGTGATGGTAAGTAAACAGCTCAAACATGTGCATGGTCATTCAAGGGAATATCCTGGAATATTTTTATCATACTCAAGTTGGTGCTGTGAATGAGAATCGGAACGAGGCGTTTAACTTGATCACCTTCGTAGCGAAGGTTTGGCCAATTATGCGAAGACGAGGATGACATCAACATAAAGAAATCTCACCTCATCGCAAAAAGACTGGGCAAAATTTAGAGAGTTGTTGAAGCATTTTGAATCTGGACTCCCTCGACTCCAATGATTCAAGGAGTCTTGTTGAGACATCGAAAGATGGTGGTTACAACTTAGAAATCGCGTGAAATGGTTTCTACGTCTACGGCTATTTAGAGTGACACTGGTGAATCCTCGGAACCTCTACCACTTCCACATCATCGAACGATAGTAATTCATCCCAGTCGAGAAAGCATGGCTTGGAAAGCAGTGAAACTTTTCACCTGATTGTTCGCTAAACATTGCTATAGAAGCCAAGCTTTGGAGGTCAAGTACATTCTTCATCAAATTGCGAGCCCCATTCAACTTCGCAGATTCAAGACAAGTACTGTACATACAGATGTCTCATGTTTGATACTCCAGATTATTATATCGTCTCTCCCGTCCATTCCTCTTCCCCTTCCCTCCTATCCAGCCGTCATCAGAAAAGAAAATAGAGCTGTGACCGAGATCCGGAACAGCACTGCAACTTCCAGAGATGTCGCCTTATGGGATCGGCTGCTCGTGCTGAAGTAGTAGTCAGTTCGCAGCAAGAGAAATAAAAATGTTTTCATTACATATGGTTCATTATTGATGTGGATGAACGGTGTCTTAGTGGGCGGATTCAAGTCCACGTCAAATTGAAACTTCCCCCCAGTTCCAATATTTTCAACCACCCCTGTACTTACGGTGTTGTGAGCTCCATCATTCCACGTGATTGTGAAATGAATCTTGTTGCTTTCATCAAATTGTGGAAATGCAACAAAGTGAGGAAAGGTGACCGTGACTGTATGTCCTTGGGTATTCATTTCTATCGCACGTTTAATGTCCTCCTCGAGATGTGACGTGAGATCAGGAGGTAGGAGTTTTTTAGTGTATGGAAAGGTGATTGCAGCTGTCCAAGTCGTTCTACTGATCAGCCCAGAGCGGGACTGCAAGTCGAGTTCCTAGGGAGAGAGAAGTGGAAACTCTACCGTTAGAATACGAAAAACAATTTGAGGCATTTAAATCTCACCGAACCAGTGATTGGTCGTGCAGTAACATATGCAATGGACACAATCCCGAGGATGAAAACGAGGCATGCTTTGATGTTCAGGCCTGCGCCAGGAAGAGGGAAGCGCATAATGATGATATCGATGATATGGGGCTTGACAAATGATGCGAGGAGAGCTGTGGTTGGTGTCGGGTGAATGGATTTTGTAAGGAACTTGAAAAGCGGATTTGTGGTAGTCAGTGGGTGTATTCGTAACGTCAAGGATGTGAAGGACATCTTACTTCAATACTTATGACCAGTAACGTGTAACTTTGTGTAATCCCAACGGCCAGCGTTGGTTTACGATGTGAAAAAATGAGAGGAAGTTGGGATGGCAAGTGACGATAGAATTGACCATTTTAATTTATACCTGCCACCTGCCTGCCACAAAGCATACAGGGTCTGCGTAAACCTGGCGTAAACGGTTAAAAAGAATAATAGGCGAAAATCAGGCGATGATTGATTGATTGAAAACGGGGGGGTTAATCCTATGCGCAAAACAATTCATTATACTGTTTCGTCCAGGCATAATTGCGTTTGGAATCTGCCCCAACGCACTCGAGAAGGGCATGCACTGGGCATGTGCGCGGTTGATTTCTAAAAATTGTTGATTTTTTTTCCCGGCACGCCACGCAATTTCTGTCCTCGAGCCCTTAGTGATACCTAGCAAGATTCTGAACATATCAATCGACGCAAGATCCCTTTGAGTAGCTGGTATCATCCAATCTTAGAGTTACAGATTCAGAGAAAGTACAAAGGCACAAGTATGATGGTTGGTACGCCATCTCCTCTCTCCCGAGTCCATCCCTGTTCTTCCTTCTTCTCGTCCCTCCCTGTCATCGAAAAAATAAAGACTTGGGGTCCCGCATGGGTTGTGATCGGTCACCACTTGGCGGCGTCGCAGGTCTGTGCTTGGCTGAAGTGATAGTCAGTTAACGATAAAGTAAATAGAAATTTTTGCTCTTACACATGGTTCGCTACTAGTATTAACCTGAAGCATTTATGGCTGGTGTAGAATCGGGCGGACTTAATTCGACCTCCACACGAAATTGATTTCTTCCTTCCGGAATCTTTTTAACAACCCCTTTACTTGGGCCACTTTGAGCCCCGTTGTCCCAGGTAATGAGGAAAGAAATGTTCTGGTTCTCGTCAAACTCCGGAACTAGCTGGGAAAATTTGACTTTGACTGTATGCCCAGAAACGATATTCATTGATATTGCCTTTCGAATGTCATTCTTGATATTGCACGCAATTTTCGATGGCAGGATTTTCGAAGCAGAGCCCGGAAAGGAAACTGTAGCTGTCCAACGTGCTCTACTAACCAGATCAGAGCGGGATATCAGGTTTGATTCCTGGAGAGACGTAGGGGTTGGAAGGATGATGAAAACAGATTCTGGCAGAGCAATTCGTGTAACCCACCGAGTTGGTAAGCGGTCGAGCAGAAATGCACGCGAAGGAAACAAGTCCAAGGATGAAGACAATGAAGACTTTAAAGCCTGCACCAGGAAGAGGAAAGTGCATGGTGATGTGGGGCTCGAAGGAAATGAGCAAAAGCACAAAAAGTTTGGTATCGAGGGTGTGATTTTTTTGTCAAACTTCAATAAAAGATCTGTTGTTGTAGACGTTAAGTGAATTCGCAACGAGGATCATAGTATTATACCTTTGACTAGCAAAGTAGAATCTCAACGACCAGCGTTAGAATTTTTTTAGAACGGAAGGAATGAGGCTTGGGATTCCAAGCGACGATAGGATGTTTTTCACCGTGTTCGCAAAAGCTTGTGGCACCTTGTGCTCATTGAAGCACATGAACTTAATGTTTACATAGAGATCACGATCGTGTTTGAATCAGCCGGAGCACGCACTGATCATTGCTAAATCGCGCACCAATGCAACCGGTGGAAGTGAGCCACTGTCAAGATAGGGAAACCAGATTGACGAAGCATTATCCTTGGCTATCCTCTGTCGTTACGGTTATGCGCGAAAAAAGGCTGTTCTCACCAAAACACATGCAACGTCCATAGAGATCCCAATGGCTTTATTGAAAAATCGCTCACCGACACAACCCTGTGCGACCGGTGATTTTCCATGTCCTGGCAGTGGCTATCCTCTGTTGTCATGAGCGAAAAAGCCATCTGACCCTTCAGATCTTCAGAGACCTCCCTCCGAGCACCTGGAAGAAGTTCACCAACGTTGATTGGGACATGTCTCTGACTGCCTCCATATGCGTGAGGCATCGACCTACCACAAACCCATGTGGGTTGATTGCGGTACTTCCAGGATTGGAAGGTTCTTGGATGCTGGTCCAGGACTTGCAGGATTTGATATAAACCGAAACCATCATCAGTCTTTTGAACAAGATAGGTTTTGAATGTCGAATATCTCGGTGTAGCTTAGACTGCGCAGCCTTGGCGGCAATTGACCAAAGCACTGGTGAAATGAGGAGCAAGCAACAAAGCCGTTCGAAAAGTTATTGCGATTTTTCGTTCATGAACAATCCTCATCAAATGCTCATAAATTGTCCCTAAACTATTCAATGGTTCTATGAAGACTATAGGATTCAAGAATCTACAACCGAAGCATCAATTTCCCGGGAAGCTTCGTGGACGTCAGTTGTGGTAGCTACCAATGTCCCCCTAATCGCCGGCTGTGTTACCATTCTCGAAGGCCTTGCGAACGTTCAAAAACAGTTATTTATGTGTGTCGGTTCTCCCTGGTTTCGCATTGCTCTAAAGTAGCCAGAAGGTCATTCAATCAGGACCGGATGTGGATTAGAACTCTTTCGGGCTTACCACCGGAGAACCATTGATGCTTATACCGGGCGTTCCAGCGTAGCCAGCTTCTAGCTCCACCACATGAACCGCCTGTGGTACTACCCCCAATTCCACTTTCCAGTAACTAGGACTCTTACCACTGCTCGTCTGCACCTCTACTACTTTTCCTTCAGTGATAGAGACTTGACGCCCATTTTCTACCCAGGTAACGTCGAACCCAATTGTGTTGCCGACAAAATCTGGAGCTCCAGTTTCTTCGAAAACGATGGGAATGGAGCCCCCAACATCGTGCTGAATTTTCTTCTTGATCCTAAGGCGGACCATGAACGCCGTCTCGACATTGGGTTGTGGGGAGCAACAATGGTGAAACTTGACTATAACTTTCCTTTGGTCAGTGGCTACTCGCTTAAAATTTTGAGATGTCGCATGCTAGAAATTTCTGGAGTGAGAAAGATGGATATGAAGAAGATGTGTGTCAGACACACCAATCCAAAGATAGGTTGAGATGTAGCAGAGTACGCGATGCAGAGAAAGCCAAATACGAAGGGGAGAATAGAACGATAGAAATGCATGATGATGATGACGAGTATTCCAGGAAAAGAGAAATTTGTTGTACTGTAATGTTTAGAGACTAATTTAATGCAAAGGAGTAAGTTGAGATAGGTGAGATGGGGATTGGAAGGAAGAGGAATACCTGGTATCTTTGATGAATGCTGATGCCCGCAACCAGCGCTGAGGCAATTTTACTGAGGGAATGAAAGAGGAGTTGGGATATGCGAAGGCTCGTGCGATGGACAGGCTTTTTGAGTTCCTTCCTAGAGTGATAACAATCATGGAGCATCCCCGACCGGGCGACACAAGGCGACGGACCTAAAGATTATCCCAACTAAGCAGAAGCGCTCCGATCCGATAAGAGTGTCGTATGAATGATATGTGAAATTGTGAATAATGCATATGGAAGAGAAGGGTTCTGGTGATGAGTTGGATATCTAACTTTGAGAAAAACTTCCTCGTTGAAAAGGTAAATTCGCGTTCTGTCCCAAGGCACCCACAAGTTACAAAACAAGGAAGTTCATCTCGTCCTTTCTCAGCTACAGAAATCACGAAATCTGTTCCGCTCACCTGATATCCCGTTTAGAGAATGTCTCACACAAATGCCGATAGGCAATTCCTCAGGCAGTGTCTTACTACGGCAAAAAGCACTCTTTTGAAACTTCCTGCTAAACCTGATTCAACGGTGAAATTCTGGATCTTCAAAGCTTCAAGCTCAAGCATTTCTGCGCCTAACAATGCCCCGTTGGCTTCTAGGAACCCTCCTTCAACCTCCTTCAACGAGTCCGATTCGTACCATGGCTTTGACGAAGGCTCCTTCTTTATCTTATTCAAGAGAACTCCCATTAGGATGCAAATAGCTCAGAGGATTTGATTCTATCCACGACTTTTGAGTACTGCAACCTCCAATTCCTTCCCTCGCGCATATCTCCTGCAGGAACTTCTTTGAATCCAGATTCCAACGATTCGACCATTCTTGACGGCGCATTACCGGTTGTTTCCTGTAGATTGAACTAGACTTCTGATGTAGACAGCGCCTCAAATGTTAATACTCGAGATCGATCATAATAATGCTCAAGCCCAGGCGGCGAACTCTCTCGGTTTCCACGTCGCCAGGCTCGAAAATGTCGGATGAACCAACGGACCTTTGTTGAAAGGAGATTCAGCACTCGATAACAAGTCTAATGCCCGCTGGTCTGTGCCATTTCGAGCTTTCATTGCGCGCACATCACCTTCAGTCAATCTACATGACAGCTCTGTACTTATTCAAGCGAGGGAGAGTGGACATGCTTTTCTCAGATATGGCCTCAATTACAAGGGTTTGGAATACAAGACGTCTCAACCACGATTAAGAAGATTGGGGCTAATACTACTTGTCTACAACCCACCAGAAAACCTTGGTACACCATCCCCGCCATCGTCGACGATGCCGTTGGTGTCGCATTGCCCGAATCCGCCGAAATTGCCGAGTATCTCGACACATCTCGGATTATTCCTGAGGGTACTCATACACTCCAAGCTGCACTTTGCGATGCGTTTCGACCAAAGCAAGCAGATCATCGCCTATTCCTCGTGCCCATCACTATGTTGGTGTCTAGTGCTGCGTTTTTCCGTTCCAAATACAAGGCTATCTTCGGAAACGCTTGACGATGTATTCAACAAAACAGAGGGTTGTTTCTTGGAACAAATGGAAGGAAGCAATTAGTGGCGCTGATTCCTGGATGAAGAAGAATGATATATTGAAGAGATAGACCCCTTCATTGCTGCTTTCCAGGTTCTTTCTTTCTGCAAAAATACATTTTGGTGCTGATATAGATAGCTAGGAGTACGGAGAATTTGTGGAAATGCATGAGGGGCAATGGGGTCGATTGGCGGAAAATGTGGAGAGGTACAGCCAAGTTTTGTAAATGAGGATTACAGTATGTATGCAGCATTTACAATCGTCGTAGAACAGTGTCTATTTTTGACATCATCTCGATATTCTAAAAATGAGAATGCCCTAGATACACATGAGGCTACATAAATGAGGCTACATCAAGGCTGAAGGCGTTCAGGGCGCATATATTGCGCGTACTATTCTTGGTACTATTCTTGATACATTGCTGTAAGCGTCTGTATTACAATATGTAGATTCTTGTATCGAGAACCCCATCCGACGGTCTTGATGAGATACGATAGCGCTCAAGGCAACCAGTATAAATTCTGGAGCCAAAACGAAAGGTTGAAAGACACGCCCTGGAGGCTTCACCTCGTTCATATTCCCATTGGCAGGCCCAAACTCTGCATTGAGCTAATTTTCGCAATGTTTTACAGCAACAATGCATTTTCAACGGTAGTGCTCTTCTTCATATACCTCATTGCTCTCCCGCTTTCAACTTTATCTCCGATGGCCTCTGCAATGCCCATCAGAGGACGGTCGAGCCCACAAGAAGTTCGAGCTTATCCTCCTGTTCCTAGGGAGTTCGTTCGCATACATCAGGACCGCGATGGAACCATTAGACTCGCCCAAGCTTCTCCAAGAGACGGTCTATACTCCGTGTACAACGAAACACACGCACAGTACCACGGCGGTGACAATCTGGACACAGATACGACTATCATGTCAGAGGAGTTTCACTTTCTTCAGATTTGGAATCGAGACTTACTTCGACGGTGTCCACAGGCAGCGACGTTCAATCGAACCCTTTCTGCCCCGTCACAAGAACCCAAAGCGCCAATTCGACGGTTCTTGTGCAGCTCAATGTGGGACCAAGTCTGCCAACCCTGCAGATATCACAGCGGCCGAAGCTGCTCTTGATGCGCAATTCTCGAGCTCTCAATATGGGTTGAGCTGGGGAGTCGGTCAATACATCGGAACGGATGGTAGTGTCTTCCAAGTGGTGAACAACGTTTATGCGTATGGATGCGACCAGGGCGGGAAGGGACAGACAACCACAAGTGAGGAGTATGCTTTTCAGGTCCAGTGTTTGACAGAATCTTGCGGTTCGTATATGGGTTCAAATCGTGACAAGAGCGCGAAAAGAATATTCGGGAGAGATGTGGGAAGCTTCAAGTGCAACTAGGAAGCAATAGACTAAGTAACGAGTTAGTTGAGAAATACTGACTACATAGATTGTAGCATTGTTTGCATAAGACTACGACTTGAAGCTTTTTAGTCTTCAGTTTTAGACCGTTCTTCACAGCTGTCGTCATCAACTTGAACTTCATGTGCCGGAAAAAGTTCAAAAAAAGTAATTGAATTCGACTGGAGGTCACGAAAACACGAAGGGTTATATCTATCAAGGTTCTGGAAAAACCAAAAATTGGTCCTCTGCCCACACCGGGACTGTACTCACAGTGTGCAACAAGTTACCCTCCCCGTCGAGTATCTTTGCCACCCCACTGCCCTGATAGTCAATACGACAAGAGTGTTTGGTCAGAGCACATTCCGGGCTAATGCTATTGCCACTGATCAAGGCGGAATATGGCAGGTCCTGTTCCAACACCGTCTCGACTTGTTCTGGATAATTTCGAATCGTCAATGTGACACTGGCGGAATCCCAGGTTTTCTTCCAGCTTTGAATCATATGAATGATCTGGCCTCTGAACAGACGCGACAGATCTCGGCGTGGTGCGAGATTGACAGTTCCAAAGTCAATGTACAGCTGGCTCCCTGTTGTCGGAACTCCTGCGGGTACATTGTCCACAGTGTGTAGCACCTCTTTGCCTTTTAATATCCTTGCTACCCCTTCACCATCATACTGTATACAACATAAATCTTTTACTTGAAGACATTGTGGGCCGATAGGTTTACCGCTGATCCAGGCGGTGTATGGCTTATCGTCGTTGGTATCCAGGTAAGTTATAAATTCAAATTTGACGTTGCCAAAGTTGGACTTCCAGCCCGGTTTCCAGCTCTCGACCATATAGCCAATCTGGCTTCTCAACAAGCGTGTCGAGGCTTGTACAGTGGATGTCCCATGATCGAACTTGATGTATATCCTTTTACGGGCGCCTGCAGCCTTCTGGATTCAATGAATGAATGAATGAGGAAGTCAAGAATTGCTGTACATACCGCGGCGGAATGATTTTCGGGAGGTGTAGGTGCAGCGTGTGCAGCGGAAAGGAGTGCGAAGAACAAGAACAAACAAGTGAAACGCATCACGGGTGGATTATGACTATAAAGAGGGCGGAAAGGTTATATCATTAAAGAGGGCCGATGTCTAACTGGAGAGGAGTGGTACGAACGATAAAATGGCGTAAGCTAGTGAATTCCTTTTCGCCAGCGAAAAGAGGGCAAGGAAGTGAGAGTGATCGACGAAACTTGGGCATTGCTTATAACTCCAAGCGAAAAGAACTCATTGATCACTAGCAGGTAACCGGGGATCAGTGAGATGTAGAGTATGTACAGTTTCTGGTTTGTGTACATCCTACATACCTGCAGCTCCCGATGACTCTTCCCATGATTCGTTGTGAAAAAACCTCGTTTTCATGTGGGACGTTATTCACGGCATACAACTTGTCTGGAATCTTTTGTAATCACTTTACCCTGTATACTGAACGCGACAAAAGTCCATTTTCGGGACTGGGCTGGTAGGTTTACCACTGATCCAGGCAGTATACGACTGGCCATTCTTGGTATCCTGGTAATTTTTAGAATCAAATCTGACGTCGCTAGGCTTTCAATCCGTTTTCCAGCTACAGACTCAATCTGGCTTCGCACACAACAAGCACCTCTAGTGCGACGCGCGAACGCCACCATTGTATTCGATGTATATCCTAGCACAAGTACTCAAGTTGCTGGCAGGAGCCTCCTGAATATAGATAGAGATAGAAGAAAGAGTGTAAGTCAAGTAATGAATGCTTTAATCAAGAAGTTGTGCACACCTCGGAAGAATGTTCATCAAGAGGGTTCTTACCGTGCAGTCGAGTTCCATAACTATAAAGGCAACAGGAAAGTAAAATTTTTATACTCATGAACTGTCGAATGCTGCCAACACACGGGACACCAATAAATGAAAACAAACATGTCATTGACAATCAGCTCGAAGCTCCTACTCGACATCGACACATTCTCATTCATCTACGGAATCCGCGCGCATGCCTTCTGCCAGACTTCTTGGGTCAACGATCCAGATTGCAGCCTTCAACTGATTTGGACCGGGAACTAACTCTGCCCCATTACATGTAGAGGATGACGAAGGAGAAGGACCGGTATTCACAGAAAGTACCCCACCATTTTCTGCAGACATAACAGCTGCATTTGGAGTAGTCGATGCACCCATAAACATCTCGAACATCTCAACTCTCGCTCGCGCGTTGATCTCCTTCACAATTGCCTTCACGCTCGTCCGATTAGCTGTCAACGTGGTCCACCCCAAGGCAGAGCCCCACGCGAGACTTTGAACAGTATGAGCAGTGAGACGAGGGCTGGCTTTGGTTATTGTGGCGCGCGCAAAACCAGAGATGGACATTGGCACATTATCAGGTTCATCTCCATCCATAGACGCAGGATCGTGATTAAAATTGAGACCTGAATGGGGAGCGTTAGGACCAAAAGCGAAATTCCCTTTCAGCGTCCGTGGACCGCCGTTGGACCGATTGTGTTTTTCGTATTCCAATATATCAGAGCAGGTAGTGTGTAGCGATCGGAAGAACGGAGGATTACCATCCACTGCAGAAAGTGGCGCGTCCGAGATTGAGGTCGTAGCCAATAAAGGATGTGAAGACGAAGTCGGCGCAGAAGATACAGGGTAGAATCGTAGTGGTATCAAAGAAAGGAAATTTTGTGGATATCGAGAATCTGACCAATACGCCTCTTGCGCCTTGTCCAGTGTATCTGGAAAAGGAAGCGCATAATCTGAATCCACATCTGAACCAATGGCTTCTGATAATTGTTCGCCAGTGGATGCAGAGGAATCAAATAAGAGCCCTTGTACACGACGCTTTTCCTTCAGACCTCCCACTTTGGACACGATACGGAAACATCGATCGCGGGCTTCTGGCGTTGTCCAGAATTCGATCGGTTTCTTTTCGTCGGACGGCACATTGGGCTGAAGTACATCAAGCCTGTCGGCAATCTCTTGCAACAAACCCTTCTCCATCTCCTGTAGAACCTGATTCGTCAAAGCACGGGAGGTCTTGGCCATATCCTCCTGCGCAGGGAGCGATAACTCGAAATCCTCATCATGAAAGTCCGGGTCAAGCGCTTTCTTCGCCTTAGCTTTGGTCGCATTGACTTTCCTCTTCCATTCGAGATATCGCTCGGGGGGAATGAACCGACTATTTGCCTCGTCGATGGTCGTTGGGAGTGGAGCGTGGGTCAGATCAGAAACGAGAGCGATGAGAACGGATAAGTCGAGGTTGATTCTAGTAGTGGGCTCAATTATGAAAGAAGATGGATGAGGTACAGTGCTTGGCTGCACCTCCGGAATCTCATCTAGGGTACGTTCACCTAAATGTACATTGATGCCCATATCTATGAGGTCTTGGATAGTCTGCGCGATACGAGGGTCTGTAGGCTCTGTATTTGGGTTCAAACGAGTAAGGCAGAGAGTGATCTGTGGGATTATTCTCTCGAAAGAAGGATGAGAGACCGGCAGATGGACCGGATTCATCTTCGCTGCAGCTACAAGCGATCTGCCCATCCGCAAGACCGAATTATCAAATTCTTTTTGAGCTAAGCTAGGCCGATAATCTTCTTCTTCCTCGTCCGACGATGACTCGTCATCCGTCAAATAAGAGTCGATTTCACGGAATTCAGCCAAAATTCTAGAATTTTTGATACTGCGCAAGTACGAATAATCAGAGAAATGAACACTTGAGAATCAAAAATGGTACTGCACGTATTGATCCTTATCCATTGCCTACCACAATCAGCCACAACGTCAACTTTGGTGCCCTGCGTACGGGGTCCTTGATTTGGCTTGTTATTACCAGCATCTTCCGCAGTCACGAAAAAGGACTTGAAAACGCAAATCACAGGGGCTCGAGCACAAAGCACCTCGTTCCATACAGCGATAAGATACGGCGCATTCGTCGAAAGTGATGGTAGGTTGCTAGAATCTGGATCGTCAAGAAACTACTGAACGTGTTTATTCAGACTCTCTACATATATCATAGATCGAAAGCATGCCAACCTTGTCTAAAGCATCTAGATCAACTTTGATGGATTCCTTAAGCTTTTTGAGGCCGGGAATGTTGTCGTGTTGGAGCCAATGAGTGTCTTCAGCTGGATTTTGGATGACTTCAAGAGATGAATCGAGGATTGGAGGCCTTTTGACTGGAGGTTGGAAGTGGGATATAGAGTCGTGGATAGATAGCAGATGGCTGTGAAGGCTTCTAAGCTCTGGGTGAGAAGGAGATACGTTGGCCATGATCGTCATGTTAGGATACAGAAAACCTTTTCTAACCTTATCTTATCGGAATCTTCGCACGTGCAGCGAGCGCTTATCCATGTAATCTTCATGATCTTGGCCTTTTCAGACGACCTTCACAACCTCTATGTTCCTTGAGATTCTCCCTGCATTGCGTATTCTTAATGGATGTAATAATTCCCGAATCGCACCCTCCGAGATTCAAGTCCTTCCGCACAATCACTACCAGAATTCAAGTCACGACTCACCCACTCCACCGACAGTCTCTTCATCTCCTTTAGATCAATTCCCTATCTGGTTTAAACGAGTGATGGAAGATGGCGTAGTCCACGAGCACGCGGCCATATCACTGTCTACCGCCACGCCATCCTACTGGGTATTCCATCAGCCCGAATGGTGTTAACCAAGTAACTAGATGAACGTGGATTCATCTTTTACACCAATTACACATCGCCCAAGTCACACGAGTTGGAAGCGAATCCGTACGCAGCGCTAATGTTCTTTTGGCGGGAGGCTCATCAATCCGTGAGGGTCATCGGGAAGGTAGAGAAAGTTAGTCGAGAGGAGATTGAGGCATATTTTTGGACTCGACCCAAAGGCAGTCAGTTGGGTGCTTGGGCTAGCAGGCAGAGTCAGGTTGTCAAAGTGGTGATAGAAAGGTTGAAAAAGCTCGAGAAACGATTCGCTTCTGTAGAGTATAATGGAGAGACACAATCGTACATAACCTGTTTTGCTTAGGATTGATGGACCTCATCATATTTCTCACGTTTCATTTCAACGTGCCTGTACGACACCGACGGTTATCATAATCCAATTCCTGATGCATCAGCTCCAGCCTTGAAGCTTGAAATTTGAAGAGCCTTGACAACCATAAGTCCTACAACCACAGCTCTCGCTTTTTAATCTTTTGAAAGTTGCCAGACTGGGATCCAATGTACTCAGCTGCAATTGCTCCTATAAGGCGTCCATCTTCCCCAGACTCTACGATGCACAACCAGGGATATTCAACCCTAAAAAATGGCAACGAAGATTCCGAGTCAGTCGAACTTGAAGAACTCACAAGGTCGCCCTTGCGCCCTCATTACGGAACCGCTGGTAGACGTACTGGATATCTCACCATTCTAGGCCTCTTCTTTGGTTCAATATTGATTGCTGTCATCAATCATGTTGTCTTTTCCAAACTCGATGGAAAACCGACCGCTGGACGTACTGAACAATTTTGGGTAACCACCCTCAAAAATGTGTTTCCAGCTGCAGTTGCACTCCTGCTGTTTGTAGATCTCAAATATTGTCTCTCACAAGTGGTGCGTTCATGATTTTGTTCGGGTTAGAACAACACCTTGATATTCCATGTATATCAGGCGTTATATCGAATTCGCAGTGGCTCGCATCCGATAGGCCTTGTGAGCCTTATGACCTCCCCACCGAACTTCACCAATACGATATCTATCTTATTAAAGTCGTCCATGCGCGCTTCGATCTTGATATTTTTTATCTTGGCCGTAATCACTCAAGCGGTCACTGTCACCTCCATTTTCATCCCTGGAGCGCTAACGGTGACACAGAGCTCTCCAGTTACCACCTCCCTCGAAATCCCTAACGTCGACTTCAATGCTGTCAATCCTATGACATCGTCATTCGTTACCGTAGAATCCGATACTCCTCCTACTCTGAGCTTCCTCGATTCATCTCAAAGGTGGCGTCAATTGATAATACGGGCTGCTTCGGCCAACGTTGCCCCGACATGGGACGCACCGGTCGGGTGTGGTTCATCCTGCACTTATAACTTCACGTATTCCGCTCCTGCGCTTAATTGCACAGAATTATCAAAGCAAGATATTTGGCCAAGTGGAACAAACACCTCCGATAGCCGTTTGGCTTTTCCTCTGAATACTACCGATCCAAATGAATCCTTGAACGAGTATTTCTTCTACAACTCATCCTTTGCATTCACTTCTGAGCCCAACACTCCCAACGTCAGTTCATCTACCTTGGATGTATACTACATGGAGAATTTCAACACGACGTACGATCAGGCTTTGTTATTAGCGAGCCAATACCCGGATCCTACGCAATACAACCCTCGTGGCGCTCACTGTGAATACCAAAATGCCACGTATGAAGCAACGACCACGTTCTTGAATAACACTCAGTCGTCGAGTGTGCACGTAAAGGAGCTGAATGGCTACCTCCCCATCGGACACGATGCCGATGGCCCATATCCTGGAACGAATACGACAAACATGACATTGGCGTTTCGTAGTATTGCCCAGTCCTTCAATGAAATCCTTAGCGGAAACGCGTTCTACCAAACGAACAGCAGCGGTTTGGTAACGGATAGTACCCAGGCTCTCAACACACCGCTCTTCAGTTTAACTGGTGTCATCCAGAATGTCACAGCCACAGATAGCTTCCAATACAACGAATATCTCTTCCTTCTTTCTCCGACGTTCAAAGGTAATCTCTCCGATGGAATTGAAGAACTCTTGGGAAACATCACTCTTGCCTTCGTAAATGAGGGACTGGCATCCACAATTGCAAGTGTGACTGTGACTCCCAGTAGCACGCAGTATCAGTACCACGCAGTGAAGCTGGCTGTCATATACGGGATAGTGTTTGCCATGTCCCTCGTGGTGGTCATCTACGGCCTCGTGTGCATTTGGGAGAACGGTACTACTGCAGTCTTTGACCTGGAGCATATCATTGAGATGACGGCCGGAAGCACGAATCTCCACAAATCTGCCCTGCACCCAGAGTTTAGCTCTACGTATGTTCGGGGCCTCCTCTTTCCCGCCGGCAACTCGACGAGAACTATATTGGATACTTCCCGGGAAAGAGAATAGAATGGGTTCTTCGTTAATCGCATCACGGTTGCAACGGGCCTTCAAGATGACATGAACGTACACAAAATGAAGACGAAGTGATCAATGATGTTACATAAATAACATAAGATATAAAGTACAGCTGGCGCTTCTCAGACCGCAGGGGAAGTGGGTGCGGCTGTGGCTGAGCTTGTTGCTGTCGCAGCAGTAGAAGCAGGAGGAGTAGCAGGGAGGGAGGGCGTCGGATCACAAGCTACCTTCAAGCCATTTGTCAACAACGTCAAACCGTCCGCACCAAGTACATCCCTCGTTCCCTCCGGTACAGTCCCAACATACGCATTAAAATTGTATATTCCGCAAGGGCACGTATCCTGGATCACTTTCAGGCTCGTAGCGCTCATTACCTCAGCCCCATTCCGAGCAAGGGTAAAGCTCTGAGCACCAACCTCGAACGGGACGGAAAACGCAGAAGCACCAGCAGGCGCATCGATTGTGTATTCCATCGCACCCGTGTTGACGGTGATCGTGCCTGCAGCGGTCAATAAAGGAACGACGAAAACGTCATCAGCTAGGGTGTCGTATCCATCTGGTCTTCCTTCAAAATAGTTGCCGGTGTCATTGTTTGCAGCGACCATAGTGGTGTCGGTGGAATCACAGTCGAGGTCTTTTGGTGTAATGCGGTACCAGTAAATAATCTCATCAGATGTAATGTAGCTGTTAGGAGAGGACGCTCCTGCTTTGTACGCTGAAATGAAGGGTTTTGCCATGTCGAGCCAGCCATCGTGGGGCCTGTGTGATGACAGAGAGAGAGAAGTATTCGAGTAGACAAATGCGAATTTCTTGACGTACATATCATTCACCCATTTAGAACTTCCGTCGTCGGTGTGAGGGGAAGACAGTGGACCAATGTAATGGCTTTCGCCATAGTCATTCCAAGTTATGATTTCAACATAAGGAGGCTGCAGTTCAAGAATTTCCAGCCATCTCATGTACCACAACAAGTCGCTCGGAAATACCCAATTTTTACTATAAGTGACCTCTGGTCCAAAGTGAGTGGCTACAACAAAATATATGGTCAGAGACGTGATATCGAGTTTGTCAAAAAGTTTTCACTCACAAAACCATGCGGATGCAGCTTCAATATGAGAAGGAAGATTTCAAAGGTGAGTTATACCGATTCTGAATAATTACTCACGAGCGATATACCCCTGAGAAGTGGAGAGAGCACTGTCGTATTCCTGGTCTCCCTCAGTTACAGTGACTACAACACCCCCCTGAGGCGCTTTATTATCGCCATCGTTCTCCCAAGCTAGCCAATTGAGTGCACCGTCGATGACACTCAAATCGCCCACCCCAGGATGGAAATTCGGTGCAAAATAAACGTCAGGAAACCCGTCCCCAGAAGCTGTTGATCTTAACGTGGTTATATCAAGTCCATCGCCTGCGAATGAAGAGGCGAAGACGTAGCTCGTCCCATCGACGTCGACATGGAGTTGAGCTGGTAGACCTGCATACTGGGCAATTTTCGCACCAACGGCGGCAGCATCACTGGCAGGGTCCCACCAGTTGAAATCAAAGGATATGAAGACGGACATGTCATTGTTGGCGGCAGATTCGTAGGCGTAGCCGAGTTGAGTGTCGGTGTAGGAGTCAGTGCCGATGTTGAGCGCGAATGCATCGATTCCGAGGGATTTGGCACGCTGCATGTCTGCGTCAAAGTCGGCTGAGCTGGTTCTATCCGATACGACTCCAATCTGTGAACAGAGGGTATGAGTATATCAATGACGAACTGATAAGATAAAGTCTGTTCTACCATGAAGTGACAGAAAACGAGCTTAGAGCTCGAAGTTTGTCTAGACTCGATTTGTGATCTGTTAATAGAGGACATGGCGTACGCTTTCACATTTGCCGCTGGTGACGCCCTGGTAGACGCGAAAAGCCAGAAACCAAAAAGGACGGAGGAAAGGAGACGCTTCATGGAAAATAAGATGCAAGGACAGAGTTTCAGGGACTATTCACAAAAAAGTATGCGCTATTATACGACCGGGAAATGAGAATGAGCACATGCAGCGGTGTTCAAAGAATATCTGCACTCACATGAAAGATCCGCGAACTCAGTGCGGTAGTATCATGCATGATTATTCTCCCACTTATTGAGAAGTAGCACAAGAAGCTGCGGTCAACCAACAACGTGAACAAGATTGATTTCAACAAAGTGACCCGGCCAACGGATTCGTAAAAAAAAAGGTCAATGTCATTTCTTAGAACGACGCGAGATCCATCGCACAGACCTAGGCGCCACATAGATTGCATACGCGGGTGCATACTCTGTGCAGGGAGCTACAAGGACGGTAAGGATGATCACCAATCTCTGGCTGTTGGGCAAAACAAGTTTGCATGGAGACGAAGATGAGACTACATTTGGCCAGTTTAATGAAAACAAACAAAACAACGCTGTGTTGATCGAGTAAATTTAGTTTTCAGGTGATTACATCCTTAGTTCTTGAGAGTTTTCCTGAAGATGTTGAGCATGGTTTGTACGAAGCGCACGCTGACTTTGGAGCATGTGATGAGAGGTAGTGAATTTCAGCTAGTTACAAGCATCTGATATTTGGGCTTGCGGCAGGAGAAGTGACCATCTTGTGCAACGGGACGAGTATGGTGAAATATGATGTCAAGAAGCCAGTTGATGAAGATGCTGGAACAGTAAGTTCCTACCACTAGGCACGCATAGTGTATGGCTTTCCCAGATATCCCCAAGTTATAAAGTCTTGAAACCACCTTCGCGCAGGATGGTCCATGTCAAAGGCCTTTAGAATCCAAATGAGAATCCGAGCATAAGAAATCATTATTTATCGGGGGCCTAATTGAGCCCAAGTTCGCGTGCATGGGAATCAATGTAGACATTGCTTAAGGGTCCAGTGTTGCTCGCAGTTCGCCAGAGTGCAGCTATTGTACAAAGGTCTCATCGAAATCGTCATGGAGGTATACTCATAGATTTTGCAAGTTGAAGTAAGAGAACATATTTGCTTTAAGCGCCAATGGGCGCTCAGTTTCTGAAGTTACAACTCAAGAACATCTATGATTTTAGTAATGGGCAATGTTCTTTCTGTGTTCTTGTACGAAGGAATTTCACTGGCGACTCAACAGTGTAAGTATGGCACTTCTTAGCTGTTTGCTACTGACTTCATTTTTGAAGGTGAAAGGCTGAGAGTCCCTTGTAGTCTGTTTTTTTACAATCTGCACGCGTTTAGTATCCGTCGGACAATTTCTTAGTCTCAAATTAGGGTCGGCGTCATAAAAATTTCGAAAGAGAAACTCCATTTCGCCGATCTCCTCTTTCTCCACATACACGATGAACGACCCAGGATTAGAAGATAAAATTCAAGACACGGCGACACATGTAACACAAGACCTGAGGGACAGGGCTGGCAGCAACAGCAGCCGCGAACCGCAGGCAGGAGATGCGCACACCAAATCTGCAGGAGATGCATTTCGTGAAGAGTTGCAGGTAGATGACGAGGAGGAGGAAATCGGGTACTTCGCGCCTCAGTGAGTTCACGACTTCATGGCAAAGTAGCTGGAAATTGAATCTAAATTTGAAATCAGACGGTGGTGGTTCACTTCAACAGCATTTCCCCTTGTGGCAGGGACGTTTGGCCCACTCGCAAACTTGTTCTCAGTCTGTGCATTGGTACAAACATGGCGAGTTGAGATATCGGGTGGAGAATCAGAAACACAAGGTCAACGGATCTCGGATCCACATTGGTCCGTGTTTAAACGTTACATGCTTCGAATTACCGTTCACATTCAGCAGGTTAATAGGTTTGAATGCAGCGTCGCTCATTCTCGCTCTACTTGCAAACGTTCTCCTGCTGTTCAATTTCGCACATCGAGTTCGGTACATTATCGCTCAGCCACTCACTATTTCGTTATGGTCTGTTCATATTGGTCGAGACTTAACGATGTACTAATCCACGAACTAGGTATCTGTCATCGCTACTCCTGATTATCCCGCTTGCCCTTGCTCCATCTATCACGCCACCCTCGAACGTCTCCCAACATGCGCTCTCACAGTCCTACTACTATGCCCTGCTATCCGCGATCCTCTATGGAATTCTATCAACTCTGCTTCTTCTCCACTTCATATTCTCATTACCACCCTTCTCTGCATATCCCGCCTCCTTCGCAACCCTCACAATTCCTCAGCGAACACTTATGCTGCAAACAATATCATTCACACTTTATCTCGCTCTCGGCGCAGGTATATTCTCTGCCCTTGAGGGTTGGGAATTCTGCGACGGCGTATATTGGGCTGATTATACACTCTTGACCATCGGTCTTGGATCGGATTTTCCCTTGCAGACTTCTGCTGGGAGAGGCGTTCTCATCCCATACACAGGTGGAGGTATTCTCCTAATTGGTATCGTTATAGGCAGTGTTCGAGGTTTGGTACTCGAACGCGGCGGAGTCAAAATGTTGCATAGACAGTTGGTGAAGGAGCGAGATCGCGGGATTAAGAAGGTCAAAAAAAGATTGGGGATGGAAACTCGTGGTGATTCAGATGAAGCTTTGAAGACTGAGTTCGACGCGATGAGACAAGTGTTAAGACGAGCGGAGATTTCGAGGAAATATTTGTCTTTGGGGATCTCTTTCCTTGTTTTTCTGGTTGTTTGGTTTCTTGGTGCAATGGTTTTTTTCTTTTCCGAGGTACGCCGTCGATCTTCTACTTCCCTTCGACAGTTTCACCCAGATCCCACTTTCCGATTTTGCAGGCAGATAGTCAAAACTGGAAATACGGAACCTCGCTGTATTTTACATATACCACCCTCTTGACTATCGGCTATGGCGATCTCTACCCCGAATCAAATTTGGGGAAACCTTTCTTCGTCCTATGGACGCTCATCGCTGTCCCTTCCGTCACCATACTCATATCCAACATGGGAGACACAGTCGTCGCCTGGGTTCAAAAAGGTACGATGTGGCTAGGACAAAGGACGATCCTCCCCGAACGGTCTCTCAGAAGCGATACGGACACCAGAAGCAATCCCACCGACTCCCGCCGTACTCGTATTCGTACCCGTCTTCGTCAAAAAGGATTCTGGCCTCTCAAATCTCCGGAAAATGTAGAAAAGGCAGTTCATTCCGAGGAAGCCAGGGAGGTAGACGAAGGTGCTGTACCAGACCCCAGTCGTACGCAAGCCAATGGAGAAGGCGAGAACAAGGAAATTCGAGGCGATATCGAAAAACTCGGAGATGCAGTGGAGACAGTTGAAGCGGAGCGTGGACAGGGAGGTGGGATCGCTGCACGGCTAGCCAGAGAGATCAAGCTTGTCTCCAAGGATCTTGGGAAGCAGCCGCCGAAGGAATATGAGTGGGAGGATTGGAAAAGGTGGATGAGGCTGTTGAGTGTTAGTAGTGATGATAACGATGGTAGCAATGGTCGTCGTGGCTTGGGTGGGCTGAAATCCTTGAAATCTCCGACTCGGAGTATGGGTGCGCGCTCTCCGACTCACTCAGATGCTTCAAGATCGAGTGGATGGATTTGGTTAGGGGATGATGGGCCACTTTTTAGTCAGGAGAGTGAGGCAAACTGGATACTTGGAAAGTTATGTGACAGGCTAGAGCAGGTGCTAATGAAAGAGGTTCTGAACGCAAGGACAGCTCACTAATAACTTTGTGTTTTTTCCTGTTGCTTACACGAGTTCGGTTCATGACTCTTGAGTAATATTTGAAACTCTGATTGCATCTCGCTGTGCATCCCCCTTTCAGAGTTCAATTGGTACATAGAGCGCCACAAGAAGATTTTCTTGAGAGAGCTCCACAAAGTGACGACTAGGTGTACTAAAGATTGGGCTGGAGATCTAGGTGAAGGTTTCTGGGGAAAAGCGAATATTTGTTAAGTGTACTTGGTTAGTGTCATTTGCAGACTGATCGTCGAAGTACAGATAGCCAAATAAATATACAAGTGCCCACCCACACCGTCTATGCTAATGAGAATCTGCTTAACAGCGAACGCGCCGGTCCTCCAATTATGGTCACACTCTGAGTCTCAGGGGTGTATTTGATGAGGCAGCCAGAGTGCTCGTACTGACACTTCTCCGACACCGCTGGACCCCACACGGAGAACTCTAGAGTACCATCCCGGTTTTTGCCACTGTTTCCACTCGTAACAATGTAGAAACCACCTTCAGGGATCACCATTTTCGTACTTTTATACCAAGCCTCCAGGATCTTCTCCGCATTCTGTTTGTATTGTTCTGATGATCCAGGATCCACTTCATTTCCTTGGAAGATAACATTGACCAGTCTACCAGGTTGAACTTGTAGTGCTTTATTGATCAGGTCGGTATTTTTCGGCCCCTGATCATGAGAAAATAAAGAAATCGTGAGTGAACTACACTAGAACAAGAACAAAACATACGCACGTTAAGAGGTGCTGCATGCACAATGGAAAGCAGAGCGATGAAGACGAAGGTGGGATTGAAATGCATGATATCTATGCGAAATGACAATATTTTTAGGTCAGAGAGATAGAGAGAAAGAAGTGCGCCAAGATTCTACTGACTCCTGTAGAAGGCTCGGCAACGTAGCAGCAGCAGGTTCGTGAAAGAATGCAGAAAACGTAGACGGATCGACTTGATACACTTTTCGCCAGCGAAAAGAGGGAGATGGGTAATTGAGAAACAAAATGTTTGATCCCTTATAAGGTATGCGCACCGCTGATGCATCGGGATAAACCAACGGGGTCAGCAGGGGCTACATTTTCCATAAGCGAGAGATTTGACCGATCATGTTTGACTGATCATGAATGATGTGGTAGATGGATACACAGGCCTAAGGAGGACCTCTTGGAAATAGGGTACTACATAGGCGAAAATAATTGTTGCAGAATACATTAGCTATAAAAAAGTACACGGTTATTTAGATGATAAAAATCCAACATGGAGTAATGGGTCCAAGTAGATGTGACTGACGTTACTGATACCCTTTATGATTTTCTTTTCATGGTGTGGTGTTGTACACCGCGCCAGGGATATGACAAGCCCCTTCGACGGAATCTCCTGTAACAATCTGTACCGCCTGTCCATCCGCCCCAAACTGAGTTATATTGCCTCCATTCACTGCAGTGACATCGTAAGCAGGCCATCCCTTACTCTCCATCGACGACGGATCAGTGATGAAATCCAAAAAATAATCCTGCATGCGCTCCGACGTCTGCACCTCCAAATCCGTTATTTCTCCAGGAGCGATGAGGTATGTCCCAAAGAACATATACAGATCGGAGTAGTGGTAGGCACCGAGCCATGGGACGGGAGCGATGTTGGTGAAGTTGCCAGCCCATTCGTAGCGGTAGGTAGAGAGACCGGCTTGGTCGAGCAGCTTACTAGTATTGTAAGCTCCGCAGACGAATATAAGCGTATCTTCGGTGATCAGATCCTCCGCGGGTCCATCTTCCTCATAAGGAAGTAAAGCTGAGAATTCGCGCGCGGTAGTACCAAAGATCGTAGGAATTTGAGCGTATTTTCCTTCAAGATGACGTTCCGTGTAGTTGGCAAAGACATATTTGTGGTCAACTATCGTTGTGAGTTAGCATGAGCGAGTAGAGTTTGAACCGGAAGGAACTTTCACCTTGCCGAGTGAATGTGATGGCAGATTGAGACGTGTTCACTAGTGTTGAATTGTCCTGATATTGACCAACGAAGTTCTCGATACGTGCCACAGGTACATGCCGCATGCATTCAAGCTCAACTTTCGGGTCTGAGAAATCACAGTCCAGCGATTTGGCAACAAATGTGAAGTTGAGCCCGTCGTAATCTTCGGTCAAAGCAGGGTATCCAATGGCAAAGGCAGAGCTCATGATAGCGCCGGAAGCGATAGGGTCATCGTACCACGTAGCAAGATATGCGTCCACCATCCCTGACCCCGCAGATTGTCCCCAAATCGTGATTCTAAACGGATCACCTCCGAAAGCGGCGATATTTTCAGCAACCCATTCGATTGCAACACGTTGGTCCTGCATCGCGAAATTACCGTTCCCGTCTAATCCGAGAGCATGGGGATGGCTGAAGATGTTAACACGATAGTTAGTGGTGACAATGATATGACTCTGCGATCGGTGGACCCAGTTTGCAGGAAGCTGAGTGGGGATGTTAATTCCCCCGGTTACGTCTCCACCACCAGTGAAAAAGTGGATTACGGGAAGGTTCGAATCTGCAGTAGCGTTCGCGGGCGTCCAAATGGCAAGGGTAAGACAGTCTTCGGCGGAGTTCTGGGCGAATTCGCCGGCAAGCAGACTTTCGCCATAGTTAACGACGAGATTGCCTGTGATGTTCATAGCCCAGACAGTAGGGATGGCCGAAACGTATTGCGAGCACGCGGGGCCAAAAACCGTCGAGTCGATGACCTCGGAAGAATTGTCGAGATGTTGTGGCGAAGTCCAACGTCGAGATCCCACCGGAGGCTGGAAGGAAGAATGGATTGATAATCAGTTTCTTGTATGCGACAATGGATATTTGTTGAACAAACCTTTGCATATGGGACATACTTGAAGTGTCTGACGTCCGGGTACGTATCATTGAGACCACCAACGAAAGTACCAGTTCGAGTGTAAACAGTCAGATTAGCCTGTTCAGCCTCCGCCCAGGCGACGCTGGCAATTGCGAGTGTTGCCACTATTCTCTTGAACATTGCGAGACTTGGAAGATCTCTGGAGATGACGAAGTGGGAATACCGGAGAGAAGGTTTATATACTATGTCGAGGACCTTCCAAGGAACATCATGAGAACAGAAGATGAAATTGAGGGGGTAAATTGGTCACCTGCACCTGTACCTACACCAAACGCCGAGTGTACAGAGGGCGGAACTAGGCGGGATTGGTCAAAAAAAAGTCATTCGTGGTGAATCGTGTCAAGTAACTGTTCTCAACTGGGATTTTGGATTTTCGCCCAAGACCACTGAATGGTCATACCTCCAAATTCTTTCTCTGCCTGCACAAAAATTGGCGTCATGAGGTACGAGTGTTTAGTTAGACTGGAATAGTGAAACCATCGCTTTGTTCGGTTATTCTTTCTTGCGGGAGTAAGTAGCGAGCTGTAGCGAGTCAACGTCAACTCGAAAGGGCGCGGCGCCCGCTTTCGGATCCCGATTACGATCCGGTGTATTGCCGGCGTAGCGCTCACCGCAAGGTTTTTGGTCTGTAGGGACAACGACGTTTAAGCTTCTAAGCAACTACCATAATATACTAAATACAGATAATAAATGCGAAGGTAAATATTAATAGAACTAGATAATGAAAAAGTATAATGGTAAATGAAGCGTAGGGACTGTATGTATGGATACAAAGAAGATGGAGAATGTAGAATAGCATCATGAAAGCAAACCAATTTTTCTGACGTGTTGAGTCGTGTGATATAGTCCAAATCATGTCCGAGTCAAGATCAAACCTGCTCCGCGTTCATCATCTTCCCTTCAATATTGTGCCTCTCCTCTTCCTCCAACTCTTTGGCAATCTTCAGATCAATACACGGAGCGAACTTGCTCTTTTGACGGATGCGGGCTCCGTATTTGTAGAAGAGGAATGGGCTGGGTGCCATGACAAGACCGATAAGGCCAACAAGAGTCGATGCCCAATTGATGCCGAGTTTGGTGTACATCTGAACGGTAAAGAGAGGGAAGGCTGCTGCGACGAGTGAACGTATGGTTGTGTTGGCGGCGAATGCAGAGGCGCTGTACATGAGGTAGGTGTCGATGAGGTAACTCTGAGAGAATACAACGTCGTATCAGTTGAAAAGCTTGAGTGATTTCGTGTTTTTTACATACCAAAAATGACATGAAAATCAAGCTGATTGCAAACCCTAGAACGACGGTCGCAACAGCGGGAACCGCCCAGTGGATGCTCGTGTACTCTCCCGTCCATCCTAACCAGAACGCACCAACGACGAGAGCTGGCCCACCAACCATCGCACCGTAAAGACGGTATTCCGCTGGAGGAAACCCTTTCCAATGAGCAATATGCTTCGAATACTGGAGGGAAAAGTAAAAGTTCGTCAAAGCACCCAGGGTACTTCCAATACCAACTCCAATGAATATGATACCGTTTTGGGATAAGGTGAAGCCGTGGCGCTCAACGAAGATGACAGGAAACGCTTCAAACACTGAAAAAGATTTACGAATGAATATACAGTCTTGCTGATGCAAAAATAGGAAAAATCACGTACGAGCATAAAGAACGCCATAAACAATCGAGAGATAAACTGTGACGAGTACCAGGATGGGCTCTAAAAGAAGCATCTGGAATGGCCTGAACAAAGTGCGGTGCAGGAGGGGACCTAGGGTAAAGTCCTGCTTCTCATGTTCTGCGTATATCGTCTTGGCAATTTCCGGCGTCTCAGCCTCTTTCCTCATCTTCTTTGCCTTCCTCAGCAAAAGCACCGGTGCGTATGTTTCCGGGAGGAAAACAACCATGACAATAGTAGACGCTCCGGCGAAGATAAACATAACCCAGAAAATCCAATTCCACTTCAGTTTTGACTCGGCAACAAACCCTCCTACCAATGGTCCTAGAACGGGCCCAAGGAAAACACTGGCAGCGAAAACACTCGTTGCGGGACCTCGACCTCCTGCAGACCAGATATCTGCAAGAAGGCCACCCCCAATAGTGAGCGGAGCAACGGCGAAGAAACCGGAAAAGAACCGGGTGACGAGCAGGGTCTGAATGTTGGGTGCGAACACTTGGCCGAGAATGAAGAGAGTGTAGGCGGACATGCCAAGAACCAAAATTGGTTTACGGCCAAACCATTCACTGCCTGGACCAAAAACAAAAGGCTGGATTTTGTTGTCAATATCGTTTTAGACTAATCTGGGTGAACGAAACCTACTCCAAACACATATCCCAGCAGGAAAACGCTGGTAACAAGATATGATACTTCGTTAGATATACCGAATTGCTCTATGATTCTAGATGTTGCGGCGCTCGGGGCTGATGATGCGAACGTCCTGAAAAATGAACACAGGGGTAAGTTGTTGTCAGCAAAAGTGCAGAAAATGTACTCGTACACATTGATGGTCATCCCTGCACAAAGGATAGTAAGCAGCCACTTCCGTAACACAGTCCAATTTTGTGGATTGTGTGGATCTTGAGGACCATCCCAGGTAACCGGAGCAGACGAAGGGGAAGAAACCTCAAACGACGACAATTCTTTTTTGGGAGAGAGCAGCGGGGGCTCCCGAACATCGTCTCCGCCGTACATTTCCATTCTTGCTTCATCGTCGGCAATTTCGCTATCAAGTTGCGAAGGATGTGATGGTCGTATGGTCGGAGGCGCGTCAAGCATCGTCACGGAGGACTGAGCGCTGTGGCTAGAGGTGTGTTCCATAATATGTCTGATGGGCAGAGTAGAAGTAGGTGTTGCGAAGTTATCTAGATGCGACGCAGACATCGTGAAATTGGTGGCTAACGATGTCAATAATATTAGAGGGCAAAGACTGATAAGGTATTTTTTGAAACCATGACGTTGGGTCTAGTTTATATAAGACCCTATGTTTCTGAAAATTTGATTGACGGATGAAAGAGTGGCCGCTGCAAGGCAGATGTGTCATCCTCGACAGCGCGACGCAAAAGCTGAATCAGCGCCTGTGTGGCCATTTATCCGTCCTCGATCCGTTTCTAGGTTCCATGCGTTGCATCGCTGAGTGGTTGCAATAACAATCGAAAGCCCGAAGAGCTTTCAGAATCAGGTTGAGAAGAATTATTGTAAGTTAGTTCTTGAATTTACTGGGGAAAAGTTTGTGCGCCTCACGCAACTTGGAGGCAGAGGATTACAGCCCGCAGACTTGATGGAAAGGCGAGGATCGCAGTGTTAATATGGAGTGTCCGCATCAGTCGCTCATGGCGGCGTTTGACAAAGTTGTGATTACTGCTCCGGCAAAATGTATGACCGAGAACCGGTTTAGGTGATACAGGCGCCTATTCACTCCTGATATCGATTATCACAAGTCTCTTTGCGGAAGACGGAAGCCAGGACTCCCAGAAGAATTCGAGCTGTGAACTTGTTCTTATCGATATCGAGGATCATCGACCACTCGCAACTTATCTACGAGCGGTATCTGGCATGAGTCCGATCGTTTCTGTAGATAGATGGCATTCCTTGAAGATTCGTTATGAGCTGTACTGTATGTAGCTATAGGTAGCTATCTACATAAGTAGCTACTAGTACCTTATGTGGAGAATCATCCACCCGATATACGATATCCTGCGTGCTGCGGTAAAACCTTTGTCTGTTCGTTTGTAATCAGTTGCCTTCGTTCTTGCGCCGGCTACCAACATGTACAGGTCATCTAGGGTACTTGTATTGTATTCAAAAGACGACGTTCCAAAAAGTGCACTTCGACAAACCCTTATATCTGCCACCATTCCAACATCTGTCTGTGTTTGAGAATACCGGTTCCAAAGGTTTCGGGGAAATTAGTTTCGAGACATTTTGTGCCCTCCTGAGAAGTAAATCCGTACTCGGAGATGGTGATATCCGCTGTGATAAACTGTAGTGAAGAAATTGAAGGTAACAGTCGATAAAGTTGATGATCTATTGACGGACAAGCAGCAACAGGAAAGGAATGAGCTGTGAGGTGAAGATGGTGTAATGATGGTACATTGTCTTCCGTCAACCAATTCATAATGTCCCCTAATAGAAAGGTATGTTCATGCTTGCATTCAAACTGAAAATGAGTTAAACGTGGAAATATAAGGCCTCGCAAGATGTTTTGGGAGAGAGAAGGCAAAGGAAATGCTGAAACGAATACGTAACTGAGGACAAGACTTATTGAAAGGTGGTATACGTGACATACCTGGCAATTGAGATGCAAGATAGTCAGTGGAACTGATCGTAAGACTTGTTATAGAAAGGGCACAGTTGGCGAGAATAGCTCTATGTCCCCACATGTGTCGGAGCGATCGATGGCACCGTAGTGCAAGGGAGTCCAAATGGAGGATAGAAAAGTATCGTGAGGTGGATATGACCCCACGTTCGAGCTCAGGTTCTGTGCCTTCGAGATATAGTCTTTTTAAACTCGGGATTATAGTTTGTGACTCTCGAAGATGACTATCAATCGAGAGTGCTCCTTCGTCTAAAAAATCGGGGTCCTGAGTGGCAATCACAGCATCACACAGAACAAGCGTATGTAGCTGCTTCAGTCCAGAGATGTGCGAAAAAAGCACATTCCAGGAAGGTACTTCAAGATTGCATGTATCGATAGCGAGATGTTCCAAGCAGGGATTGTTTTGGATCAGACCTGCGATTCGCGGAAGACGCCATTTCTGTATTGTCCGAGCCTCGATGACATCGTGATACAAGTGCGCGATGCGCGCCTGCAGCGTGAGGAGGTTTGTGAAAGGCAAATTTTCCGGTATTTCATCCATATCATAACTATGGTCAGAACCCGAGACGAGGAAAAAAGACAACGTATGCACCGAAGAGACTATCATCTGGTTTCGAGCTATGCAGGATCGGAAGTTGGCTAGGTAAGCGGATAGGGAATCATGTTGAACATGACTTCGGTCTACAACCGTTGATTTACCATAGTTAAGGGATGTGCCATATGTTTTCCCGTATCCAAGACTAAGGGTGGAGAAGAGATGCCAGCGAGTTCGAAAAAGAAAAGAACTGTGAGTCAAGGATAGCGATTCAAGATCTGCTTTGGATCGAGTCCAGTCTACAATCGCATCTAGGATTTCTTGTGGAAGAGAATGCATAGTTCGACACCTTTGGATAGTAAGTTCAAAGTAGAATCATTGTGAGCTGTGTTCAGCTACATAGAACGGCCGTGGGAACACTAGCTTTACGATTTAGCGCTCAGCGCTTGAATTCGAAGTTATCAAGCTGCCGCATCGGTATATGTATATCATAGGCTGGTCAATGTAGGTTCGAGGAGGGTTGGGGCTGCTGGGGCCTGCTGGGTCTTTCCTGGGCTCTCGAGTCTCTCCTGCGGAAAATGTGTTTCCGATCCACCTGTCACAACACTCACCAAGGGTAGTATGCCCTGATTAATATTTATTAATGATGCACCCTGCCTAGCCCTGCATGTACGCCCTCCACGTACCCTCTGTAGCAGTCCGCAGCCCTCTGCATGCCTTGTCTTCTGTTTGGACAACGTCATCCCGCAAGACATCCTTTTGAACTCGGCTCATCCCATAGTTGCTCCTTGCTGCTAGGCTCTTGTCTGCCTCAATTGTCGCGTGCTACTTCACGGCGTCGGTCGAATTGGACCTGATATATTCTTCTTCCTCTTCTTACCTTGCCAGCCAACGCGATAGGAGGTCCGAGTGGAAGGGCCTTCCAAGGCATTCCACATGGAACATGAAAGTCATAAATCGAGATGTGTTCCTAACCGACGGCTAATGGAAAACAAGCGCATTAGGACAAAACTGGACAGTTCGACAAACTATAAAAGAAAAATGTCAACTTTTTTTTCAGCCCAGGTATCTTGTACATAGAACCTACTTCTACCTCTCTCGGACGCCCCTCGTCAAGCTCTAGATCGCGTCCGCTATGTTCTCTATACTTAAAGTCCTGTCGCTCATTTTAGCCATTGCTACCACATCCCTCGCGTCTCCTGGTCCGTTCCTCTCTCGCCGCTTTGCATCACCGACCATCCGTGACGCATCCACGAACGCGGAGCGCTTTTCGAGGGGTATGAACCCCCTCCCGCCCAGGACTTTGTATAATCCTACTCGTAAGCCTATCCACGATGTCCACAGAAAACAGAGTAATGTTTGGTTACAGGTGTGCGCCGGTCATTCCCGTCATCTTCTCCGACGTAAGAGCCTCCTCCCTCATTTTGAAAGTTTTCAAACTCGTCGTTTCTTTCCACTAGGCTTGTTGCAAAGATCGTCGTCTCCAACAAGGATAGCGGTGCAACACTTGGTTATATGAGGGGAGCGACCGTGAACACAGCAACTTATGCAACCACCTTTTCGTTCCGCAATCCTTCCTCTGCGTCAGATTTGGTCGAATTGAATGACTATGTATGTCATCCTTCCTATGAATACCATTTTCTTGCTAACGAGCTCATTTTTGAAAATATCTAGTCAAGTGGCCAGCACTATGTCTTTGCTGCTTACTCGAATGGGTACTATGTCGGTCCCAATAGCTACGAGTACGTTTATATAACCATATTCCCAACGATAGCCTACTAAAAACAATCTAGTTCATTGATGCTGGCTACCACTACTCTTTCTAGTAAGTGTCTCGACGTTTTGGCTCACCGAACCTTAAAGCTCTTACTGACAGTGCCTTTATAGCACCTGCTGGTAGTGAACAGGAACCTGACTATACAAAAGGACCTACGCAATATTCAGAGTCTACGGTCGTGCGTCCTTATTTCCTTCACTAACCCGAACCCCGCCAATGAATAATTAATGACAGTGGTCAATCAATCCCGACACCGGCATCGTCACAGCTTATTGGGTCAATTCTGATGGTTCGCAAGATCAGGTATTCTTCCTTTCATATACCACGGCCGTCGGCACAACCACGTCAACATCGCTCGTCTTCACCGGCGATGTTGCCGCCTTCAAGGCCGAATATTCAACAAGGACGTATACTGAAGTGGTGTGTACATTTAGTAATGTTGCCTCAAAAATGTAAATTGACTCTGCCTCTCTAGACGCTCTCCGTATCCCTGTCATAAATTCACATACATAGAACCTAATTTTCATGTCGTCGGACTCTTCCTTAGACTTACATATTGCCTTTCTTTGAAGCATCTTCCATCCTTGGCCTGGATCATTAAAATTCGAAACTCGCTACTTCCAGTCTTTACAATGTGACCAATCTATATCCGTCCTCCTATAATCACTTTCATACATATACTCCATTTTACTTGTCAACCCTTATCAAAGGCTCATTACTGATGGGTGAACGGCCGAAAAACGATTACTGTAATATCGTCTATGTACAAGTCTTCGTCGCCAATACTTGGACTGACAGCGTTATCTTCAGCCATGAGGTGCGATCTGAGTTTATCGGAAATTGTCCTGCAGAGCAATTCGTATGTAAGGTTGAAGGCTGCGTTGTTCTCGGGAAAATTTTCAACGCTGAGAGTGATTGATGGCATTGAAAGATCCGGACGTCGACCTAGGAGAGTTCCTATGATGTCTACCGCGGTTGGCAATACATCCAGGGTTCCACTGGTAGCGTCCGAAACACTCTTCTTCTTCAACGACATCAATAGTCCGTTAGCAAGTGTCTCCAAGCCATCCGTGTAGATGACCACCACAGGGTCCATGTCTTTGCTGAACATCGTTAAATCAACAAATTTGACAGACGGGTCTGATATCACATATGGCGGCGTCCAATTATATCTGAGCACAGTTTCAACGGACCGCATGGCAGAAGACGGAAATTTGGAAAAAAGCGCGGTGGTGAAGGAGGTGGGAAATTTGAACATAAAATCGCCGAAGGCTGCCAAAGTGAGGACGTGAAGTAAGTATGAGGGAACAACCGCTAAAGATAGAGAACATTTACCCCGAGTCATGCTGAGAGTCCCAAAAATGCGATCTTCTCCGTCGAGCCAGATGTTGTCCCTTTCGTGGGACGGATGCGCCATGGAAACACGATGATATTCCTGTGGTGTCCGCCCTGTATGATGATCATTCACAAGAACTGTCGTCCGTTTGCTACCGGTAGACGCTTTGGTAGATAGAACTGCCAAATATATATAGTATTTTATTGAAAAGAAGAGGTCGTATGAACTTTGACGCACCGACAGAAGAATCTCCGACACAACACACCCACATCTTATTTTCCGTTTTATCTACCAAAATACCGGCCATTGTGGATCCGCATCTGGCACGAGCAATAACCTCCTTGTGGGCCTCATAGAGCGCATAAGCTTCCTTATCGTCGTTGATATTTTCTGGGTGCGGACATATCGCTTTAACAGCATGACCCAACTCTTCGTCGAACCATTGAACTTCACGTTTCAGGAACTCTGATACGTTCTTTGCTGTGAGTGGTACGGCCGATGACTGTGAGGTTGACGAAAGCAGAGGTATTCCTGACTCTGGGGAGGATGAGAAAGAGCGCTCCATGGATCTTCTAAGATTTGAGGGGAAGTGTTTCGCGAGGTAATCTGCCGTCGTTGAGCCACCATGTCCTATAAAATCCGTCCTTGAGCTACTAGGTTTCAGACAGACGGCGTATAATTTACCATCGAAAACTGCAAGAAATTGCCAAACACGATCATTGAGTCTCCAGTCTTCTGATATCGCGAAGCGGTCCTCGTTTGGCGTTCCACGGAATTGTGCATAATCAATGCTCGTGTCGTTTGTGAAAGTACATTTGTTGAGGAAAGAACGCCCTAAATGTTCCAGATTGGCGTCTAGATCGTCTAGAGAGGAAGCAGTGAACATCAACAGGGCAATATCAAAGATTCAAGAGTAAGAGAAAGAGAAGAAGAATCGAGATGACACTCATAATTCCGGCAACGTTTTATGACGTCTCGGGGCCTCCGGCTCCTGATATACATCATCCGAAAGTTTCTATGTACGCTGCGTCGTCATTTGCAACGCGCGTGTTTCGCGAACGAGCATTTCTCAAACAGAATCCGTCGAACATGGCAGTATCACATAGATGGTGCACAATGAGGCTGTTTCGTGATACGAGATGATAATAACGGTTGCAATATACTTGATATACAATATCATGAATCTGTGTACATCCAATGATATCAATGCAAATGCGATGGCAAACCAAGGGCACTTACTTATAGCCAGCTCCGAGCTAAGCCTGACACGTTTAACTGCCAAATCATTTTGGAGTAAAACTATATTTCTTCCTTGCCTTGTTCTCAATCAACGAAGGCCAAATCCAATAGAGCAAGTGCCCTATTCTCATCGTGCGAGGTATGAAAACGACCTTCTCCGAATGATCCACAGCTTGTATACATCGCTTAGCAACATAGTAGGATTTGAGTCCGGGTGTGCTATTGGGATTAAAAGTTGTTTCAACGGTTATCTCTGCGGGCTGGCTGTTCGACTGATCCACGGCAGAGGCACGGAAATCTCCCGCTACAGTGCTCGGCAACACAAACGAAAAACATATAGAGGGGTGCTCAATTGCCAGTGCCTGATAGAGCAGCAGAGATGCACTCTTAGTTGATCCATACAAGGTGCGTGTAGGAGCTGGAATTACAGCGCCCAGAGATGAGATGAGCAGTACGGAAGGTGATTTGGATGTTCGTTTGAGAATGGGAATCTGTACTTAGCCATCAATAGGATGAATATTGGTGACGAGCACAGGAAAGACCTTACAAGAGAAACAGCTGCAATCATAGGCCCAAGATAGTTCCCCCTAATTGCAGCCTCAGCTACGTTGATAGCGACCTGAATACCTTCTTCACAGGGGTCTAAATCCTGCTGTAATCCAACTCCTGCGATTTCTAGTAAAGGCTTGGTCGCAGATACACCTGCAGAAACGATAACAGTATCAATTCCGCCCCACTCTACAAATTTTGTGAGATGATTTCGAGTACCAAATAATCGGTGACATACCTTCTTCCAAAATAGACCTCACGCGTACCATATCCTTCACATTAGTAATATCAGCAGTTATTCCTATTGTGCCTTTGAGTGTAAAGCTTCTTGCTCGGCATTCATCCACAACAGCCATGACCTTGTCGTCTCGACGTCCCACGACGCAGACTTTGGCACCTTGGGCAGCATATCGGTGAGCAATATCCCGTCCAATTCCACTGGAAGCTCCCAGAATCAACACCCTCTCTTCGTCACGACGGATTAGAGAGGCTCGCTGGCGTTTGCGAGTATATGTCCTGATGCCGAAGACCACCACTGAAAGAGCTACAAGTAAAGTCCAAGTTGAAAGAAGCATGCGCATCAAAAGAGATAAGATTAGATAACAAAATGATATTCACGAGAGTTATTCGCTCATGTGCCTTATAGATGCATACATTATATTCCAACTACTAAGCTAAGACCCATGAGTCTAAGTCGTGGATAATTACTTGAAGATTCGAATTCGCCATGCATCCCCGACTCTGATCCTTTCTATTTTCCCATTTCACTATCAAGGTGCCAAGCACTCGTTCTTCCACTTTGGCTTTTCCGCCTTCTTCTTCGAGATACACTCGGTCGTGTAGTCGAGATGGCTTTCCACACCAGAACTTTACTTCGCTGTGACAGAGAGTGAAGTTCAATATCAGATAACTTGATTTACAAAATGGTATTTGACCGACGTAGAAATCACCCACCATAGAATTCTAGTATCGGAATGTTCGCGATCGACCTTGTACGACCTGTGTACGACGATCATGAGTCAGGCCGATGGTGTTCTAAGGGGAAGAATGTTGAATGATACAAATACCAAAAATTATATCTACATAGCATTAAGTAACATATTTTTGGTATTACATGACACAAAATAAACCCATTGTTCATTGATACTCTGGAGGGGGCTCATACGTCGTCCTCAACCTGATTTCTTCCATTTCTCTGCGCAGATGCTCCACCTCTTCTCTCAGTAACTCCGCCTCTGCACCATATCTGGACGTCCCAACATCCGAAGATCCTACAACACTACTCGAAACAGGTACAGACGAGGATCCTTCTCGAGTATCAGAATTCGGCGTCACTAATGTTTTTGACATAAGGACTGATTGTGTACTAGACACATTGTTAACCTCCTCAACCCGAAGGAGAGCTTGGGCATCCTGACCAGCACGGGTACCAAAGCCCGGCGGGTATGGCAGAACATTGTCATATGTCTGACCATCTTTCCGAGTCCTACTCCTTGAACGACGGCGATAAAAGAATGCTGCCAAAGCTACAAGTGCAATAAAAGCAACACCACCAACAATGCCTCCAACGATGGCGTCAACATCTACCTTATGAGGATTGGCTGAGGAAGTGAATCCAGTTATAGTAAAATGGGTAATGCTTTAGAGATAGCGGATTGAGCAAGGGGACGAAAGGGAACAAGAGAAGGCCAAGCTCACTTTGGTGCCAGCAAAGCAAACATAGCTCCTTGAGCAGGGCTGGAGATGAAATTTACCAATGAGATTGATTCCTAGACTCAAGTAATAAAGAGCATAGTACCTGGCTGTACCACCCTGATTTTTGCCACTGGAAGTATTGTACGTCGTAGGAAATACAGTAAATGCTGCCAAGTTCGCGGCACCCTCATGAACCATTGACACTAAGAGATCCCTTGTCGTGTTATCATTGACGATGCCAGCCGTGAAAAGGGTCCAATCTACAAAAAAAAACCGATGAGTACCCGCGATGTACGAAAAAAATATGCAATTCCAAATTCACGAGATTTTGCTACACTCTGATTGAGGGTATCAAAACCCAGACCGTATGCTGGAGCTAGATCGCCGCATTTTGCATAGTGAGCACAAGCATCCCATATTTCCGAATCAGACTCACCATTTGAAGCGAGGCTAGCATACCAAGAACTCTCGGCGGTGTAGAACTATAAATGTGATAAGAGCCTGTCCATATCCAACAATATCATCGCGCTGACCGTTTCGTCCACAAAATTGAAACCAAAAAGTTTATCAGGGTAAAGATTATACATCAAACTCCAGGAACTGGACGCCCCATACGTTGAAGTCAAATGACCGGAAGATTGCGCGAGATTCTGCCATTGGGAGACCAGGGAAGAAGCAATGCTCTAGGTAATAAAGGAGAGACGATGGATTGAAACAAAGTGAGGAAGCGAAGAGGGAAAATGATTGAATGAATGCACACCAGATAATTATTGTAATCATCCGTATTGTCAAACGTATGGCTAATCTCAGCCATGGTCCGAATAGCAAGAATGCCTTTGATCGCCAGGTTTGTCATATTGTCGTTTGACAACCCGTCCGCGGTGATGCTACAAGAAAAAACTTGAACAAAGGAAAGACAAGTGAAAAAGGACAACGTACAAGCCATTCGGAGTTAATGGATTTTCTGATACGAGTGTGTCGGTCCATTTCTTCAAAGTAGGATACTATGACATATGATGTTTGTGCAGGTTCACAGACCCGGCGGCGAAGAGGGGGGTCAAAAGACACATCGACGTACATATTGTGATATCAACGATCCATCTCCAGTGAACGTCGCATGAGCCCACACCATAAAGAGCATGTCGCTTGTGCTCTCGATTGCAGTGAACACCGAGGGGCTATTGACGATGGCAGACGGGAATGCACTGCCCAAATCATATGAAGCAAACGAAGGTATACTCGAACCTGATTGTTCGAATTGCATCAGCGGCTCTAAGAGGTACCGAGTCCAAGACGCATTTAGATAGATGAAAGCCGGTAACGACGCATACAAGACTTCAACTGGGTTGGTCCGCCTGGGTCCCAAGATTAAAAGCAGTATGAGGGGTTCAAGCTGGACCAAGTCAGGAAAGTGGCCTCACTGAGAATTCCCTATATCTTTCATGAAAATTTGTATGTCTGAGGAATTGAGTTGTCCATCTGTGCCAGTCCCAGCGGTAATTTCCATGCCAGCCATGGCTTGTCTGGCTGCGAGTGAAACGAGGTCGGTATAGTCGGAAGAAATCGTGTTGGCTGCCGAAACGATCTGATCGTCTAGAGCAATGGCTCGTTGCAGTGCATCCGAAGAGTCGCCCATGAGATCAATCAACTGCGATAGAGGTCAAACATTGGAACATATGTAGGGGACGGATTTTCCTATGAACAACTCACTGCAGAGGGAACATCCTGATACTTCGTAAAGAAATACGGCCTTCGAGTTTGGTTCCCGGAAGAAGTCGAGTAGATGATATCTCCATCTCTCACAAGACCGATACCCCATACAACCGGTGATGAGGTGGAAGAGATTTCTCCTAGATTGTTGCAAAATCCGAAAACTGGCCAAGAACTAAATCAAAGAAAAAAACTGGTACCCAAGTCTCCTGAAGCAACAGCTGCAAAAGCTCACTCGTTTATTGCACGAAAGTTTATGTCCTGGTTATTCGTAAGATTCCCGTTGTTGAGAAATTGACTCCGGACATCAACGTCGGAGCCCGACTGGTAAGTGACGCTCGATCCCTAGGTAGCATAATTATTCAACAGGATTTATTGGACGTATAAACGAGGGCCCTTCATGGAAATGCTCACCCAATTTGTAACATGATAAACAACAGGATCACTAGCCATGTTGTTCGATTCGGTCATGTATTGAGGCGGGGAACGCTGAACTTCGTGATAGATGATGGAATTGCTGATAGTGGTGTTCCATTGCACTTGGCTATTGAGGTCGAATGCAGTCCATTCTACGTGTACACGAGTTCAGTACGTCCGAGAGAGCTCATTTAACAAATGAACACACTCACCTCCGCTAATATCCTCGTAAACCTGTACTGAATGCGAATTTCCATCGGTCGACGAAAGTTCCATATAAATATAAGTGAATGGGAAGGATTGAAGGACGAGGTTCGAAGGCTGCCGGAAAATCAGGGTGAAGTTCACTGAATGAACTTAGAAATACCGACCTCGATTGGACTAAGAAAAGTAACATTGAGTGCCATTGGTCCTGCTTGTAGGCTAAGAATGGAACGAGTAGGTTTTATCTGAATTCCGGTGAGGCTGACAGGCTTTGCGATAGCATTGTTAGCCAGTTGTAGATCGGGCCCTTCAATAGCCCCTCCCAACCACTCATAAAGTTCACCATCCACACGCATCAGCCCACTCCAGCCTACAATCTAGGAAGAAAGCATGGCTCCTGAGTGAAGGCAAATCCGCGAGTTTGTCAAGAAACGTACATGATTCGTCCAGAATACCGGCCACGAATTAGGAACAGCTGCACCAGTATTGCGGGCTAGATAAGCTTGCAAGTAAGGAGATCGAACAGCGAGGGGAATCGCTGCAGGAATTATCGATTGACATTGTACCAAGGGAATGACGAAGCAAAGAATGAGGACAGTGAGCATTTGAGCGTCAAGGGGCGAAATAAGTCTTCATTACAACCACGCGAATATGATTATATTGTTGGCTATGGGCACTGTGATCCAACATGTCAAATCCAACTCTGTACACGGTGATCATCACCGTTAAATTTGGACATAAAGCGGCAAAACACGAGACTGTCCAAAAAGATACGATTATATGAACATCGAGGAGTATCGGATCGCATCATTGTCATTGTATATGGGACAAAATGGGTTTCTATGAGACCGACTGACTATATATACAGTACATCTCCAACCAAGTTGGTAATCGCGTGAGTAGTGTCCATTGCGAATGTACAGAGAGCGACGATGAGATAAACAAAGGTCGCGACACGAAATTGACAGAGTCATTTGTTTCACGCTGACCATGGCCTTGTGGGACAATGTTTTCGCCGAGTTACTGAGATTGCGAGCGGTGCGCGCGGGTCGATGAGAGGAACTGCTGCCGAAGTTGGGATAGTGAAGCATATAGCTTCTCTGACTTCGCATATTCCTGCATATTTCTGTGCTTTGAGGACTGAAGTAATGCACAGTGATGCACTGATGAATGTTGCTTGAATACAGTAACCGATTCACAGATCGCAAGCGGCTTGGTCTCGGTTCTGCTCTATTGGGTCCTTCGAAGAATCACTTACATATAGAGCATGCAACTGCATGCAATCAGCTTTTTGTTAGTTCACATCCGATCCAGAGATATACGCACAGGTAGATAGACAGGTTTCTTCCTCTTCTGTATTTCTTCCATCCGTCACGAAGCTCGCGCTCATCGCTAGTCCTCGCCATGTTTTCAACTTGACAGAGAATTGTGATTACATAAATAAATGTTTAGTTTACCGAAAGTTGAAGATCGTTCTCCGCAAACCACGTGCACTGCCAAAAACCTTACACACTGCAATGATCTGTTATACTGCGATTCTGAAAGCTGGAGAGATATATATACGCCGGGTGATACTTGTTGGCTTATAATGTTCTGCGACGGGCTGCTGCGGGGAAATTTCAGTCTTTCAGGTTACCGGCTGGGTCCAAGAGTTGAACGTTGGAACGTTGAACGCCCGTTCCAGGTTATCCCGGTGCCTGGGACCGTGGAAGGATGAAAGGACGACCTCGCAACTGACGCATCACCGACGCCAGACCGACGCTGCTGTAAATCCTCCTGTCCCATCAACGGCCACTAGGCTCTCTATGTACAGGCATTTTCTACATATGCTCATTTACACTATCTAGTTATCTGACTATCACTTCCAGTCATTCAAACACGTCGGTACTGGCTGGTATGTACTTACTGGCCATATATACCAGAAAAGAAGAATGCTTGGCTATCCAGACCGAACCGTCGGTGCGGCTGGCCTTCAGCGACGGTGAATAATTGAAACTTGTTGAAAATACCCTAACTCACGAAGATTCCAGAAAACGTGCTATTATACATATGTGTGCTTAAAAGCTGGCTGAATAGTCAGAGGAGGGCCGTCGCCGATTTGTGCACAAAGTCCGAAGCCGACATGAAATAAGTACATCGCCTCCATCGCGCTAAGGAACGGTTCAACTAAACAGTCAGGACTTGCCAGGGCCATCGATAAACCAAAATCCGTAGTGCAGGTCCGATGTTTATCAGCTGTGTCTGATTTCACATAAAAAGCTCGTTCCCCTCATTTCGACTCCTCACGCTGAGCTGGTCTCTTCCTCGCGGTTCACTCATTCCATTGCCGGTCAATTCCAACCCAATCATCTCCCTGTCGATAAATATGTTCACCAAATCGTTCGCTTCCTCCTTTGTTTTGGTCTTCGTTTCCGTCATGGCTATGTTTGTTTCGGTGTCTTACGGCGCTCCGATTGCTGTTCGGAGGTCTACCGCGCTTGCTGCTCGGCAAGATACTTCAGCGAGTGGGACTACATACAGCGGGGATGGTGAGCAACAAAGCCATGGTTAGCATAGTGTTCGTGAACTGACTTGGACAATTCCATAGGGACCTGGTATGAGACTGGATTGGGCGCGTGAGTGCTAAGCAAGGGCATCCCCATTTTTTCCAAGTGTTCAAAGAAAATACAGATGTGGCATAACCAATACCGATGGAGACCCGTAATTGCCGTCCAGCTCACTTTTGCACCTCCTTTTCTCATTTTCCCATTTTCCCTCACAGTATCGTGGCGATTGGTTATCAGGGTTTCGATTCCTATCCGTAAGTCTATGTATCATGTATCATTTTTATTGTTATCCACTTTTACTCATATTCGCGTAGCGGAGCCACGGCCAATCCAAATGAGTAAGTGGTGTGCATGATTTTTCTTCAAAACATTTGCTCAATCGCCCTCGTTCAGTAATCCCATTTGTAACAAGAAAGTCACCATATACTGTAATACTTTCGCCATTACTCTAGAGTACACGGCCTAACGCATAAATCTCAGATGGGGGCAAGACCGCCACAGCTACAATCACTGACCGATGTGCTGGATGTGCGGGGGCCGACGACCTTGACATGAGTCCTTCCCTATTTGACGTAAGTTTCTCTACTAAGTACGTGCTATCTACTATTTACATGGCTATTTTAGACGCTTGTAGGTGACCCAGGTATTGGACGGGTCAGCATAACCTGGAACTACTCTTAAGCGCAGTTGGCTCATTCATGCGTTCTTGTGAATGAATATCTGTTTTGGGGCTCTGATTTCTGCGCCCGTTCGCTGGTTGATCCAGCAGCGGCATACCTTCCTTCGATGGTAACTAATATAGGATACCGCAGAGACTATTGAGTTACGTTTGAAATTTCTGAACATGTAGTACTATCCTCTTCAACTGTGTTGTAGTGTATATAGTGCTGAATTGGAAACAGTCAACTGATGCCAAAAGCACTTGTGAAGCGTTTTTTGGAGCGTTTCAAAACCATTGGCCCAGACATCCTCTCCAGCCGCTGGTACAGCAAGGCGTTACTAGGCTTCCTACTACCCTATTCTCCCCGGTGGAATTGCGTTACGCACTCGAGTCTCGCACCTTGTGGGTGCTTTGTGTGAGACTTCGCATCCTTCGCTAAGGAGTTAGTCGAATAGCAATGAGAAATAAACTTGAATAGCATACCACATAATCATCCTTTCATATTGCCCAACTTTGCCGAAGTCGACGCGTCTACTCACTAAAACCCCGGCTTCTCCGAGCAGTTCGGAGATTGTCCCACGGTCTCTCGTTGTTTTATTCTAAGACTGGACGCTTTTATGAACTTCGGCCTCCATCTGCTTTTTACCCGTCTTCTCTTCCTCTATGATATGATGAGGCTGGGTTTGGCTGGGTCAATCGTAGAGGAATTCGTCGAACAGCTTCAATTTAAGACCTCACAAGCAATAACTAAATTTTAAAACTCTAAATGACTTAATACTCGGAGAATCAGTTTCGTCCCACCCAACTAGGATCAATGAATCATTACCACTGTTCATAGCATTCCGTACTTCAGAGCTGCGAATGATAGGGCAAAACTCAAAGTTGAGTAAACAACATAAGCTGTACTGTAACTGTGTAATATGTTAATGAACACCACGAGCAGTTCAATCCTGGTCGCCGTCGATGTTGAAAGCCATGCTATCTCATTTAGAGAACCTTCTGGTCGCAATCATTCTCTCCGAGAACTCAAAGTAAAAATTGTAATGGAAAACCACAGCTTCTAGACTGAAGACCTTCAGATATAGGCGATTGCAAGTCTGGTGTCAAATAGTATTCAATCTTCGAATGGTCATTGTATGTATATTTTCCCGTGCTTTTACTTCCGGTTCCCTTTTCTCATGTTCCAGCTCACGGTGTTAATTCTGATAAGAATGTCCAGGAACTGATAGATGAAGGGAGCTGCACGTACAAATAGGCCTATGTGTGTGTTAATCTGTTACCTACCCCCTCCATTCTATTTCCCAAGACTTTAGTAACACCAATCCAGTAAAAATGGACACTACGGAGAACTATTCTCTCGGAACGAAACTGTGAGTACTCCTCCCCGTCAGAATCATTGCAAAGCCTCTCAACCCTAGTTACTTTCAGACGGGCAGATAGTTGTCTGTATCTTTTCGCCTTCAGTGAGTCTAGGTTGCTCGACTTCAACTTCTTTGTTCATTTAACTTGTGGGATAAAAGCGCTTTTGTATTACGACCACCTCCTGACGTTTGGTAAGGCTTCGCCAGCTCGGGTGATCTTGTTGAACTGACATGTACGGTATGGTACAGATGACGAAGTCAAGTTTATGTGGTCCCGTCCGAATCATATCAGCAGCCGCCTGTTCTTTCTGAACAGATATTTTTCATTTGTGGGCAACATCGTAATATTGCTATCGATGTTCTTTGCTCCTTCCGGTCAATCTGTACGAGTTCCTGTTCATGGTACATGTATGTTCTCATAACTGGTTTAGAGGTTAGATGCTGCTTGGCTCACAATCAAATCCCAATGTAACAACGGATAATCTAGCTGCCATCCTTGGGAGGAGTTCCAAGAGTTCTTTCATGGTGCGTACTCTCGGCTGTAGTCTTCTCATCTGAGTCAGTTCTCATCAAGAATATTTTCATATATATTCAGCATTTGCGCAAATCATAGTTGCGAGTGCGTCGTTTGAAATCAGTGCTCAATCATCAATCTTAATTATTATAAATTAGCTTTACTCACAATGAGGGTATATGCACTATATGCACGCGACAGGCGTGTCCTCATTGTTCTCACTGGAATAATTTTATTCGGAATCGGTGCTACAGTTGTGAGTTCTTCTGACAACCTACTTTGTTCCAGGCTAACGTTTGGATTACAGATATCACTGGTCTTCTCCGAATCCACACCCGCGCCCTCCCTCTTCCCCATAGGCTGCCATGATATTTTAGACCTAAAAAAGTAATTGAATTTCCTTTACGCGTAGTTCATATTTACAGCTTTGACCTCTTTGTCACAGTGCCGCGTGTAAGCCTTTAATATACCTCAATCTCAATGTGAGTTTTCTTATTTTCTTAGTGGTTTCTGTGGGGTGGGAACTTGTCTTCATATATGATACATTGCTGTTCGGCATGACTGTATTCAAAGCCTACCGGGCGCGGTCGCAACCTAGGGTAAAACAACTAGAAAAGTTTTCCGTCTTCACAATCATTGTTCGAGATGGTAAGCAAGCTGCATCTTGATATACATACTCATTAGATCGGCCTAACGGAGCTCCTATTTCCGTAGGATCCATATATTTTGGGTGCGTGAAAATCTCATTCCAACTAGCTCAATCATTCATTGACAAACATATACAGTATAATGGCATTAGCAAATCTCGTGAACGTCCTAACATTCTATGTCAGTTTATATTTCCTGTATCAGTTACAATGTTCTGACCCTTCAGTACGTAGCTTGCGGGAGTAAGTACCCTAACCATGTGCCACCATGCTACATCAGTTGAATGCATCGTCGAAACCCAGGATACTCTTTTTAGAGGTACACTATCCCCCTTCGCCAGTTGGTAAGTTCAATATTTTTTTCGTCTACAATTTCAAGTCTTTCTTTGCTTACTTTGGTTATTATCCAGCATGTCTGTTACTCTTATGTCGCGTTTGATGCTGCATCTTCACAAAATCACGAGTCAAGGCCTATATGCATGGTATGGGGACACAGTAGCACGACCAGCCGACTCATACACACCCGATGGTAAGAGTCTTGATCCAATGTTAAAACCATCCTTCATAGTCACTGCCGCATGATTTCTCTTAGCCACAATGTCCCTGATGGATTTTGGTCCAAAAGAAAATCATTACTCCCAAGAAAGTATCGACCACTCAGGAGATATTTCGGTACCAGAAGATACCACAGGCCAGAGCAATTCTGGAATACCGGGTCCTTCGACGACTAACTTCGAAATCATGGAGGTTTGAGAGGAAGACTTTTATGCATATGAGTAAGTACATACATACGTACATCATATAATTCTCGTAAAATTAGTATCCGCAGTAAAATATACTGGAATCGTCTCCAATAATCAAGCTTGTATTTGCATCGGCCCCGCAAATGTCAATTTGGAAGCGCCTCTACTACGTAGCCTTCGATAAAATGGGGAGACACAAATTCTTGTTGACGGCTATCCGATACGCCTGAGTCCTAGCATATGATTGGGATCTATACCTATTTGACGGGTTCGATTCAACAGGGTTATAAGTTCCACCAATGGGCTACATAAGAGATACCTACTACAGAAGCATACATCTATCAGAATCCGAGTCCGTCATACTCCACCACCATCTGAGGATTGCATAAATTCATATCACTTAACTCTGACATTATGAGTTCATCCTCACTCCACCATCGCGGAAACTAAATAACATGGTTGTCGATCCACACCATGCTGAAGCTTAGCATATGAGGAATCCAGAAAATACCGCTTCCATGTATCGTGCTATGCGATCATCAAACTCCTTTTTATTCAACGCCACTTGAAGTCCTGGACCAAGGTAACGCTTTATGAGCGAACATGTCAGATATCGGATTGCAGATCGTTGCTTTCTTTTGCAGAGATACGTCCACAGACTCCACATTACCCGCCAATGCCAGCGCTTTTTAAGGTCCGCCGAACTAATGATAACGATTGGAAAAGATCAAGGGTGGGCCGCTTGTAGCAACTACCGAAAAGGAGTACAAGGCCACTCCATGAGAAAACTGTGCTCACAAACTAGTTCATCTTCATAATGTAAACAAGGTAGTTGATTTTTGAAGTTCTTGTTTTTGTCGGATCTTCCCAGGTCATTTTGACGAGCCAAGAACGTTTCATGAGTTTGCCTACACTGATCTATGAGAGGTGTAAGGTACGCACTGTACGCATGAAAGTTCGCCCAATCGTTATGGATGTCGAAAAGGGATAAGCGCTTTTACGGTCCGAGACAAAAAATTGTGCGCGCTCAACTAAGCGCTGAGATTTCTTCATGCCGAAGCATTCAAGAAAACGACAGAAACTCTCTAATGAGGCCAATCCCCTAACAAACGACTCAGCCAAAGATGACGAAGAGCGAAGACTTGAGAGCCTACTTTTTGGAACAAAATACGTTCCTGTTGGGAACAATGGGTTGTTGCAGGTCGAGGCGGAAGCAGCAGAAGCAGATGGGAGGCAGTTTCAAAATTTACTGGACAACGATGTTAGTATCTCTTGCAAAACCTCATGTAAAATCTCTTGTTAAAGCTAAGCATGGAAACTTTCAGCTGTTTTTCGTAGACGACGAAGTTGAACACAATTCAGATCGCAGTGATTTCGAGGACCAAGAGCCATCGGGCTCAGGCTCAGGTTCTCAGTCAGAAAACGAAGAAGGGTTCGAGAAACTTTCAACCCCGAAAAAGCCGCATCCTCATCCAAAGAGTCTGCAATCTAACCGTAGGGCCCCTGCTTGGACAGATGATTCCGACCCGACCCGCGTTTCTTTGTCCTCAAAACGTCTCAGAAAGCTTCGAAATGCGCCAGACGAAGAAACACTACCAGGGCGTGAATACGAATCTCGACTACGGAGACAGTTCGAACGCATAAATCCTGAACCTGATTGGGCCACCCAAGCTCGTAAAAAAACCTCGCAGACTGACGATGGAAATGGCGACGCTGAAATGGATTTCAACACTTTGCTATCCTCCACCTCTGGTATCCACCATTCAAGGTCTTTGCGCTCACAAGTTCTTGCTCCTGGAACTATCGATATATCTCGCTTGCGCGACGCGAACCAGTCCGCACAAAATTCAGGTTGCGGCGATATCAAATCGTTAGCATTCCATCCCAGTGAACGTGTACCCGTACTATGTGTGGGCAGCTCAGATCGTCGAGTCAGAATGTACAACGTAAGTTTTACTTGATCCTATCGCGAGTTCTGTAACCAACGGAGAAATTTACCAGATCGACGGGCACACATCTCCCTTATTACAAACTCTCCACATACCGTCTCTTCCTCTAAGCTCACAGTCCTCTGTTGCTTTTCATCCATCAGGGTCTCATCTTCTATTAACTGGCTCAAGACCGTACTATTTCATCTATGATCTACAAAATGGAACTCTCAGTGGTAGCGACCAAAGTAAACACGGTCTGTGGGGGACGCGGTTCGAGGATCTCTCAGCCTCATTAGAATCTCCGACGTCTTTCCGAAAGCGAGGTAGGACGCGGGGTGCAGGCGTTGACGAAAGCGCCCCAGTCAACTCACAGAACACTCCAGGCGCACCTGGAATGGAAGTGACCGCTTTCGAACCGAGAACAGGATCCATACTTGCCGTCGCGGGTCGTGGAGGCTATGTTCATCTTGTGGACTGGAAAAGTGGCGCAGGGCAGGTCATTGGCAGCCTCAAGTGTTCGAACGGTGGCGGGGGAGTGAAAGGTTTGTGGTGGGCATCTCCATCGAGCGAAAGATATTCGGAACTTGATACTGGATTTGGGTCTCGGGAATACTTGACCGTGCTTACCGGGGACTCAGAAGTGTATGTGTGGGATGTCGGCGAGCGACGGTGTGTGCGGAGATGGACAGATGAAGGCGGATTTAGAGGGTCAGGTAGAGTTCTTGCAGGAAGCGGGAAAGGTTCTGGTTGGTTAGCGATCGGGTATGGTATTTATTTTTCCTGTATCTCGTGCATGGGAATAACACTGTTATTCAGCTCCAATACTGGCTTGGTCAATGTGTATGGCACAGACTCATATACGCCTTCCACTGTATCCACATCAATTTCGTCGTCATCGTCTTGGTCTGGTCTTACTCCCAAGCCACTTAAAACTATCGAGAATCTCATCACCCCAATCTCCACCCTTCGGTTTAACCATGATGCGCAAGTGCTCGCGATGGCAAGTAAGGAAAAGAAAGACAGTATGCGATTGGTAAGACGGAATTTACACTGCGCCTAAAAACCTTGTTCATTTGATTTCTAAGATACACCTGCCCTCACTCACGACCTTCTCTAATTGGCCTACATCAAACACACCTTTAGGCCACGTCACTGCCGTGGACTTTTCCGCACGTAGTGAATACATTGCCATTGGGAATACTCGTGGAAGAGTACTACTATATCATTTGAAGAACTTCGGTGCATATTAGTCTTTTGGTGCTTCCCAGTGGCGTATTGCTCTGCTGATCAGGAAATGTCTTCCTTGCTACGATTCTATCCTCGATTAGGTATATCCTCCACCATTGATATTTTATCTATGTTGGAACAAGTATTTCATAAACGCCGAAGTCGGAGCAGAAGTACAGTGCAAGCTAATGAACAGAGGTAGTGCTATAAGGGGTCTGAAAAAATATAAATACATCCCAGTTGGGTTTTTGACGGATGATATGAGAAAGATAGCAACCGAAAAAGCACATATCAAGGTCGGATCACAACTGTACCAAGTGGACAAAGAGTGAAGACTAAGAATTAGTGCAGAGGAATAGGGAAAGAAATGCCCACTAACAAGTTCAAGTCGGTGCATACCTAGACAAAAGCTGTGCATATGTTTCCGAAATCTGCAGTGGTTGGATGATACGTGATGAGAACTTCAAAGTTCAAAATGGAACTCTCGGCATACCTTTTCAGCGCGCTCCGTTCCCCCAGGCACAAATCTACATATCACCGTAGATGCCTCAAACCATCTTTTGGCCTCGTTCAGTGAAGACGCTCTACATGTACGAAACACGAGTTGAGTACCTGACCACAATGTCGTGGTATTTGAGAAGAAATGGCAACTGACTCCAAGCACTCAAAACCGGTATTATACGATGTGGCTAGAAGCCAGAAGCGTTCATCCATGGGGTAAGCCTACAAATGAAAACCGATGCACAGGAAGATTCAGTTTCTTGGATGCCGCCTATGCAACGAATTCGAAGAGTCGAGCATGACACGGAAACAAACCTTGTCAGCATCACTGTTTTCCATCATACTGACTGCTTGTTCAACATATCCAATAGCCTTGAGTCTATCCGCAGATGTGTTTCTTGCGAGTGTAATTGTACAAATGGCTCGTAGCCACCGCGCATACTTCTCCAATGAAAGAGAATTGTGGTCAAGGGTAGCATGCAATACAGCCTGATATGATGGAACAATCATCAAACCATTCACCTGAAGAATAAGTCTCATGTTACCTCAAGACCGCCGCATAGAACTAATAGATGCATGAGCTTTCTTTCATTGATTACGCCAAGGTTGGCTTACCATTGACAGGACATCCTTTCTCTTCCCACTATTCCAGTTAGTCTTAGTCACTTTCTCTCTAGCGAGAAGACTTACTAGAATATCAGCGATTGCCTCATAGGTGGCTACTGCAAGCTGTCCCGAGGTAACAGCATCCTGCAACAAGGTGGATCAGAGGTTGATGCATCAACACAAGATCTACAACAAAAATGACTGACTGCAATTGTTTTCAACAATTGGTCCCAATCACTGAGTTGCGCCAATATCTCCGCTTCGAATACCCTAAGCGTATGGAGGAAGTATTGTGAACGAAGAAGTTCATCATCGCCAGTTATTTTGTTACTCTCGATAATTTGTGAGATCCTTGCTTTGCATGACTTGATCTCCGCGGATATCTCGCGTATCTGCTTGGCCTTGAACAATATGAGCAGTTGTAACAACAACAACAAGAGTAGCCATTCGCACGTTTATTGAACCATTCGCTGACGATGCCTCACGAGCTGCGAATACTTAGAATGACATCAGTCACAGCGGAAGGCAGACAATGTCAAGTTGGCCCTACCTCGGCCAGCGACGCCGGAAAAGAATGCATTCATGAGGTGAACATACAGATCTGGTTCCACCTCCACGGGAGATGCTTGACAATACACTTCCAGCATCTATGAATATCGTCAACTTATCTACGTCGCACATTTTCTCAGGAACGAACGTACTTACGTCCTTAGAGATGTCAAATAGCGCTGAAATCTGCTCCTGAAATCCATCCCAGTCAGAACAGCCTTGGACCGCACAGTTATACGCAGTTCTCCATAACCAGGAAACGTCTTTGATTATCAGAGATACAGCCTTCTGTTCGAAAGCCGCGTCGACCAGGATTTTCGCTATTCTGATATCAATTACCTTCTCCATACAAATGCATGAACACGAACCGGTACGAAAGTGTGTCACCACGCTGTCAATTAATGTAGACCTATTTTTCGGGGAAGGATTAAAAAAAGCTATTGGAATGGGGGAAGGATTTTGTACCGAGCAGCAATCGGTTCTGCCAGTAGCTTTAAGATCAGCCTTATGATACAGCGCAGAAGTGCCATTGCTTCAATTACGGTCTCGCCGCTCTTCGAAATCTTCAGGGTGGTCAGCAGAGCCTCTAGAATGGCGAGAAGAACATTCTTCATCTCTGACTCATGTGATATTTTCGTGGCCAAAAGCAGCATCTGACGGTCGAAGTCCGGAGCATTAACCATTGCATGCATCGACTTGATTGCTGTAAAATCAGTTGTGTCAGCAGAGCGCAACAAGATACCACTATAAGCGCAATATTGCCTTCATCTTCCAACCCTATAGAGATGCGTTGTTGAATGTCAAACTAGCAAAGATTCAGGTCACTCACCCTGGTAAGTAGCGATGAGAAAAGCCAAATAATGGGTTGCAGCTTCGTTGGAAGGACAGGATCGGATCACTGCAGCTGATCGAGAATACTCGCGCTGCTCGATGTAACATAGAGCCGCTTTGCGATAGCTTTTTGAAGCGCTTGATGAACCATGCACTTTGAATAGTGGGTGACCACCAGCCGCGAACCATTCTGCTGCTTGCGACCAACGTTTGCCGTGATAATGGCGATCCCCATATTGCCAGAGAAGCTAAGAAATTTACGGGTTGGTGACATTTGCAATAGAACGGACGATAGACACACCGATAAGCATGCCGCAGCCGAGATGCTTCGGAGCTCCGTATTTGTTTCACACACAGCTGTAGCTCATGTAGTTAATAGAGAACAAGGATTCGGTTAGACCCGTACATGTGAAAGCTTTCCCGATGACTTCCATTGCTCTGGAATGAACTTCATCCTTTGAGCAGTGAACAATTAAAGATAATAGAACGCGGTCAACAGACTCGGACTCTTTCTCATTGCATTGTAAAGCTCTCTCTAAAAGGTTTTGAGTAACAGCGGAAACGAGAGTGCTACCGCGCGGATGATTGATCTTAGCAATTGCAATCGTTCACAATCATAGGGTGAAAGTCTTACTGCTGGTGTCCAAGTGTTCGCAGTTCCCGTAAGATGCTGTCAAGATATGAGCCTTGCAATGACAAAAATCAACACCATAGTCTCACTCGGTCACAGTTGTATCGCTGAACTTCATGTGATTGATGATGGATTTAAAAGCTGTTTTGGCCTGGTCAACGAGTTTTTAATCGTGAAGTAAACCTCTAACCATCGTGTATAGCTGTATCCCCGGATTGTCTTTTTTTAAGAATAGCTAATTTCAACCAACGGAGTTCCTGATACTCGGAACTTGCCTGAGGAGCAAATTGTGATCAGTAGGAATCAGGGATATAGAAGACGTAAAGAATGTTACATGATCTTTTGAGGCGTCCAATGAAGGAGTCAGTTCTTCTAGTGTAGCTTCTGCACTATCATAACACTCAGATAGGAAGTACGCTCTAGCTGATACATTGTGAGATTGAGAGTCTTCATTAAACGAGACCAGCTGTATGGAGTGCCCACCAAGTGTTCTGAGGATTGATATCTGTAATACAAGGACAATGACTTTCGCAAAACGACAGATGATATGTATGTATACGGACTCTTAATTCCAAAGCATTAGGGACGCTTGATTCTTCTTGGTCAACAATTCCAAATGCCTTCTGTAGCCAGGCGGTGGCGTCAGAAGACTTGTCCTGAATCTGTCCAACCTGATTCTTAAGGGCGGATTTGCCAATGTCATGAAACTTCGCCGCCAAAAGCACACGCTATCCTTGCATGGTTCAGTGGGTTTGGGGCATACCAGATGCATAGATGGACTTACATCATGGGCGGGAAAGACAAGCCGTTGCTCATCATATATAGCTACCGGGCCCGGGCTACTTAGTCACATTCCTATGTAGACTCATTATTGCAAGAAAACTTACCCAATAACTTTTGGGCCATGAACTCCGACACGGTATGATTACCCTCTTTCCACGCCTTTTGTGGATCAGAGTCTGGATACGAAAAGGCGAAGCATTTCCACGCACCGACTCCATTCGACAAGAAAGATACACCGCACGAGCACAGGTTTTGGAATGTCGATACGTACCTTCCGGGTCATCCTCAACTCTCATCATCTCTTCATACTAATTAAGAATAATGAACTCAGCGTGTGGTTTTCCAGGAAGTTCGATGCGAAGATTTCACCTTGGCAGCACTTGCGAGAACACCTCCGGCGACATCGAATTGGCCGAGTTCTGGCAAAGTATACGAATTACGTTGTGCAAACTTCTGAACTCAGAAGTGAACGGACCAGAAAGAATAGCTCCGGTTTTGCTTGCGAGGCCTAGGACATGGATGAGAGCTGGACATAGTGATTAGTCCACGTTTAAGCAGCATTAATCAGACGACACACTCTCTATTCCTGGTCTTTCTTCTAGCCCTGCTTCGACTAGTCGAAATGCGGCCAGTCTGACTGGAATTCGGACGAATTCAGGTTGTGCCGAAGGATCCCCGGATTTTAATGAACGTACGTGCGCCAGCCAATGCGCGGCCATCATCGTCAGGATATTTGCTGACAAGTCCCGAAATATTCCACAAAGTCACTCCTGAAACACTTGTCACCAAATGCATAGCGGATAATTTCTCATCATAAGCACCTTCTTGGTCTAATATGTCACAGAAATTGGCGCAATCCTGTTCTGCCTTTAGACGTCGGTCCGTGAACGATTCAGCGAGGTTGGATATCCGTTCGAGGTTCTCGATTATAGAAGGTCGTAAAGAGATGTCACTCGCATCCAGTTGGGTTTTCGTCGTGGATAACAGATCTGTAATACGGTGTAAGGATACATCTAAACAAGAGAAGATGATTTATGACCTTTAATGGATTCAAAAATCTCCTGTAAATTTGGCAAAGTCTTCTTCTTGCGCGTCCCGGACATTTTGAATAGAGTGGAATCGGTACACTATTAGCAACCGTCACAAATAAGTCACCACAGGTCACGTGAAATGTGACCTTCGTGTTATGCTTTGATTGCAGCTGTGTTCATTATACATTGACAGTGACGATAATGCGCCATTCTGTTGCACTTCCTCCTGATGCAGTGGCTCTCGCCACGAAGGTATCCTGAACTTCTTTCTTTTGCCGTAGTATGAAATGACTCCATTCTGTCACAAGGAAGCCAAAAAAGAGGGTATTTTTGCCGGTTTGACTTCCGCTTTAGCATCAAGTGAGTTCTGTCATTTTTTTTTTCAATGCGAAATCGTTATCTCAAAAAATCCTGCATATGTAGCTTTGGTCGGATCTAAAGCTTTAGGACTTAAAAGATATCCGGCACTTGCATGCGGGGCCAGTAAGTTTTGAGTTTTCCTTCATTTGAGTCTCGGGTATGTACTTGAAATCGAATTTTGTGGCTGATAGTATACGCATGTTCGCAGTAACTGCGGTGCTTTCAGGATATTACTTCACTGAGGTATATTTCCCTTGTGCTCCGCAAGTTCACTGTTCTCACTCCATTTTGCAGGCTTTCACTGCGGCCCACCTTGCAAAATTAGAGCGTGAAGTACTTCGGCATCGAGCAGAGGAGAAAGATAAATTTGGCTCATCGTAACCTGGTGTGAACGAATGTTTTGACCCAAGGCTCCTCTCGTGCGATGCACTCACTTGAATCCTTGAACTTCTTTTGTGCTCTTTCCAACCTCATTCTCAGTCGTGATAACTCTTGCTGTTCGATGGCTTTCGAATATGATTGTAATTCTAATCAACTGTTCAAAGCTCTCGAGTTTGTCGGAAAGAAAAGGGTCCAGACCCGATGGTGTGAGTTCGATTCTTCATATGAGGATGCATTGCCCTGCAGCCCGGCTGTTCCTCAAGCACGTGCAGGCTGTTAATATGCTGTGAGGCTTGAGCGTCGGCGTCGTCCATCCTTATTTTGACGTGGCATTAAATTTTCTGGTATCCAAATTTTTCTGACTTACGGTGCCGGTCATCCTTCCTTTCCATCTGGTGTGACATTCCAACAAAGTCAGCCCGACGGAAGGTGTATACTGAGTTACAGTGGTTGGTACAATCTACTTCAATGTATTGCCTCCACGTTTAGCTGCCAGGCTATTTAGCCTCAGGGTTCTGGTCAGGATCCGCCAACGCCGCGAACCAGCTTGACTGTTGGGGGTTTTCGGAGACTCGACCGTTGGGGTCTAAGAGGAGCCTCAGAAATGGCTGCGGTGGCGGAGATCTATCCGAAGTTGCCAATGAAATTCTCGAACATGGTTACGCAAAATAGGAGGAATTTGCAACAGCCTTGGGGGGGGACCTGAATAAACCTTAGGCACCTGATGATGTGCTATGATAGGCTATGATGTGCGAAGGAACAGCTCGAGAGCGAAGCGCGGGCTTTCTATGTAAACCAATATTAGGCAAGGGGCATTTAGTGTAGCAGTGCAGTAGATATACCAATCCGACAGCGGATAGCACAAGTTTCAACTTGTTCATCAAAGTTCATCAACTACACAATTTACAATAAAATTTTCTAATGACTGTTGGGTTTTTCGTTTACCCTGCGGTGAGGTAGTAGATATACATGTATAGTATGTGTATGTAGATACAATTGACGGGATATGTGACGTGTAATGCGTGTAAGTAGTAGATGTAAAACTAGGGTTAGTTCATTCTTGGAATATGTAGCTATGATGAATGATGATTAGAACGACGACAAGCGGTCCGAAGTACGAACAACGGTAAGGTAGCCCAGAGGTGAAAGAAGGAGATATTGATACATGGAGTTCGTGAAGATGAAAGCGCTGATGGAGGTGGGATGTAGAGGATGTCTCTTTTGGCTAGTAAGGGATGTTATGTAGAGCGAATTTGTATATATACTATAATCAGAGTATGTAATGTTGTATGGAAGCATGGGATGCGGGTGAATGTGTAAACGTGTTCATGAGGAGTTGCGAGAAGAACGAGCAATGTCATATGCGAACGGAACAAATAGGAATACCAGATGCGAATAATGAGAAGAATGGAGTATGAATGAGATGAGGCAGCACAGTCGAAGAGACTCAAATAGAAAAGAAAGATTCGGCCAAATCCGAAAGAGCATGCACAAGAAAGTTTTGCTCGAGAAGATGCATAATAAAGATGCATGAACGAGAAAGGATTCGGAATGCCTACTCGCATATACTTCTTCTAGACCAAGCGTGACTTCGATGGGGGCGTTCGTAAACAGGCGAAGAGCCTTGTTCCGGAGTTGGACAGAACTGAAACCCGGGGGGACCTGCATTAGCGAATGGCGCGGACTGTATCGGACTACTATCATCGTAATCACCCCCGTAACCCTGATGCTGGCTTTGATGATACGCTTGGTATCTCGGTGGTTCTACATTTGGGACTGCAAGTAGATGCGGCGGCAGTGGCGGCTGGGCTTGCTGTTCATGCGGAGTAGTGTAAGCAGACTGCCGAGACCAGACCGTATCACGAAAGTGTGGTAACGTTGGAGGCACTACAGTGATATGCACAGGGCTCGTGGATGCCGATTGGACGTTCATTGGGAATGAAGAACGGGGCTGATAGTACGGAACAGAAGAACTCGGCGGGGGAGGTTGATGATACCGTAACCTTGCCTTACGGGATCTGTTTTCTTCGTCGTCTGTCGGTGAACAAGCAAGAGTATAAAAGTAGAGGTTCTGACCATAACGGAGCCTGTTAGTCTCAAGAAAAGAATAGATATAGATTATGTCACATACCTGAGGCACAGAGCTGCGCCGCCTTTCGTCCAAAGCATAAGCGGTGGAGAGCGTCTCAGGAACCACGGTCTTATTGGAGGAAGACCAAGGTGTAGACGGCACAGTGCCAGTAGTCGCATGCGATGAACGAGACCCTGGTACATTTGGCGAGTCAATCGACATTCTAGCAAATGACTGCAAACTTTCCAAGGGTGAATTAGAGTTTGGTCCGCTGTGAGAACCGGACTCGGGGATGAGTAATGATATGGAGACAGGTCGTTTGAAAGGGACATGAGAGAAGGTTGCAGAAGTAGGTGAGAATGCGGCTCCAGCACTACGTTTCGCACCCGATCTAAGAAAGGGAGAATCGGATTGTGCCGAGCGAGTTGCCGGAACCTGGGAAATATACTGCGGAGAGACAGAGACAGAAGGATAAGACAAAATGCGATGAGATTGCTCTGGCGAGGTAGAACGCGCGCGATGACTCGAACCACGACCGCGATTCGCATACCGATGTGGTGTGTTCGTTAGCGAGGACCCAGGGTGCCGTGGCGCACGTGTTGAAGCGCGCGATTTGTGGTAGTGTCTGCTATCGCGCTCCTTCGCGAGGACCAAGCCCTTGAGTAGATTTAGCCATGACTCGTACGTCGCTTTATCGACATAGAGATTGCAGTCTACGCCCATTAGAAACTCTCTTTCCATTCTGTTAATTTCTGTGAGCTCTATTCCCGAAACTTCTGACCAAGTCTTATTTGTATACGTGTTACTGAAAGGAAAGACGCGTCAAATGGAGGAACTGATCCCAAGAATGATGGTACATACTCGTCCAAGAATTTATTTGCCATCATCAGTCCAGCAACAGCTATCCTGAACTCACTGCCAGCCTGTGCAGGAGTAAAGCGATTCCGTTCTTTCAAGCGGTAGATGTAATGCAATGAGAGCACGATGACAGACTGCGAGACCTGTGTTGTCTCAAGTAGCTTTTGCATGAAAGAAACGAAGGTAGGCGAAGCGACAAGTTGAAGGGTTGTCGCTGAATTTGGCCGATGGAATAAAGGCGATGATGAAGCCGTGTTAGACTCAGAAGAAGGCGGAGTTGTGAACCACAGATAACAGATCATTTCACATGTCTTTTCGGCAATGAAATGCGCTGAACGTTTGTGTGTAAAGTCGAGCCAGTCGATGGAAAAATTGTTGTCAGTGAAGACGGGTGGTTTCGAGTACACTGGCTCTGGAACATTCTCAGCATAGGCGACCATTGGAGGAAGTCGCGTAGGAGGAGTGTAATGTGGAGGAGGAACGTCTTCCGAGGGTGATACTGCACGCTGTTTATCAATGAAAAAGAACAAGCAGAAGAAATGTGAGACGCACAAAGAGGTGTATGCTGGTCAGACAATTGTCTATCTAAAAAAGCAATGGGTGGCAAAGTCGGTATTGTGGTATTGCTTGAGACAGCCTGAGCCACTGCCTTTCTTGGTGGAGAATAACTTGATTGAATTTTTGGTTGTCGCCACTGGACTGACCAGGAAGTGAGGATTTCAGTCGGTAATGAAGGCAGAGTATTCATCATAAAGTCGGAGGGCGTCCTTACAAGGGACGGAGTATTAAAAGCGAAAGTCATAAGCGTAGTGAAATAACGAATTAGCAGTCCAGTAGGAGTTCATATTTCAATCCTGATGAGATGTCTTCCGAGACCACTACGCTTACGGTCATCGAGCGATTTCCCCTGTTTTTTTTTGTCACGCAAGATCCTTCCGATTTTGGATATTTTTTCCTCTTTCCGAATGAGATCAATTAATTATTTTACATTACCCTTTTACCACGGTCTATTCTAGGCACTTGACGGGCTGCTAAGTGCAAGTCTTTGGCTTTGTTTGACCCATCATGATTCCGGGATTCCAATGCCGCTCTTCCGTAGGCACGGCGAAGCTTTCGCCTCCAGTGCAGAAAATGATAGCAAGGAACTTTCCCTACTCAGTGAATAAAAGCAGCGAAATGGCACTAAACTGGGTTCTTGGAGTGCATATCATTCTGTTGAACTTCCGATGAAGTGGGCGCTTCGAAGGAGTTTGAGAGTGAATCCAGGGTTGACAGTGACACGATATTCTTTGGAAATATCAACAGCTAGCCGTCTCATCCCCTAAAGGCCTACTACAATAAGGAAAGGCTGTTACCAACCCGTTACCAGCACTGAGACTTGGTGAAAATCCACCCTGCGCGCGCCCATGTTCGGGAACGTATTACATGTGAGTCTGTTACCAAAGTCCGCTGGCAATTCTGTGCCAGGGAAGCCTTTAGAAGGAAGCCTCTTCCATCGCATCGGAGCCAGTGTGTGTGCCGCGGTAATCCTATAAAGGAGCCAGTATATCTGTCTGTCAAATATTTAGTGCAAGTAAGTAAAACCCTGTTACACACAGAAACCTTTTCATCGATTCACGAGATATGATTTGCCGTCCTTGTAAATGACTTGAAGCGACGATGGTTGAGTACATTATTACAAAATAAGAAACTGACCTCCATATGAATCTGGAACCTGCGACCTGCGGAACAATGGATAACTTTATGGAGTTACTTATGACTTGCAACGAAACAGTCTCAAGAGAGGACGTCCGAACCTGTCCAAGCTCGCCAGATGTAACGATGAAGTACTTGACTCACCAAAAACATCTCCACCGGTTATATGTGGTGTGAAATTCTGATCGTTACTCCTGATATGGCTATGGCTTGGTGCTCAAAAAGGTAATGAGGTAGAGCATGTCTCGCGGAAAATGGGGTCCTATGTACACTGGAATCAGCTTAGCGTCGGGAGAGTTGTCCACACGTTACTGCAAGCTACGTACTCACTTGCCTACGAAGTAGCTCAAAAAGCGTCAGAGAAGTGTGAGCTGATGCTTTACTATACGCCAACATCGGCCGCGCATAGATTGAACGAAGAGGAAGAAATTACCACCGTGAATTAAACGTTGAAGGCGGAACGTAATCACGTGTGGATCGCGCCACGCGTGTTGAGCAAAAAACCTTTCCAAATTTGGACTCTGACAGACTGACACAGTGACAAGCACAAGATTCCCCCTCGATACATACATCAAACTTTAAATACTATGTTTCCTTATAAGGGTTCGATTGAATTTCACCTCGTCCCGGCACCGGATAGAGTCTTATTGATAAACGGTTAGAAACGGCCGGAGCCTGAGCTCCACATGTTCTGAGGTTGAGGGTCCGCTTCGGTTTCGCACGATCAAACTTGGACAAAGGGTACTTATCCAAAGTTATCCCCACTTTGGTCTGTATTTCCTTTCCTGAAACGTTATACCTGTCACAACAGGAACGGCAAAAGTTACCGAACGGCGGCCGACAGAAATGCTCTTTTTAGGCTCCGAGTCTAGATTCAAAATACTACGCATCGTTCCGGTAAGTAGAGTACAGTTCGGATATCACGGATATAGCCTTTTCGATTTTTTAGTCTCCTCCTAGAAAGATCTCCCTGATTCCTTTCAAAACTTCGCTTTCAAATTGACAAGGGTACGAGAGGGTACCAGTCCGTATATTCTCAACATGAATACTATCGATGTCGGACAAAGGTGGTGGATTCAACTTTCCTTTCTCTCAATTCCATACTACCTAGGGTTGCTTCCTTTGTCTTGACTTGCTGTTATTTACGCGTTTCTTTCGGTAATACCAACCCTTTCAAATGCATAGATGCATATGGGCTTTCATCGATTACTTACCATCTTCTTTCTGCACATAGCCAGCCTCCATGGTGATGGTGGAGAACGTGAAAAGAAAAATACAATGCTGTTGTTTCTAGACATAAAGTGATAGATTGATGAATCAAAGAAATACATACCAGAGTCAACAAAGAAATGGTCCACAATCGGTTGCTTCGTAAGTGGTCAACATCCGATCGTGAAATGTATTCAAAAAAGAAATCAGGTCAGGTCAACGGAGGTCAACGGAAGAGCATACTGAGTGTGTAGATGGAACCTGGATGAACCGGGGATGGCGTTTGTATCTTCAATGAATTGATATCACATCAGAATGTAAACGCGTTCATGTATCATTAGCATGGCTTGCTTATGCAGAAAAAAAAACAAAGAACAAGTGCGATACGCGTTACGTCCCAGGCTGTCTTGCGAATTCTATGGATGAAAATGATGTGTTCATTGTTAGTCGGAGCGGGTACTGACATGGACATCTTCCAGGTTACAATTTTCAAAACCGGGATAACTTTTGAGTTTATGGGCATAGCTATGATGGCGGTCCAGTCCAGGAGGCTAGCAGAGGCTAGCCAACTAGTAAAAGTAGCGCAACGCGTTATGGGCACCGATCATATCTTGAAAGGATGGGAATTGTGCTATCGCAGAAGCAGTCCCACCGAATCGAGCTAGAAATAAGTTGGGAAGCAGTCATCGTTATGGGAGTATAAAATTTACAGAGAGGACTCGGAAGTCTGTACAAAAATGGGTTCCACCCGGCCTCGGACGCTCCTTGCTGAGAAGATGGTATCAACGCCGCGGGATGCAAACTGCTAATCCCAAATAAGGTCACATTGCTAACCTCAGCAATGCCACTTAGCATTGCCATATGCAGGCTGAAAGAAATTGTACAAATGCATGGTACGCAGTCACAGGAAGATCGACATCCTAATGAGGTTATCTATTATTGCTCACCAACAGATTGACAATCTTGTAAAAGACCGGAAAGGACTCCATGTTGTTGTGGTCATGTATAGTGCAACTCCTTGATCAGAGCATATTGCACAGGACTTCCTTTGTCTAAAGCAATGGAGAATGGAGAAAGATCGCCAGAACTTGATTCCTATTAACCACAGAACGCATGGAAATATGAGTGTTCCTTTTCAACCCTGTCGAGAAATAGTGAGCGTCACTCTAGCCGGGACACGCAGAAACCGTTATGCATCTAAGTACTCGCGAAGAAAAGCCCACATCTGGTCCACATCCACACAAGCAATTGAGGCGAACGCCGTCCACGGGGATGCCTCATCAAGGGTGACTGAACTCACGCAGACTAATCAAGGACCATCGCGATGTACCTGACCGTACCCGCGCTGTACTGCTGTTCTCAAAATCTAAATCATCTGCTGATACTTACCTCCGAGTCATTTCAAGACCTGTTCACAACCATTGCAAAGTTGCGTTCTGCACGCCATTGAGAAGATATTTAATCATGATTAGCGAATCTAGCGCTGGATTGAGAAGACTTACTGACATAGACATCATTGTGGTACATAAGTCTGAAATCATCGTAATGATGAGTTTGATTCTAACGAATTCATCCCCAATGACACTTGCGCGGACTAAGGAAAGTGCTACCCAACGGCATACTGCCTAGATTGACAGAGGTATTGCAGGCTGGACTTAGCGTTTAGCATATGTAGCCAAATGAACAGAATCGGACTTTTACCCGTTACCTCAATTTCACGGGCCACATTGTGCGGTGTAATCAGCCCCACCGAAAGGTGTACAATGATGGAGGACGTGTACAGGGGTTCAGCGATTTGTGGCAAATTTGAATCCAAAACAACTCGGGGGCAAGTTCTATGTATAGCGAAATGTAAACGGGAAGCAAACTTAACGCTTACTTACCTGTGGTAGCCATGTACGATTCACAAGCGTAACTGTACAGTAAGTAGATTTTCAGAACACGTATGGGCATACATAACGCCGATGTGATTGATGAGCTTTTGAGCTGTTGCGAATCTGATGCTAGTTATGGTACCACGTCTTGACCGGGACGTAGAAATACCTTGAGCCGCACACCAGGGTCGAGCTGAAGTTCATGCGAGAGGATATCATACATGATTTGTTCTATTACAAGAAGTATCGGGAGTAGCCACAAAACACACCTATCAATGAACATCGAAAACTTCTCTCCTTCGTCTGTATCACACACGACAACTGGAACCACTGGAACATAAAGTCATATACATTCATCAGTTGTATAGAAAATCAATATGACAGGGAGGATTACTTCCGAGGTGTTCCTTCAGACCTAATTGCCATTTGTATGGCGAGTTGCGGTACTAAGTTACTGCAGATTAGTATTCAACCGTCTCTCGTATCCTGAAGACCGTACATACCGAACCATTGGTATATCACCTGCTGCGTAAAAGTTACCATGGTTCGGACAGTGCCTCATTATCATGAAAGACAAAGACATAAATGAACCCAGGACAGGACATTACGTCGAAAAGATGGATGGAATCCGAATATCTCGCAAATATGGTCGGCCAAGGCGGGAATCCATGTTTGGATCGTGATGCAGCACTTAGGCGTGTTCGTGGCATTCCAGCTACAGCCTAGAAAACTTGAAGTTCTCTTCATGTAGCAGACTCAGATCGCCTGTGTTGTCATACCTAAGAGTAATTCTGATCTGATTCCTGGAGAATCCAGATAATAGCCTCCCTAGGACCTCACCGCCGTATCAGCGGAACCCGGAAGTATTCGCTCTGTTGATATGGAATTATGGATCGAACGAGAAGAATTTTTGGCTATTTCTGAGACGGACAAAGATTCACTGAATGGACGAATATTTGGTTCATAGAGTTCATGTTGTCACTTTCTCAGTCTGTACAGCTGGCCAAGTGGGACGATTGTCACGCACCTGTGACATTCCATCATTTCTCTCACTGTTAGCAACGACGACAACCCTCCTACATACCCTCTGTCTCGCGGGCAACTCTTACGTTGAGCTTTGTCTCGCCTAAAATCTTTCTCTTAGTTTCTCAATACTTTAATCCACTATCTCTCCCTATCTCGGCCATTGAGGAATGGGAATCAAGTTTGGTTCATTCGACTCTGTATGCGAAACAGCGGCTCTGGTGATATGTCCTCTCGTTGGAACAGACCAAGGTATTGAGCCGACCTGCTACAGCAGAAATGTCGACGTTGGAGGCACATTAATCTTCCAACCTTGTTAGTACCAACCTGTCATCCCTCTTCGCTTGTGTTAATTAATCTCTTGTGTTTTTAGCAACATGTTTCGTTCACATCGCTGCCATTATCATGACCATCATAATGATTCTTCACATACGAAGCAAATACACCGCAGTCGGTCGGAAGGAGATCATCATGCTGTTTTACATGTATCTAGTAATCTCATTGCTAGCTATGTTCTTGGACTCTGGAATCATACCCACCGCGAATGCCGCGTACCCAGTGCGTCGACTCACTCTCTTGATCAGCTCTGGCTCACTTTTACTAGTGGTTTGCCGCCATCTACACAGGCCTAATCGCATCCGCGTATTGCTGTCTTCTTATAAACGCATTTGTCGGCTTTCAATTTGCTGAGGACGGCACACCATTGTCCCTCTGGCTTCTTCGCATATCCTGCTTTGTTGTCTGGGGCATTGGTTTCTTTGTCGGCATCGCCACTTTCAAACAATTTGCTTCGTTTTCCTACTCGAAACCTATTGCTCTCTGGATCGTATATCTTATCTGGCCGATAGTTTGCGTCGCTGTCTATATCGTCTCTCAACTCATTCTGGTATTCCGTACTCTGGAAGATCGATGGCCCATCGGTGACATTGTTTTTGGTGCAGCGTGAGTAAAAAGTTGATCAGACAGAATTCGCTTAATACTTGACATTTTCAGATTTTGGGTTATCGGCATGGTGCTCTTGTTCGCTTTCAGTGACACTATATGCAACGCTATCGAACATTACCTTGACGGCCTCTTCTTCCAAGAGCTTTGTGTACTATTGGCCATAATGATGGTTTACAAGTACTGGGATAGTATAACTGTACGTTGCATAATCGTTTACTATTTGATCATCGTTCTGAGCCAAACCATTATAACCAGCGCGAGGATCTTGAATTCTCTGTCGGCTCGAAAGCAGCTGTTTGGGAAGTTAAGGATCCATTATTATCAGGATCTGCTGGATACCCTTCTCGAGGAGACTACTCAGAAGAAGATGTTGGAAGTAACTACGGTGGTTATGCGCCTCCACCAGGTTTTAGTAACAACAAAACAGCATCCCTGGTCGGCGGTGTTAGTGGAGCGCAGCTTTACGATCGGAAAGGTTATGGTGCCGGTGGTAGAGGATATCCTCCTGCTGGTGGATACTGATATGCCTTGTCCTGAATTATATATTTCATGTCGCGACAGCACTGTGCCACGGACGCTAATACGTACTCGTAATCAATACTATCGTTTCCCCTTATCTGCGGTTCATGTACCCGCATTCAACATTCGAACAAAGCATCTAAATCAATAGTATTGTATTAGTAGAGTACATCCAGAGTTAGAGAATGTGATGTTCATCGAGGCGGGTATATATATAGTTGTGTGGTCAGCTTCGGATCTGTAAACCCGATGAACTTCCCTGTTCAAAAGCAGAGAGGTCACCCACCCCAGACGAATCAGTCGCACTGGGGTCCGAATTAGACCAAAGAGTCGTAAAAGTCACTACGGCAAGAAGAATGAACAACTGGAATTGCGATCGAAAGATGAACATACTGCCATATTCTTCTTGATCCCTACTAATCGGTCCAATCGTCTTCGCGTGGTCGGCGTAGATTCCTTGAGTCCCGATTTTGTGAAGGTGTAACATCAGTCTGGACATTATCGTGACGGACAGGCTGAAGCGGAAAGTTTTCAGTTGAAACTTGCGTTTTTTTGCATTACATGTGAACTGTTTCTACACACCAGCTCGTGATTGGGGAGAAGGCCGCTCTGAGTAAATAGTTCTGCGAATCAAAGATCTTGAAGTAAAATAAACATCACCAGCAAACATTACATACCCCAGTCACCTAGCGGATGATTTATCTGTACAGCAGCAGTGGTGAATGAACACGATGAACTTACATAGAACGTGAATACATTGACGAAATTAACCAGTGACATTATACTGCCGCAAAGAACGTATCTGTTAATTTTGAATGAGCCAACGCAATTGCATAAGACTTACGCAAAGTAAATCGTTCCTAATGTATTCTCCGTCGATCAGAATGAAAATCAGCTGGACGAGAAAGAGAATCCTTACCATCCCTTATGATTACAGAGATTAGAGACATCCCTCGAATATGTCGAGGACCCAGTTGATACCGGGCCTGGTACGCCTTCGCGAGCGTCATTCCAAATAGCAATAGATCATACAGAAGGAGAGCCTCCCAGCCAACAGCGACCACTGGTACGAATTATCATTTCCATTCGAAATGGGCAGGCTCAAAACACCTACGAGCAGCACTAAGAGAAAATGTAGAACTTAAAAAACATGTGTCAAGACGTGTAATAATTATGCCTACTCTTTCAAAGCCAGTATATCGTGACAGCCGTCCAACGGTGTTGACGTAGGAATTGGGGTTGAGGAGGCTAACAAATCCGTCACCTATTTGCGAACTTGAAAATGATGATGTTGAAACTTGCAGAGAAACTGATTCGTACTATGGCTAAGGCAATGCCTATGAGTATGAGGCTAGATAGCAAAATCAAGAGTCGTCTGTTGCATCCGTAAAGTGCATATATTCGCAGTGTGAGGAACGCTTTTAGGAAAAATGAGCTCAAGGATCAAGGTGTTAATTGTGATCTTACTAGCTATCATCAGACCCACAAGAGCGTGAAAGAGCTCCTGAACTATATTCCAAACGGCGCAACTAAACAGAAGTGAGTCTTCCACTATTGATAGCATCGGTGACATAAAAATTACCGCTGTTCAGAAGTTCAGGTTCATCATTTTCAGGGAATGTGAGGTTCAGACTTACCGTCGAGAAGAAGATGGAAAGGATTATGACAATATTTCCTATCAACGAAAAGTATCTATTGAGGAAGAACAAATAGCTGCTCAATGTGTTGGGTCGTTTCCAAATTAATGTAACTTCGGTCTCTGAATGAGTGTGAGGTCTAACTGACATTACCAATGCTAAAATCTTCAGATAATTACTTACCGAATGTGAGGACATGGTCGTAGCAAAGAAACGCTTTCCCAAGATTAGGAAACGACCTAAAGTAAGCAGCGAGCTCAACGCACTAAAAGCAATTAGGTGAAGATAAATGTCTGTTTGACTTCAGAAGAGGATTTGAGAGATTGGATAGGATCTCATGCCAGTAAGTAACTCACAGTTTCGTCTCAATGTTGTCCAATTCCCCCTGCATAACTTTTCCGGTTCTCCCGAGGACAACTTCTGTGTAATTGGAAAAGCATGAACGTTGGAGAGTTTGTTGGCGTATGAGAGGCTCTAAGGAATATCGACGAATGCTTAATGTATGCACCTGATATATTCTGCGCCCTATTTTATGAGGACAGATCGCCAAATACTGACAGGACCGAATGACATCCGTGATGGTAGTGGTCTAGACAGATACTGCTAACCATCAGCCAGGTTGTCCACATCATATAGAGGGTAAGCGCTTGCATTGGTCTAGTCCGTCAGTCAGAGAGGAATGGGTGATAAAATTTAGCGTTGAACGCAGGACGAACGTCGCAAAATAATCCACCCAACACGTGTGTGGAATCAATTTTTGAAGATCTGATCTGCATCACTGCATCGACGACATCATTACGCCGAACTGCGTGCCGAGCTGGTTTCCACTAACACCGAGTCTCACCGAGTTCACCAAAAGTACAAAGTGAGTCGACAAATAAAAGGGCAGAATACTTATATGTATGTTCATTCACGCCCTTACTCTAGACAACGGAGACGGTACTACATAGATAGATACCAGTACTGAGCAGAAATGTAACGCTATTCAACCCTTTCCCCAGTCTGTCCTTTTTGAGTCTCAAAGTACATGGATTGTGGGCCAATGCACTGCGCGCATGGCATGAACACGGCTGCTTTTTTAGACAGAGAGCGAAATTTGTCACAACTATGTACATTAGGCCGCAGGCCCGCCAACCACTGCAAGCATTGCAGCTATATAAGATACTAGAAATCTAGACGAGAAATCTCTCTTTAGACAGTACGTTTTATTATCTGAATTCGTTTCTAACCTTTCTGTGAATTTTCCTGAACCCTTTCCAGACCCTTCCTTTGGATGACCGATGTTATGTTCGACCTACTCAAAATGTATCTGCTTTTCCCTCTCTCTCTGACTCTTCTCCATCTCAGGCTCTTCGCGGCACTGTTGGTCAGAAGGATGGGAAGAGGGATACCACTAGAATGTCCCATCGGCGTAGAATTGCAAGATGGAAGAATGATGACCTTGAGTATAGAGATGATGACAAGGATGAATTAACGGGAGGCATGATTGTTCAACGTTTACTTGTAAATAGTAATCCGCGAATCTCTTTTGGACCAAGTTCTTGATGAGATGAGAATACATGCAAATGATTATTTGAGGCTCTCGCAGCTACTATATACAGAGTGATATCTGGATAGCGAGACTTGCCAGGTACAAGTTGTAGCCTTGAAGCGACGTCTATACATTAATTCGGATGTTGCGAGGGCGCTAAAGCACCAGAGCACATAGTCGAACTACTGATGCTGTCGCAGAGGATGATTTTTCAGAATTCCGCGGTACACCAATGTAGCTCTGTGGGAGCTCGAGAAAGGCAATGGCAAAGCAGACCATATGTCCCCAGAAAAGGAAGAAACAACGCGTGTGGCTGAATTTTTCTTCCCTGAATTCTGGCCCACGAGACTAAATGAATCATTACTGGGTCTGATCTGGTCTGATGAGGGGGACCGGCGACCTTCCCAGGTCCCTCTATTGCAAGGCAAACCTCTAGAGGTTTCGTAGGGTTTCGTCTCCTAGCAATTTGAGACCCTCAGCCCAGAAGCCTTGGATGATTCTGAAACATATGAAACCTCAGTATATACATAGGTAGTAGTAAGGCCAGTACAAAATTTCGCTGCACAACGGTGCGCGCAGCATGTGTGGCATATGTATATGTAAGTGCGATAACACGGACACGATTTGCGGGAAGATATATGTACAAATGATAACTAGAAAACGAAGCGAAATACCGTCCCGAACCAGCCCGAACCTCTGTTGCGACAGTCCATCATTCGAGTTTTGCGGTTGCCCTCCTTCCCCCCTCCAGCCTCCGGCTCAGGTTCCAATTAAAAATAGCAAAATACGAGTAAAAAGTGGATGATTTCATGAAAAAGCAAGACACATAGCAAGAGCAATCGTCAAACCGACTCAAAACGAGCCAAATTCAAGCATACATGACCCCCCTCCCCAGTCCTAGCCGACCAGGCCCGCCGGTTCAAATTTGATCTAGAGCATTATCGACCGGATCTAAAAGCGACAACGAGGGTTAGTACCTGTCGAACAACAGCAAACCTGAAGGACGACGCTCACGTTTTTGCTCACAATCGCACTAACAATGACAAGAATCCCACGCGGACCCAGACGTTGACAAAGGACCGAATTAGATAGCATGGCAGAGAATGATTCGTTGATTGAGAGCAAAAAAAACAAGGGAGAAAATCCATGAGATTGATTGGTTCAAAATGGAAATTGCACGTACGAGAAAAGGGAGAGAAAGGATAAAATTGGCTTGTAATAGACAGACAGGAACCATCCCCGGAAGACCCGACTTGAGGAAATAGAAAACCAATATACGATAACGGCGCAGTGACAGTCATTCAAGGCAGAACGGTCACGCACGCATGCGCAGGTGGAACGGCGTACAGCAGCATAGAGAGCACAAACAAGAAGACTAAAGATATGATGAAAAATATGAGAGTATATATGAAAGCAAGAGATGATGGTAGTAGGTAGCGCAAGAAAATTTGAACAATGAATCAAATGAGTGCTGCGGTTTCAAGGTTTGTTCGAAGTACAATGCTGTGATGATGATGGTTGAGTGTATGATCGGAACAAATGGAGGAACAGCGGATATCAAGGACTGTACTTGGACAGAAATAACATGAAGGGCGAAAGAAATTGACTCACTCTAGATGAAAGGAGTGATCAGTAAGCAAGGATCATCGAAGAATGGATTTTTGAATACTGACCTTCGACTGCAGCCATAACCACTCTCAGCAAAGCCGTGTCTGTGGCCGTTGTGGTGCTTCACAAGAATTGAAGAATCAGACAACGATTGAGGTACCTGGAGGCACGCACTGTATGTATATTTCCCGCTCTTTAGTCTTGTCCGCCTTCTGCGCAAGCTTGCCGAAACGTTTCTTGAAGTACTCTCGTCCTGACTTCACGTCGCCAGATTCGCCGTCGTAGTCCTTGATGAGAAATGTCAGCGGAAACATTGTTGATCAGAAATCGACATGAATACGCACCGGGAAGAAATTCTTGATATCTGAATGTGGAATCTTCTTCTCAAAAAGATCGTTCTTGTTGAGAAACAGAATCTGAGGGACATCTAGTTTCCGCATCAGTTGGCAACAACCATGACAGTGGACATACGATAGAAGTTTGTTTGAACCATTGTGAGTGACATATCGAGTCCCAGATGGTCATCGCATCTTGCATTTGGTTCTAGGAAACGATGAGTGAAGCTGTCAATAAAACATAAGGCACTTACCGCATCTCGATCCTCTACTAAGCACTGATCGTACCCACTCAAGCTCACCAAAAATAGGATACTGGTGACGTCTTGGAAGCAATGTATCCACTTTCTCCGCTCGCTCTTCTGCCCACCCACATCTACCATAAGCATTTCGTGATCCTTCAGATTGAAAGTAGTTTCCGTGATACCAATCGTCCGGGCGCGAGCATGGATGATGTCTTGTTCCGTAGGCTGATATGATGGTTCGAACAGTCGGTCAAGTTCGGAGAAGTAATAATATAAGCTGAACGGAGAAACATATCGGTCAGCCAATTCTAGCGGAAGAACTTGGATGTGAGGCAAAACCAACTCACTTCTCAGGCAATGCAGCTTCATTCCCCCGTGCGCATGCTTGTTGCACATTCGGATCTGCCCAAAGTGACGCCAGTGGAGTATGATAAGTTTGTGGAAAGGCTTCTCCATCGCGTATGTCGGTGGCATTCTCTACGAGGTCGATGAAGGGTAGATTCTCCTCGGAAACTTTTAAGTCCATATCCTCCATAGCATCTAAAACATATTTCATCCCGCGAGTAAGGTTTTCAAAGATGAGTTGCCGGAAAGATTCTATCTCCTGAGAGGAGAATGGAACCTTATGAATTAGACGCATTTGCTGTAGTGAAATAGTGAGTTCTCTCTAATCAAATAGAGCACAGAACAACTACCTTGAGGATCGTCGACTTTCCGGAATCACCAGAGCCAAGTAGTAGCACCTATCGGATACAGAACTTGTCAAAAGACAATAAGCTACGCGTTATTTGAACGACGGTGACCTTGACTTGTTGCGCCATCTTTGCTTTGTGCTGAAAATTTATTCGGTCAATTGGCCGGGATCGAGTAATCGCCGCCTAGTACTCACATCTCGCAGCTCTTTCTCCGCCTGACGATGAAGAGCTTTGTCAGTGTCGCTCACGTCCATTCCTCCTCCTGAAGATAGGCAGGCACCCATTGCGAGATATTGCGGCTCGAAGTATAGAATATGCAGAAGGAGGAGAACGACCAAAGGTATCGCTGTTAGAAGTCCCTTGGTGTGCGAATCAGAACTTGGCTGATTATTGAATACTGGGATTCTTGTAAGGTTCTTGTCAATGATGCCGAGGAAACAACACAATATGTCTTTTGGGAGAGCGCAGATTATAATAAGAATAAAAAGTCAGGAAACGAAGGAGAGAAAGGATGGAAGTCCGAGAAAATGGGACTGAAAGCCGACGAATCCAGGAGTTTGTACTCGGAGTTGAGCGAATGCAAGAGGCGTGAATGCCGGTTTATCAATTTGTGCGCGTTCCCACGTTAACATTCCCGCATCTGATCATCTATTCATTTGTACCAACATATACAATTTGTTACCCTACCTCTGCGGCCCATTCGCTTTAATTATCGCTGTGCTCAATTCTTCCATTTCTTTCATATACATACAAGGTTGTACATTGATAATCCAGGAAACACACCAAGGCACTCGATGTATTCCTGGGTCTGCGCAAGGACATACGCGTCTCAAGAGGTTTCATGCATCGCCAAGGCAATATTCCGAATTCCGGTGGAAACGCAAGGGTCGGATTCATCTCGAGAGCTTTGAATAAGGACAAAGTCTCTGCCCGCCGCAGGCCTCAGGTATCAAGTCTACTTATAATCAACTCATTGTGGAGGCTCATATAAACTGCATATGCATACACAGAAAGACTTAGGACGGTCTTTTTATCATGACCATGAAAGTCGTCGCATCTTGCTTATCAGGAGGTCAATTGGCAAAGTGCATTTTATAGGGTCAGGGCAGGGTGCAGCATTTGAAAGTCGATCCAAGCGGCCCTTCACATTGACAATGGCGATAGTGTAACAGACGAAATTTTGACAACCTCAACAGACCTCAACCAGCTTTTCTTTTGACCCTATCCTGACTGACCGCTACTAGCCACCAGCTAGCCACGCCGCTAGTCTCTAGATCATCTCTATGTTTTATGCAGATACCGACGATGCCTGACGTCGTCGACCCCGTAAATTCGATTCAGTCCCAGCCTGTCATCGGTGACTCTGGGCGGATTCTTGGGGTTCCCTGAGGGTACTGACTCAACTGATACGAAAACGCAGAGAAGCCGTCCTGCTCTCCAAATTCCAATGGACCTTCGGTCCTTTGCGCAAAAGACGTCTGTTTCAGGTCTCGACATCTTACACTGTGCAAAATCGAACCATGGCAGGTGATTCGGCAGCGTGAGTTTTGACGCAGCCTAGCGGCCCCTAGTTTGCTGTATCCCATGCTGTTCTAATTCCATTCTTCACAGTGCGTCCTGAGCGCTTGAGCTCCGTGCGGTCCGTTACTTTCTGTTCTATGTATAAGCCTGTTTCCTTCCTCTCCAACCTCGTCGCAAAGGTGTCAATCTGGTGCTTCATTCGTGTTGCACCTGATGGTTGCCGCGAAGTAGGACGCAGGTGAATATCATACCAAGCCTTTGACGAACGATTAATTAAAAAGTATTCGTGCCACGTTATTGGCCTGTAAGGATGTTTGACACATATGCCCTTTCGAATGCTTCTGGAGAGTAGTGGGTCTCGCATACCAGTTTACTTGTAAGTACTTGTTGTAACATATAATCCTGCAATAAAGTGGCGATAATAAACAAGTAAAGCTATTCGACTGGTTGGTTGTAACTTGTATCGCAAGAGGATTGATTTACAATTTCAGGCTGCGCGCGCGCGGGTGATGAAACTCATAATCAAGATCAATGTCAATGTACATATCAGTTCAGTTGCTATACATTCCTTTTTACCTCCTTTATTGTTTCCCTTTACGCTGAACTCCACTTCCCGTCCCGTCTGTGGATGCTGGTCCATTTCTCTGGTTGACTTTCGGATTAGCCAGCCATGTTTTCAATTTTCCTGTTTGCATCGTATCTCCTGTTGACCCAATGCCAATCGATTCAACCTGCCGCCATTCCTCTTGCTGTCCGGTCCCCTTATTTCCAGTCATACCTGTCCCACACATCCACGACGAGTGGCACCAATACGTGGCCGAGTTTTTGGACGACGAACCACGTACGTTCCTGCCATGTTCTCCAAATTTTGCTTATATCGTCCCGTTAGACCTTGGGTTGGAGCGGGTTGCTACGAGTAGATGGGACACTATACGAATGGCTGGGTTCTGCTGTTGAGGATGGAGGTTTGACTCTTGCCAACAATGCCACCGCAAAGGCGGTAACGCTACAGAACTATCAAATCACCCCTACTCGTTCTATTCTTTCTCTGCAGGCTGGAGCTATGGATATTAATGTTACTTTCCTCAGTCCGATTGAGGTGCGATGGCTTCAATCTGGCGCCTTGGCTGCAGTTATTAACTTCAATCTATTTCTAGGCTGCAGATTTGGCCCTTCAGTCTTTTCCTTTCACCTACGTCTATTTCGAAGCCTCATCCACAGACGGTAAATCCCATTCGCTGCAAGTATATGAAGATATCAGTGGTGGTACGCTCGAAATCTTTCTCGTCGCTATGATCAAATTCACTGTATCCTTCGCAGAATGGACTTCATCCAGCACTACGAACATCGTGCAGTGGAACACGACGACGAGCAACTCCATAACTTATCATCAAGCTCAACGCTCCCCCTTCCAGTTTATGACCGAAACCAACAACATAGCGGAGGATGCAACGGTGTACCATGTGACGAATTCGGTAGGAATTCCTCCATCGTTGCGAAAGATTACAGGAATTGACAACAATCTGCCCCAGGGATCTGGTGTAACTTTTCAGACCGGCGAGGACCTCGTGGTTCGCAGTCGATTTCTGAACAATGGTAGCCTTGGTAATTCTCAAGATACCACTTTCCGTGAAATAAGCGAGTGAGTGCTCGATTTTCATTCTTTTTGTGGGTTCGATATTGAAGGTGGTGAACCACAGTAACTGGCCTGTTTTCGCATTCTGTAAGGATTTTGGAACCATCTCCTCCACATCGGCTCCGCTTGTGTGGGGAATTGGGCTGGTCCGAAACGGAAATATCATTTATACCACCACGGCTGGGAATCAAACAAGACATCCATACTTCTTAACCAAATATGCAGATGTTGCAACCGCGGTAAGCCATCGTCGTCTTAATTGTTTGCCACGTTTTCATTTGCGTTCCTCAGATGGCAAATTTCATGAATGATGCCACAAATGCGCTCGAACGTTCCAAGACTCTGGATAGCAAGATTGTGTCAGATGCAAACGCGATTTCCTCCAATTATGTCGACCTCGTTTCTTTGGCATCCCGACAGCTCATGGCAGGCCTGGAAGTCACTGTCGGCGCAGACTCCAGTGGGAAATTGAACGCATCAGATATTCTCGTTTTTATGAAAGACACTGGAAATTCCCAGTGCGTTCGTTTTTACTCTGAGTGGCGCATCGTACTGATCTAAAGATACAGACGCACAAACCCAGTGGAAGCGATGTACGCGTCGTTCCCGGGCATCCTCTACCTCAATGCATCTTGGGCTGGATATCTCCTTAAACCACTGATGCAACTAGAACAATCCGGTTTGTACTCTCAGTCGTTCGCCGCGGGAGACCTCGGAAATTCCTTCCCGGTCGCCACTGGAAATGCCAATCCAACTGTATTTTCCGCGATGGAAAGCACCAGTGATATGATTTCCATGATGTGGGCTTACGCGACGTTTTCTGGCGATGGGACGTTGATTTCACAATACGTGCGTTGATGGTTTGTTTAACTGCTCATAATTCTCACATTCTCTCCTTTGAGCAGTATTCTACTCTCAAAACATGGACAGATACACTTATTTCCGAGAATCCCTTAACGCCGAATGGCTAGTAAGTCGATGTATTTGCTCTCCTCCTTGTTCCTGGTTTCAATCCGCTATACAGCATCTCGGCCGACGGTCTGAGCAGTGCCAACATGACTAACCTAGCAATTAAAGGCATACTCGCTATCCGTACTATGGCGGAAATTAGCAAAACACTCGGAAATTCCGACGACTACAATTCATACTCCGTACGTCCTGTGTAGTTCTTCTCCGCTGTCATTCTGACATCTCCGTGTTCTAGAGCCAGGCTTCTTCTCTGGTTTCTCAGTGGCAAAATATAGCAGGATCTTCCGGACATCTATCTTCAACTTATGGGTCGTCAAATTCTTGGGCTATGATATACAATCTTTACCCGGACAAACTTTTTGGTTTTGATTTCGTGGATGATAGTGTGAGCATTATGCCAATATTTTACCAATTAAACGTCAATTTACGTGTTATATGTTTTCTCACCTTCTAGATTTACCAGGAGCAAACTTCATGGTACGCCAGCGAAGCATCGTCAGGTATGTTTGACTTCCAACACTGCTCGAGGCTATTGTGCTTATCCAAATATCTCCAGCACTGTCATTTGGTTTGCCATTCGACAGCAATGAAGCTAATACAGCGAAATCTCGTAAGACCTTAAATCAATTCATTTGTCTCAAGTACATCTCATCCTTCTATGTATAGATTGGACTCTCTTCACCGCTGGAACGGTAACGGACACAAGTACGAGAAACTCACTCGTGTCAATGGTACATTCTAGTGCAGCGAATCTAAAGAATTTCGCCCCCTTCCCTACCACATACAACACAAGTGACGGAACCATCCAGGGGGGTACAGCTAGGTGTGAATGTTGTCAGAAGTAATCGTGTTTATTTTGCTGAAAATAAATCTTCATTTTTGCGCAGTCCTGCTCAAGGGGCCATGTTCGCTCTGCTCGCACTCAAGTAAGCGCTGATGACTGTTTTTCAGCTATATTCCGCTGATTATCATCCGGTAACATAGCCTCCAAAAGCAGACTATCACTTCTCTTGGGAGTGCTTCAAGCAAATCCCACGTCGGGGCGATTGTAGGAGGCGTGGTTGGGGGCGTTGCAGTGGTTGCATTGATTGCCATCGCTGGATTCCTCTATCGTCGTCGCCGTTCAAGGCATGGCATTCGGGAATATCATTCAGATGAGAAACCCCGCGGTGCCTTTGCCATGATTTTCAAGTCAAAGAATCAAAGAAAGTCCCTGCATGAACCTTTGGATGAGTATCACATCGAGCCAGTCAGCCTGGGTCAAACTTACGCTCCGAATCAGCATACCGACTATAGTCATACCAGCCTATATCCATTAGTGCATGCTGAGACAGTTCCGTCAACTCAATCACCGTCTACTGAGGGAGATACAATCCCTTACGGTATCACATATCCTCCAATTCCCAATCCCAGTACGAACCAATCCCGAGCGCCATTGCGTCTACGTACTGATAATGGTGGTGACGACAATGCCTCTCGTTCAGAAGCGGCACCGCTTCCACGAAAAACCACTCTGACCGCAGACACCACTCGGACAGGCTCGAAACCCGCCTCAGGTCCTTCAGAAGCTGGCTCGTCGGATGTTACTTCCGACCTAAGAGGGGAGCTGGAGAATTTACGGAGAGAGATGGAGGAGATGAGGTCAAGGACGGGGTATGAGCCGCCTCCACAATACCATTAGACTAGGTAGACTCTGGCATATATATCTGTACATTCAATTATACCTGGGTTTCATTCTCGAGGAAAAGTAAACCGAGTTTAATCTACAAACACCCAATCAACCTGCATCATTATCCCATCTTCTTCGGGCAAAAACTTGGCGAATGCCGCAGGTGCGAGGCTGATGTCAGAAACGTTGCACGAAGAGCAACTATCGACAACCTGGAATTGGCCAGACTTTCCTTGATCTTAAATCAAGGACAATGTTGCCAGGTGTGAGAAAGGAATGCCAAAAATTCGAAAGTTGTAATCAAAGAGCTTACACGTTACTGCTACCGTTTTGGAGCAAACCTCCCCTCTATGAACGGTATGTCAAGTCAAGTTCAGGTTCAAGCTGAGTAGAAAGCCGTGCACGACATACGAGTTGAACACACTAGTAGGAACTCCTGCGACCAAGTCGTCTGGTCCGTATTCAATCCCACATGCACCATTTACAGGGCCAGGACCTGTGTAGATGATTGTAGCTGTAAATTTTGAGTCAGTACAATTTGTTGCTAACAGCACGTTCACGCCACTCGCCTAGACCAGTACCATTGCTGACTTGACCATAGACGGACTTGGTCAATAACAGGATAAGTCCGATAATAACGATGTAAGGACGATGAAGATCCAAAAACATGAACATTTCTTGGTAGGAGAAGCTTGAGAATAGAAAATACTATTGGTGGTAAGTGGGCTTGAAGTGGGGAACTCAAAAGCACCCTTTTATAAAGCAGACCCATTTTCTGGTCACTAGTACTAGTATGTAAACTCATAATGCCTTTATGGGTGTTGTCGTTACATTACTGTGTAAGCAAGCTGCGCATCTACCGCATTGTGACGTTGGCGTTATGGAAAGACCAAGAATGTATGCTGCTCAATATAGCCTTCCTCGGCCGTGCGGTGGTGTATCGGAATAGCTTTAAGAAGTGCAATCGAGAGGTATAAATTCAAAGGTTCCGCTTTCGATTATATGCACAATGAAGTGACGAGGCGGTATACCGCAAGAAAAACCGAAGTATCCAGTCCACAAAAAATTCAAAGACCACAAAACACTAATTTCTCATGTTGATTAGACTCCACTACGCACTCCAAGTACGTTTATCTTATACGAGGTCCCAATGAGCCATTCAGCTACTACTTAAACGCCCACCCGAGCACAGCACTCAACACTAATCTAAACATAGTCCCAAGTCATTCCATGAATTCTTCCTACACTTTCATCTGCGAGTTGATCGAAGGCAGCGGGAGAGAAATCAAGATCAAACTGTCCAGCACACCCAGCGCATCTGTCGGTGATTGTTACGGTCACAGATTTCCCTTGGTCTGTAAGAGGGATGCGATGTGAGTTAACGGAAGGATGATGGAAGGATTATAAGCTGAGTGGGTATAGTAAGGACTCACAGGTCGCCTGTACTTTCTTGTTACAAATTGGGTTATTATTCGGGTTTCCTGTGGCACCTCTGTATAGCACGTAGTGTCAATTACACCTCGAACAAGAAAGAGACAAAGCTCTCCAAGACGACTTACGGGTAGCTGTCGAATGTTGCCTCGGCCATTGCTGCTATCAAGTCACTGGCACTGTTCGTGATACCACAAGCACCCATTCCTTCGAAAAGTCATTTCGTGAGCAGGTAATACGGATAAAATTGGCATAACCAATGAATGAATTTTACCAGGAGCATAGAACGTGCCTGTTGTGGACATGAGAGTGTTGAATAACATAACAGACAAAAAAGAGCGCATACCGTCGCCAGTGTTCGATCTTGCTATTAGAGTAGAATTGATTGGTGAAGCGTTCGATGGGACAGCAACAAGTGCGAGACCCGATACAAAGGTCAAAGCAAAGGCAAATTTCGTGATTGGGCTGAACATTGTCGTTATTGAATTTGTCGTAAAGTCGTTAAGTCAGGCGTTAGATATCGATGACTCTAGAGAAGTAGTGTAAGAGAATCAAGCTGAAAGTGGATGTTGTAGTACACGAGTTTGAATGAGGCCAGCTCAGTAAGAAAACTCATTGCTTCACTGAGGTTTTTATACCTTAGCCTGGCTTGGCGCGATACCATATACGTTTGCAAATAATAGTGTACCCGTTCTTACATCCTGTAACGACGACAATGCGGGAAAGGCGGAGAGTGAAGCCTCAGTGATAGGCTGTGATGTGAGTTGAAGTGATGATACAGGCATTTGGTGCCGAAGACGTTAACAATAACGAATGAAGCTTGACTAGATCCATATACCATCTGGCTCAGCAAGAGCGGAAAATTCGAAGCTCCCTTCCTAGTACCGGAGATGTTCCTGAAACTACACTCTCAAACCGATATCTTACAGAGCTAATCCGAAAGATGGACTGCTTGTCAGGATAAGCGGTGAACTTCCCGTAAATGCAGTGAACTGACTTGGAGATATCACCAACGTTTCTAAGTAAGCGTTAACAGAGGGATAGTATTTGCAACGAATGGTAAGGAGGTATACCGTCAATGTCCTGAAAGAAGGTGATCATTATACCGTCTTCTGACAAACGGAATTCTGTGCTCTTCCAACGTTCCGCAAGTCTCGTTCTATTGCGGGGGTACAAGGCTCAAACAGCCGTTTGGAAGCATTCTAAGACCGTTTTGATGATCCAGGAATGTCAGAGCCGGAGAGCAATGAACAATATCAATGACCTGGCCGTTATGTACGGACAAAATTTCGATCTAAAGTGGTCGATGGAGCTTGAGCGCATACAAAACAATATGATAAAGGACCATGGATGTACCTTCCGGCCTGTCCAAACGATAGAGTTTGGTCCCATCAACGCGTTCGGATGTATGCTTAAGCGCTTATGCATTAGACATAACGCTGGTATAATGAGTATCACATCCACATACATACTATTATTTTCCATGCGTATGGCTGTCACGAGAAACAATCCGACATAAGTCGACAGAGAAAGGCGTTAACATGCGTTGATTTGTCGATCACAAAAACCCGCCGCTATTCCCACTACCAAAACGATCACCCAAGCTCTTGGCATCTCTAATCATCTTATTCCGCTTTGAATCATCCATTATCCGCCCCGACACCGCCATATCACGACCATGATCCCAAATCCCCAGGTCCTTTTCGTCTTCTGCGCCAAATTTTTCTCCTTTTGCTCTCCTTTCGTCCGACTCTTTCTCAATATGCGATTCAATCAACGCAGCGCCTCTCATTTTCCGTGTATGCTCTTGTACTCCTTTCCGCACATCTTCCTCTGCCAATCTTCGTCTCTTGCTCTCTAAACTTTCTTCCTCTGCCGCAACCCTTGTCGCTGGCCGCTTCTTGCCCATGACTTCGTCGGTAAGACGTTGTTGGCGCTCAGCAGGTGTTTCGGTCCATAAGTTACCTACTCCGGAAGATTTGCTGTTGGAAGCGGAGGCAGGCGTTGTACGAGCGAATTGCCGCGGTCTTGTAAGTTTCGAAGGATCAAGGTCTATTCGTATCCACAAGAGTCAACCTCTGCGAATGCATTCAATTATGTTGAGAACACTCACTTGCTAGTAGGTCCCCTTTACTGGGCGGGACCAACATCCATTCTTCTCGCTTTGGTCCTTTTTTCTTTTCTTCTTCTTCTTCTCTAATCCGTTCCTTTCTCCGTTCTTCCTTTGCAATGAACTCTGCTACAGGGTCAACAGTTGGCAAAACCGCATTAGAAGGTAGTGGTCTTGGTCCAATGTCATCATCATCATCATCATCATCAGAGTCCAAATTATATGATACAGCAAGTGATGGTCTTGAGTAGGGCTTGGAGGTCGCAGATGAGGAGACAGGTGAAGCAGCAGGTTTCGACGAAGTGGAAGGAATCATGTCAGGCGGTAGCGCAGGGGTATAGTCATCTTCAGATTCGTCTTCATCCGGATTATTGGGCTCTTCGGCGCGTTGATAAAGGTGTTGTAGATGGGGTGGAAGTGTGGGACCTATCGCGCTCATCGTTGTTTATAACACCAAGGTGTAATATTCCCACGTTAACACGACGGTCCGTTCAAACTCGAATTTCCATTCTTGGAGGACGCATACCGTAGGTATAATCCATCATATTCCAGAAGCAATGTACTCTCTACAAGTATGTCCAGATGTACTACAAACATAAACAAGCTCGACAAAAAACTAAACAAGTAAATAAACCAACAGTCATCGAAACAAATATTTCAAACGTCGAACACTACATCCACCGGCTTGAATGCAGTATTCCCTGGCCATACACTCACTGGAACCTCACACTCAACTGTCTCAAGCTTTATCTCCTGCCAGCTCACTTCCCTTCCTCCACCAAAGTTTACCCCAGTCCCAACTCCGCCAGCTCGATTGGGCTTTATCCCATCATACGAATTATAATTTCCCTCGTACCCAACCTCATCATCATTTGGATCCGAAGAATAGTCAGATAACTCATCCCCGTCATGATAACCCCCCTCTGCTGCACCAAGGAACGACGCAGTGATGAATGAAGTCCAGGATTTGACGACACCCGGCTGTTGCTGCCGAGGTGACAACTGAGCAGTGGATGAACCAACAGACATTGGTTTCTCACATGGAGCAGCACCAATCGGTGCCTTCCACGCTGAGCCCCACTCTCCTCTAGGACCGTCCCTCACTAAGCTCTTGAACCGAACGCCTTCCGTTCCACTGTCTGAATTCTCCTTGGCGACAGCAACCAGGAGACACAGTCGGACTTTCCATTCAAGTCCACCATCAAATTTGATTTTGGGATGAGTTATGGTGTCCGTATGCAAAGGTTGATCTCCAACCTTGATCTGGAATGCTGGACTGGCATCAGAGGGTATGTCAAGCGCAAATGTTGTCCGAAGCGTCGATAACACGAAACTTGAATGGTGCTCCACATGTACGCGTTTGAGTTGACGGGTGGCGGCAGCAGTATTGGGTGTAGTGGATATTGGATATGGGAGAGATTCATGCGTTTCGAGATGAGCAGACAGCTACGTAGTAGATAAATTAGATAATTTCGAAATGAGAGCGTCGACACTTACTTGAACGACTCTTGCTCGGCCCTGTCTCTCATTTAGCTCAACCACCCCATGGATAGTCTCTCCAAGACGAAAGGCAGATTTAATGAATGTCAACACAGCAACTTTGACACCATCTTTGTTGACATCATACGAGACTGTCGACGCAAACACCGATGTAAGAAAAGACGAAACCGCATTTGATTATAAACCCAGAAATACAACTCACCCTTCTTCGGATTCCGAGTCAAAATCTCTACAGCCTCACCGCATCCTCCAACAGGAATAGGATCATCACTCTCCTCCCTTTGCCTCATCTTAGCTATTCGCTCCTTCTCCTTGAACGCGAGTACATGGACAGGGTTTTCCGTGTGTCCATTTCCATGCCCGTTCGTCTTCCTGATCTCTTCTCCTGCGTCCTCCTCGAAGAGGGTTGAGAGCGGTCTTTCAGTTGAGGATACGGAAACATCAGAAGGTTCCGGTGGAGATTGCACTTCAAAACCAGGTTGAGAGGGTTCAGGTAACTCAGCCACGAGTCGCCTCGCATATTCTTTCAGTTCGTTCAACGATCCAGAAGCTTGCGTGCTTCCTGACAGGGAGGAATATGAATCTATAAACAGTCCTTTTCATGAGTTTCTGCAACCCGAAAGCTGATGTAATCACAAACCAGAGGCGCTGATAAGGGTTGGCAGTTTATTTTGGGGAGACTTCATTAAAGAACTAGGCTCTATTTCGGCAACCTTGCCAACATAGGGGTCTTCTTTATCACTAAATTCCTTTGCGCTGGATGAAAGCCTTCCACCGCGCCGGTGTCCTAAAACAAGAGTTGAACGGCGCTTGTTGACTGGCCAGAGAAGGTCATACGGCGTCGGAGGTCGGCCAACTAGAGTAGTTCTAGTCTCAAATCAACCACCAAAGACATAGAGACATACCAACGACATTCGTATACACCCTGATAGGCACTTTCATAACTTTACTCACGCTCCCTCCAGGCCCAGAACCCTTCTCTGACGGAACAAAGTTATTACTAGGTCCCGCACGACATATACCCACAACGAGCTCATAAGCAAACCTCAGCGTCCGACCACGAAAAGTTGGTGGGAGATTCGCAGGGAGGAGAATAGAATATTGATCTAATGCAAAACAAATCGGAATTTTGCACCTCGACCGAAGAAAGGAGACGACGCACAGCTCTTACTCTCGCCAGGTTCCAGACGCATATCAACTGCCAACATCGTCGATTGAGCTTCAAACGTGGGCAGTGGCAACTCCGGGTCAACTTCCTCCGTTGATTGTCCCAGCCCCAACGACCACCCCAAACCAAGCCCTAATCTCGACCCCGATCCTGGGCCCAAACCTGGAGAAGACAGTGCAGAAAATGAAGTGAATGATGCAGGTTGGTCAAGTCCAGCCGAAACTGGTGCTTGTTGATTTGCAGGAGACGCCACTGAAGGCCAGCCAGAAGAAACAGAAGGCACCACACTAGCAGAAGCGGTACGATTTCGTGCAGGGAGTGGAACCTGTTGTTGAGGCTGCTCACCATATGAGTTAGCGACATTCGGCACACTAGCACTCGCAGCTAGATTGCTGAGACGAGTTACGGGAGGAGCTGACACCGGCCCGGAACTTCCTCCCAAACCGAACGGAGACCCAAAAATGGAAAGCAAACCAGATGAGAAAGATGATGCTCGACTATGAGACCGTCTGACGGAAGCAGATGTAGGAGAAGAAGGTCCCTCTGTTGAGCCAGAGTTAATCGTTCCCAGTGAAGGTTTCGCGCTAAGTGGTCCATACGCTGATACAACACCAGCACTAGCATTTCCACCGAAAGATCCCCAAGATCCCGAGCCTAGTCCACCTCCTAGACTTGCGGTTCCGCTAATGCTGGGTGTCCGACTATGTGTTCTGGATGTAATGTCCATACTACCTCCACCGACAGCTGTAGCACTTCCCTTCAGTAAAGCTTGTCTTAGAGCAGCTAGAGTCTGGGCCTTTTGTTGTTCTATTTGAGCCGCTGAGAGTGGCGCTGGGAGAACAGGCGATAGATGTGGCGTGGAGTGCGAAGGTGATAAAGGTGATTGAGGAAATGCTCGGTTGGAAGAGGAAACGGGGACTGTGTTGGAGGGTATTGGAGTTAATGTCACTGTTCCTTTTAACTGGGCATATGAATATAGTATGAGTTCGGCATTGGTTTCGCTGAGATTGAGAAACATGCGTGAAGACGGTTTTCCGATACCAAGGTTTGGCGGTCGGTGGAGTTGTCGAGTTGAAGTTGGCTTTGAAGAAGGAAATGGCGGGTATGAATGCTGCCTGGTTGAGGCAGAGGGTGGAGAAGGTGCTTCTACAGATATCGAGGGGGAGGATAAAGCTGGACCAAGTCCAGAGGTGGAAGCGGTAGCAGGCACAGATGGAGAGAGGTAAGGATGTGCAGGTACTACGGGTGATGTTTCTGATATTGGATCTAGTGCGAGTGAAAACGACGACGTAGAAGCAGACGGCGTGGATGGGCCAGTCGATGCGGGGGCAGAAACCAACGTATTAGCGGTGCTTGTAGTGCTTGTGGCACTGATCAACGAGGTTGGAGAGGTTGAAGTATCGCTACCATAAATAGACGGAGGAGAATATGGAAGTTGAGTTCCATCCATCAGTGATTGTTTCCTGGCATGAGGATGTTTAGATGACAGCGGAAGTGTTTCTGAGCGTGCTAATGGGGAAGGAATTTTTGGAGATGATACTTTTATAAAGTCAGTTTGATGAGCGACAAAAGAAAGATGATTTACGCACTGAAAAGATGCGCATCTGCGGTAAGCGATCGTTGCATTTGGGAAGTCGGTTTTGCCAACTCTTCATTATCATTCAGACTAGTCGCAATTTCAGTTTCATCTTGGCAAAAACCGAGGCTTAATGAGAGCGATTTCGACGACATTTTCATCCGCCTCTGTTCGACCAAATCCGGCACGGTCTTGTCTTTCCCTTCCGTCCCCTGTCTCTTCCCAATTAAACCTCGTCTCTTGATACGTGTTCCAGTTTCCGGTCCCAGAGAAGTCTGACGACTTGGTGCAGGAGATCCTGGGATGGCAGCAGTCGTCGGTGTTCTTGGCCTGTACAGACCAGCGGATGAAGTCGGAGGTCGAGCTATAGGTGCTGAACTGACTGAATGAGACGCCCTCTTGTGTGTACGAGACGAGCGAGGGACAGCTCCAGCTCTGGAGGAAGGTCCTGCTTCTCCCTCTGGCGAATAAGTACGAGTGTTGGTAAATGTGATGGTGACAGAGAGGGTTTCGCCAGCGAAATATGCCGATTGAGAAGGAGTCACGACAGCGCGAATGGGTGAATCTGGATCACCAGCAGCATCGCTGATTAGAGGGAAGGACATGAGAGATTGGAGGCTGACGTGGCGATGAATATTTTATGGCACCAAAAGTCGTCGTGGAATGAGGATTTGAAGAATCCAGGATTCGCGGTTCAGCGAACCGGTTCCTCGAAGCAAATGAGCTCTGCAGCTGGCGGTAGAAATACCGAAGTCCCGAACCCAATAATTGAAGGACGTATGTGAAGTTCCAGTAAAGTGGTAACCCGTCAACGCGGTATCTCTAAACCGGTGTAACCGTGCGATCTCAGTTAAGAGTCCGGTTCAGCTTGTGCACGGTCTACGATGAGAACTGGAAATTTGTGCGCTGAACGTTGAACGTTGAGGCCTAGTATAGCCAATCGAACTAACGTGGCTTGAATACTCAAATATTCAAAGGCTGAGGAAATCCCAACGGATCTTTGAATATCATGCTCCATTTAATGAAGAAAAACTACCTGCCTTTTCAAGTGCAACGGTCTGATGAAGCTTTGAAGCTTGAAGGCTCACATAAATTATTGAACGAAAAGGATATATCACGGCTCACGTGCCATATTACGGCGCGCGTCGGGATTCAATTTCTTAGTCTAGGATCCAAACAACCTGACAACATAAGAAAGCGCGACTAATACTGTACAAATACATATAGATGTTATGTATCGTTGAAGTAAAATCGAAGCAAGAGCAGAGATACGTAAAACATTAAAATCATCGAAAGCACACCCAATCCGCGCTTGAGCAAGTCTAGAAATATGATACAGATAATTTGTCATTACCCCACTTGTCCGTCAATTTTTTGGGCTGTAACGGATTCCAATCAGGAACTTTGAAGGACGAACAGAAATTTGACTGACCCAAAAACTTCCCCCACAGGTAGCTGTATGACAGGAACACCCCGCCCGTCTGCACCAGTAAAGGATACCTATAAAAGCCATTATCATAGTTGAGCAAGAATTCAAAGAGAAATTACAAACACTCACCGTGTTACCCCACCACGATAAGATCGTGTTTTTTCCTATCTACGCTGATACATGATTTCATTCATTCATATGATCTGAAATCACTTACTGTGCCGTTCCTGGGATATTGCAAGCTGTTCGAAGATAATAGATGAATGAGACTTCCATGTAACATATACAGGCTAGAAACGTACGCGAAATATATGATAATGACGGAGATTGCCAACCCAGAATCCAACGCAGCAGATAGTACATCTTGAGAAAGAATGTGAAAAATGTGAGCGCCACTTCGTGAGTAAAGCCGCTCACAATTATACTTTGTCCACCAAGGGAAGTTTCGTCTAGGAGAGAGCAAAAGAAAAGGATCAATCCGCCGTCCATATTTAGTAAAAATGGCGCGTCATTCAGACTAACCTTCGTATAAGATATTGGAAGATGAAGCCCACAATACTAATTGTTTATGACCGTCCAAAATATGTCATATATGATTCGAGTATAACTCACGCCCATGGTACATAGTTAATTCCTGTTGCAGGAGGAAGCAACTGGGTCCCGTTGAATATCACCGGACTGTCGAACGAAAATCGAAAGGGCCGCGGTCACTAAGCGCCAAGATGAGCGTAAATGTACCCACAAACTGGTGAACATTTTGTTAGTTGATAAGCCATGATCGATGCATGAACCAAGGCGCACTCACTTGACATATTTGAAGAAAGAATTCGGGTATTTCTTGTCAATCAGCCATGATATTATGGGTGCGAGAGCTCCGATTAGGAAGAAGAACAAGAGGGCTAATAGAACCCCTCAGCTTCTTGTACACACGCTGATCATTAATGACACTGATCCTTACGGCTATGAAAGCCAACATCGGATCAGCACCTGTCTCAAGCTCAAGGAAGGTGGACCAGCTCACGAATACATGCCCTGTGAGAACATTCGATTTGGTCCGATAGCGCCTGCAAATAATTTAGTTACACCGGTACCGGGCATAGGCCGGAATTAGCACTCACCCCACTAAAAATATCATCATTAACTAAGAAGTTAGCAGGAAGAGTGCCTTAAATACTCGCGATAATGCTTGCAACGCCAAACACCTCCGTATTCTGACAGGTAAACCTGTCCAATTGCCCTGACTGGCATATGTCTCTGACGATATAAGTGAGTACCTATGTACAATCATGGTAAGGAGTAGGAACTTACGAAACATGGTCAAATAACCATGTCTGAACGCCTAGTTGCGCGGTCGCTGCACACATACTACAGATTACCTGTCTCGAATTCAGAGGAAAATGGAGGCCTGGATATCCAGGGAGCTGACCTGAGCGAAGAACATTGGCCGCGGTGGAATTTTCATGTAATGCGCCAACTTTAGGTCTGATGTGAAAGTCAACGCTTGTGACATGCTCTGTGATTCGCCATTCTTCAGAAACACAATCGGAAACGGTTATCAAATCACTACGCACATTGTACCCCCATGTCTTGAACATCATTGTCGCGATAGGCCGGCCAGGAAGTGCATATCTTAACCGGTGAAAGTAAGCTTGGGACAGAAACCAGGGTGAAAAAAACTTACCCAATTACCAGTTCTGCGATGACACTGACTCAGTGACATCAGAAAGAGTACAACATATCGACGTTCCCCACGTACTTCAATGCAACTTGCTGGTTTGTGATGGCTTGAATCATTCCAACGGGAATGACATATGTGAATGCTACATAATAGGTAGAAGAGCCGTCAGTCCACCATGATCATCTCGTCCAGAATGAAACAGTCGCGAACCTATTATCAGTGCAAGAAAGAACGCCCATACAGGCATCTGGCTGAATGACAGAGAGAATTCATGAGATCCTATAACAAGGATGAGGGCGAAAATACAGACGTCGGCCATAGCTCGATGCTCAGAACACCCAGGAGAAATGATACAATGAAAATGACAAGATACCACCATTCGGGAACTACCAGACAGGGATGGGATTAACAGGAGTTACAGCAGGTTAAGAATATCACATACCCTGTGGGTATTGCGACATGAGCCGCGAATGGATATCTCTTTGTTCACTAATCGACCGTCGCGCGTGTACCCATATTTGTTTCCGAAAAAACAAGAACGAGTGGGACAATGTTGCTGTGAAACGAAAGAGATAAGAGCCAAAACTACGAATCCCTTATTTGACTTACATGCGATAGCTGCGAAAGAGAGCCTGATATCCAAAAGTTGCTACTATCAATACACAGGAGATAGAAGGGATGGAAAGGATATACGGTACCCGTAGGAGAATACAAATCCGGTTCTATAAACACCACGGCAACGTGAGCACTAGCAAACAAGCACATAATGATGCTCACGAAAGATACAAAGGACTATATTCATCATACTTTGTCGCATTGAACGTGGAATCAGGGTTCAGAATGCGAAGCACGTCGTATGTTTGCATTGTATTATCATACGCTGATCGTGACAAAATTCTTCAGAAGGAAAGGTGAATTCGGAAATTGGAACTCATGAAGGAAGAAAACAGCATACGGCATATGCAATCCATACCACACATTCTTGAACTGCATCTCAGCGATGAGTTTACATTGGCCCATCTAGACAAGATACAACATACATGTAATATTGGGACGACGAGCCCTGTGGAAGTAGCAACGTAGCAGTGAGAAGGTGGACCCAGACATCTCCCAAAAATAGATATACGTACATATGAACAGTAAGAAGCCAGAAATAACATTTGCTTGTGCCCACCCTAAGCAAAGGTGAGAAAGAGCTCAAGTTTCATGTTGACTACCTTACATGGTGTAGCAAGAGGAGAACCAATGTAGCTGTGTGTTTGTGTTCAGTATGTCTAGAACCAAGCATGCCACACAGGACGCACGCAATCTGCGACCAGTCAAAAGTTAGGACCGAAAATCCCTGCCAGCATGAAAGATTAGTCAAGGTGTGTCCGAATGAAACAGAAGTTCTTCAGCTCACCAGTCCATTTACATATCCGAAAAGCTGAGCAACGGCTAAACATCAAGACCACATAAATTTGTAGTTCCAAGGAGTGGTAACTTTCAATATACTTGGGCTTTGAGGCCATATCCAAGTGACCCATGAGAAATATGATAGAGCTTGGACTGTTGTGATGTGAGCGTCCGGGATATTAGGATCTGACGACGATTCTCACATAGATATCCAGGGAAAAAATCTAACAGAGAGGTTCAGGACACAAAAAAAGGCGTCACAATCTTGAACTTACACCAGACAAATGACGCTGTGAAAGCGAACCAAAAGTACCTTTCCCGACTGAGACCTCCCCTGTTTCCCATTCCAGCATAATGTTCCGAGTGCAGGGTCTTCCAGAGGCGGTATCAGTGAAGGAAAGCAAAAAAAGCACGCATGCAAAATACAATATACATTGAATAGTGCACAGGTGACAAGATTTGTCGGCCAAATCATTGACGGAGGTTCGACAAGAATATGTCGTGAGATACCACCAATGGAGAAGCCGATGAGTTGTGTAGAGATGGTCAGGAACCATTGGTCTGCGAAGGTGGTAAGGCCGATGAAAAGCATATGAAAAGAGCAACGTACACAGAAAGCTATAATTCTGACTGTAGAAAACCCGCTGCACAGCGATGATATCGGTACCATAAGCTGATGTTTGACCCACAGTTGCCTACAGATCAACGTTCGAGGAAATTCAGAATTCAGGCCTTTTTCGAACGCGAAAATTCGACTGAACACCAACCATGATCTATACATCATCTTTAGTAGTGCCATGTATTGCATGCTAAGCCTTATGCACTACTCACTGTTATCAGCACATGTTCCTTTATCGTGAATGGTCCCGGATTGAGTTCGAGTCCAAAAAAGTTCCAACATGGAAGATAGGCGGCGGCCGCGCGTCCTATTGGATATGTGATAAGTTGCGCGACGATTCCAGTGACCTCAACGGATGGATAACGGAAGAAGAAGAATTGGTTGATGCCTGGTACAATGAGCGACCACGTAAGACCAAGGACCCAGGCGCGGAGAGTCGAAACTGGCATGAGAGGATCATCCGTATTAGAGACCGCGCAGCGCACCTAGTTTACGATGAATAATGAATATCGAAAATGGGAGCGGATCCTTACCTCTGGATAAGGGCTTTCGTCTTCGAATGCAAAGTCACTGTCGACGTCGAGGTCAAGATTTGGATCATCAAAGTAGTCTTGCTGAGCCAGATAGATGTCATTCTGTTCAAATTAAGCACAAGGCATTCTGGACTTGTCACATACGTGAATTTGACTTTCCGCTGCAAAAACTTGGTTAGATGGTATGTGAAAAGCAGGTCCCCAGAAACTCACTTTGAATAGAAGGAGACTTCTCCTCATCACTTCTATGGCTATGCTTCGATATCGCTCTTCCAAGCTCATCTAGTTCCAACTTCGTTTCTTCACTTTCAGGGATAGGCAGCATCTTGAGCGCATACAGCTGCGAAAGAGCAGCCGCGGTGCTCATCGTCGTAATGGCACGAGAGCGCTGCCGCAAAATACTCCTTGGTTGTTAAGGTACGAGGTACAAAAGAGAAACCTACAGCACTAGCTTGGAGTAAGCCAAGAATGACATTAGTACTAGTAGATGGTAGACAGCTAACTATATGACAGGAACACAATTCTAAGCATCGGCACCATCTGGTGACTATCAGATACAGATACGATAAGCCACCACGCTCTACCGCGCTATTTTGGGCATCCTATAGGATTCGTCTCTTTCCGTCCTCATATGCCACAACCTGGGAACGAGGAAAGTGTCTGTTGTATGTTCCTAATCTATTCTATATACGGAAGCCAAAACCATAATTAGTGCACAAACGACGGTATTTTCCCTTATTTCCCTAGGAAGAATCGGAGGTGACATCTGTTTCGTCCTTCGGGAACCTCTTCCGGTAACATAGCTCGTTCGGCTGACCCGGGTCCTTTCAAATCCTTACCTCTTGCCTCCTCCATCTAAGTTTCAATCGGCTCCGTTCCGTATTGCAACGGCAACCGGAGTTTGAAGAATTGGAAAAGTTATGATACAATACCCCATTTAGCACTCGGGTTTGCCTGTTCCAGAAGAAAACGAGAGATAAAGGTGCGAATTGGAACCTGTAATCAAAGGATTTCTGTCACCTGTGTACCATTGATTGAAGGTGACACCGCACAGTTGATATCGATGACCGGACATGAGCAGGGAGCGCAGCTGAGTCGCCACGTCTGATTATTTTTTCCATTGTGCATGACATGTCGCGAAGGAATAATTTAATAAACTAGGAAGGACAGGCCTGAGTCAGTGTCAGAAATCCCTGGGATGCAGGCCAACGTAAAGAATGAAGTATCCTCAATCTAAACAACAGTGTAGATAAATTTGACCTCCTATGTACACGAAGTCGACACAAAACTACTCTCCAAGTGACTCAAACCGCGAACTCTTGAAACCTTCCCAAGACGAAAAACGGATATTCCTCGGAAATGATTGTGACCCTGCCGATCCGCCAAACACCCTCAAACCTCCTCAAACACCTATAGAGACGTTACGCGTTACGCGTTGAACTCCATCCGACCTTGAGTAAGAACGGTGGGAAGGCTTTCTCGGTGAAAGTGACGGTGCATGGACTGGTGCTGGGAAATGTTTGTGGATGGTGGAGGTGATCTTACGAAGCGGGCAGGGCAGCCGAACGAGAACAAGGTAAGCTGCAAGCCGGTCCGGATCCCGGAAAAACCCAAGAGCATAATCGAATAATGCCGTCGTCTGACGTCTTTTCTATTCGAAATCTGGTCCATAAAAGACAGATAGATAGATAGATAGATACGCGGCTCCGCCTAAGGCGGGGTCCCACGAGGGAACAGCCGGGCCCAACCACCTCTGCTGCAGCAAATGCTCATCCAACGTGGGACAGTAGACTGCAGAGAGAGAAGAGGGGGTAATGTACAGGAGATTAAACATATGTATCAATAGTACAGAAACGAATCATCCTTCGTCAGAGTCCCCGTCGTCAGATACTGCCGAAGTGTCGAGGTGTTGATCAGCGCCTGTGTCTAAGTAGTACTGCCACCGGACCACAACGTCGTAAATGAATATAGCGGTCGGTACAATCAGAGTCCAGTCAAAGATGAATGCTTTGAGGTAGTGTAAAGCAGACGCGTCGGAGAAAACGGAGTTCGCGGGGAGAGGTCGGAATTGTCTCATGGAGGTGATGAAGGTTGAACGTAGAGAGATGATGCTCGGCAGTGAAGGGCATTGGAAAAGGATGTGCTGGGGGGTTTCCGGTTGATGGTTGCATGCACGGCACAGCCGAGTCCGTTGTTCTGTAGTCATTAGGATGCGAAGCAGTGAGGGAGAGCCTCGAAATACTTGGGGAGTGAGGTCCCCACAGAGTAGCTTGGTGATAGTGCGACAATGAGAGTGAATCAAGACTTGCGTGAGATAGTGACAAAGTCCAATAATCTGAGCCTTCACGGGGCCTTCCTCTTTCAGTTCCAGGTGGTGACAAAGCAGGGACAGTTTGGACCATGAGTCAATGTGGGTTTGGAGTTCGGATTTAGTGGAGAAGTGTTAAGATCATGTACACCGTGTAACCGTGCCAAGGCCACAGGGTGTCTAAGTGCGGAAGACGAATGGGACAGTAGTGAAGTTATTAACAACACCGCCGTTACGCCGTTAGTCCCCGGAGAGCGAGAGTAGAGAGAGAGGAGCTAAGTAGCAGCCAGGTCGGAGCGGCGGTATCGCCGGTGACGAGGAGCGGACCAGAGAACGTTAAAGTCCTAAGGTCGAGGAGAACGTACTTCGAGGCGTTGAGCCTGAAGACTTAGAGAAGAGTTAAGTTGAGAAGGGAGATCTAAGTTGATAATTAAACTGAGGAACTACAGTAGCGTACAGGCAGTATTTATATCTTCGGAATGGCGCATCGGTGCGGAGCGTCAGACTAACTACTAGGAGCTATACGAGTAGTACCTGCAGGGTAGAGTAAAAGACAATAAGGAGAGACTAGCACGAAAGGATATGTGTAGCGAGAAAGAACAATAAGAGTGAGATTACAATAACGAGCAGATCTTCGGAGTACCGAGCGGCGGAATGGAGGCCCGCGGCATGGACTTGACAGTATCCCCCTCTTAGGCTTGAGCCCTCGAAAGCCATTATTACCGGTAGTTGGTTAGTCACCAAAGAAAAATTTTAAAGGCTGTCAGGATCGGGGATTTGGCCCATCAGTCAGCAGGGAAATTTTCAAAAGCCGTTGGTACCGGGAATTGGCGTTAGTCATCAGTGAAAATTTTCGGTTCACCGTACACCAAACACAATTCGAAGGAAAATTTTCGCTGGTCCGTGCGCAGTTTTGCCCTATAAAAGGCCCAGAATTTCGCCGATAAGACCCAAGTACCCAAAAACTTCCAAGTCCAAAATGTCTACCAGCCAAACCGTAACCGCCACCACCCGCCCAAAGACTTCAACCGCCGGACCTTCGAGGTCACGGCCTACTCCTCCTCCCCCCATCGACCTCACTACCCACGCCGACCCCGATGAGGAAGAGGACGACATTCTGGAAGAAGATGACGACGAGGCGATTCGGCGGGCGGAGGAGCGTGTCCGCAAGATGAAGGCGAGGAAGGCGGCGGCAGCGGCAAAGAGGAAGGCCGAGGAAGAGGCGGCCAGGAAGGCTGCAGAGGAGGCGCGGAGACAGAAGGAAGCGGAGGCGAGGGAGCTGGAGGAGCGTCGGAGGAGAATGGCGGAGGCGGCCACCGCTCGTAGTCGACGTGGCTCCTCGCCAGGAGGGAGTTCGGTTTCCCCACGACGGCCGGTGGTGGAAATCCGAAAGGACAAGGGAAAAGGCAAGGGCAAGGCCCAGGTGAGTACTAATTACCTTTAGACGATAATTTTTTTCTGATTTCCTTGTTTATAGCCCGTTGGTGGGGACCCCGACAACGGCGGCGACGGGGATGACGACGACGAAGACGACGATGACAGGGCTCCCTGCGAAAGGTGCAGGAGTAAGAAGATCTCTTGCCAGATGCAGGCTGGCAAGAGGAGTTCTGTTATCTGCAAACCCTGCCATGACGCCAAGGTACGATGCTCGTACTCCGGCCGGCCCTCGACGGTGAAGCGGGAAGGAGGGAATCCGTACGGCGAGCGCCTGGCGGTTCTGGAGAGCCAGGTGGCTCAGTTGCTCGCCGACAACCGGCAGCTTCGAGATGGTCAGGTGAAGGCAAACACCTACCATCGTCACATGAACCGGAAGCTGGATTGGTTGGTCACGGAGGCCTCAAGGAGGAGAAGAACGCCACCAGAATTGCCGGAGGCTGGGCCGTCGGGTTTGCCGAAGAAACGTCGAAGACTTGCGGATAGCGACGAGGAGGAGGAGCAAAGGAGAGTAGCGCAAGAGGTTGGGGAAGAGGAGGATGGAGAGGGAGAGGAGGAGATGGAGGAAAGGGAGGAAGAGGAGAGGGATGAGCCGGCGCCGAGGAAGGCCCGGACGGAGAAGGGAAAGAAAAGGGAGGAGTAGTAGAGTAGTATCACGGACATCGAAACATCGGCCTTCGGCCATCTTCTTGTACTTTTCCTGTTGCCCTGCCTTCGTTATATAATTTTGTTTTTTTGGACTTTGTATATAAAAAAAATGTTAACTCGATTTTGAAACCGGAAAGCGAATGGGCCGCGAAGCGGCGGAAGAATTAATTAGTTCGAAGTGTAAGTAGTTGTAAATGTAAATGAAATATAAGTGAAAAAGTACATTGAAGGAGAACGTAAGTAATTAAGAGAAGGAGATAAACACTCAATTTGCTATCATCGTGTTTATCCTCTACGCACAAAGTAAACTTCGGCGGAGCACGGCGGAAACGGGGAATGGAAAAATGAATTTTTGTGATCAAGGTCCAGGTTTGTGAGGGTATCGGGCGTGGAACGCCGGTACAAGTTCGTCAGCATGTAATTCATCAGCAGCAACCCAAGAGAACTCATCATCAGTACCTTCGTAACCGGCCCACCGAATGTAATAACGTAGAGGGCAACGTTTATACCTTCTGTCCAGCTTGGAGTCGAGGATTTCGGCAACGTTGTACTCCTCTTCACCATCAACTTCAATTGGAGGTGGAGGAGATTGAGTACGATTCGGGAACGGGTTCGGCGTAACCAGCTCCAGCTGTGAGACGTGGAAAACCGGGTGAATTCGGCGAAGATAGTCTGGGAGCTTGAGCTCGTAAGACAAAGTACCAGGTCGACTGATGACCTTGAAAGGACCAAGATATTTTTCTGAGAATTTTTCAGTAGGACGAGTAGAACGAATGTGCTTAGCAAGAACGAATACTTCGGAGCCGATCGGGAACTCCGGGTGCGAGATTCTTTTCCTGTCAGCTTGTTCCTTGTAACGAGACTGAGCTAAAAGGATTTCCTCTCGAAGGAAAGCGTGGAGTTCATCAAGGTTGACGACGAAGTCTCTAGCAAGATCAGACTTCATATTGACCTCGGGCCGAACGGTGATGTTTGGG